CCGTCTTATGTGGAGCTCCATGTGATAGAGATGGCAGGAACTAATCACGAAATCAATCGGAACAAATCACGCAAACTCGATTGAGAAAGAGATGTAATATTGAAACGAAAGCCTATGCACATAACATCGCATTTCAAAATTGTTATCAGGAAATTAAAAAAAGCACCAGAACTCAAGAGAAGAGGTGGAAAGCAAAATAAATGTATTTGATCAAATACTCCTCTTGCGACGGATCGAAGGAAGGAATCGTACCATGATAGCAACACAAATAGTGAATATGAGCTTGGAAACTGATCTGTTCCCAGCCACGAATCTACGCATCGTCTTCGTTTTCTTCTTCTCCTAGTAAATGGTAAATCGTAGTAGGGTTTTGCTCTTTCCTCCCGCAAAATTTCCTACACTGGCTACTGTATTTTTCTGCTGTCTTGGGTCTTGCCCACAAATTGATTTTTCTTCTTCTATTAGCCAAAACTGTTTCCGTCCCTCTCAAAAGAATTAAAAAAAAAAAAAAAGATATATTATTGTGTCATCAAAAATATATAGCTTTTTCATTTTTTTCGTCAAATATATAGAGCTAAATGTAAATTAATTTATACAACCTGTTAATCGATTAAGATGGTGCATAAAATCATACTAACCAAACCATCTCTGTAAGAAGCACTTGGTACTCTATACGTCATGTATCCATACCAAAGATGGTTTTACTAGGTGAAACCATGATATCATTAATATATAGAATTCTCTCAATCCTGACAAGAATGTCCTCAATCGCAAATAATGATGCATTTAAAGTTAAACTAAAATGTCATGTGCCACCAAAAATTGAATAGTTTTGGTGGCATATCTTCCATAACCTGTTGCAAAGCCTTAAACAGAAGGAATGTGAGGATTGAAGATAGTTATGCCGTAAATACTTGTCAATTATGCGGCAAAGTAGTGCAGAGTACTAATCACATTATCTTTCCAATGTAGAGTTAGCACAGAAGTTTGGGAGCTTGCTCCATTGTTCAACTCTTTAGATGATCAATTTCTATCAAACTCTCTCCTCGATAATGTTGCATCTTTTCCTTATCAAGAACATCACGTGAACTACATCTCTGGCTCTATTTTCTTTCTTGGATGGAGATTGTGGAAAACGAGAAAGGGTATGATTTTTCTTTCCTTCTCAAGTATATTCCAACACTTCAATTTTCTTTTTTTTTTTTTTGCCATACCAAAAGATGGTATATTCCAAATACAGTGACTTAAGCATTTTTTATAACTTAATGTTTGGAACAATGGAAAAAAAAATGGCAGAAACAGGGCAAAAACTGTAATCCTTTCCTTACAAACAAGTTGAAGTCGACATTAGTTCTCTCAAACTTTCCATGAAGCTATTTTTTTTGTTAAAGGGCTTACTTGAATATAAAGAATGTTAACAGATAAAAAGAATCAAACAAGAACCAAAAGAAGCCAAGGGAAAGTTCAAAAGGAGGAACAGATTACAAGGATCATAAAAGGTAGAACATGCCTATCACAACACGCTTTACCGCCAATCAACCAAAAGAAGAGAAAGCTGATAAAAGAGACCAGTCAATTCGGCGACCAATGGGCAACAAGGCTATCGCCATATTTCGAGCCGATTTGAAGAAGAGCCCGGGATTTGCTTCTTAGAACAGACATAATCTTAAGGAAAACCTGAGAGGGTCTGAGAGAAATACCATCATGAAATCTTCGGTTGCGCTCAGACCATATCTCAAACATCGAGGCCTGCCATCCCTGGACCAAAGCAAAGAAATGGTCCTTTGACGATGTCGCTGTGGGGAGCCAAAGAACGACCTTATTCCACGGTCCAGGAATGAATGATAAGTGAAGATGAGCTAGCACTCTTCGCCAAACCTCATAAGAATAGGTGCATTCAAAGAACAGGTGGTTTCGCGATTCAGTAGAGGTGCCACATAGTAGACAAGTGTCTTCGACATCCAAACCCCAAGCAGAAAGTCTATCCAAAGTGGGATTTCTGTTGAGAGTAAAAAGCCAGGCCGAGAAAGCATGCTTCGGAATAGCGACCTTATGCCAAACAAGAGGAAACCAGGCCACTTGGGCTTTGGGAATTCTAATCGTATCCCAAACCATATTTTCCATGAAGCTATTGCAAAGGCTAATACATATTTTGCTTTATAATGCATCTTTTTAGATCTTAGAAGCTGAAAAGGGTGGAGCTAGATGGTCAATCCAAGATACTTGAATCCCCTTAAGTCTGTGACAAAAAAAAAAAAATCCCCTAAAGTCAACAGCAGTGACATTTTGTATGGCTGTTTAGTCAAGAGGCTTGGTCCTTGGATTTACTCATGTAACATTATGTGGAGATTCAAAGTCGCTCTTCCATGTTCTTCAGAGTAATGTATCAGATTGTGTAAGAGAAATTTGTGTAAACTCTGCTAAGTAAATTATTCGTCTTTTTTGGTCGAAACTGCTAAGTAAATTAATGTACGTAGAAAAAAAAATTAATGTACGTAGAATAATTCAAGGGAAAAAAATACATACATTTGGAGCTGTAGAATTAATCTTCCCGATATGGGCCTGTGATAAAGAAGCCCATATATCCGTTAAAAGCAAGGGACCACAAACCAAAGACATCGATGCTTACGTGTCATTTTTGTCGTTGTGGGTTACCAAAAAAACAGCGGTCACTTGCTCGTGCGTGGTCGCTTTAAAACGCAGTGGACTGTACAGCTAAGCTCGAAGCTCAAAGCTCAAACTCTTTTAAGCTCAAAGCTTAGTGGGTTGTATAGCTTTTTAGTGAAAAGAAGGGTCAGATCGGCTAGCCTGAGATGGGGTGGGGTTTCTTGGTGGTGTTGTTAACGGTGTCTCTGGTTTCTCAGAGGGCAAGTTCGATCGGAGCGAACTGGGGCACACAGGCGTCGCATCCTCTTCCGCCGGATATAGTGGTACGGATGCTGAGAGACAACGGTATTCAGAAAGTGAAGCTCTTCGACGCCGAATACGACACACTCAGAGCTCTGGGCAAGTCCGGAATCGAGGTTATGGTTGGTATTCCCAATGAGATGCTCGCCACTCTCGCCTCCAGCCTCAAAGCCGCTGAGAAATGGGTTGCTAAAAATGTCTCTACTCATATCTCCACCGATAACGTCAACATCAGGTTCCCTTTTCCTTTTTTTTTTATCTTTCTTTTTTATCAACTTTCCTTTTTTAGGGTTCCACATTTACACTGTTCAAGTTAGAAAATTGGGAATCAGAGACTTGAGTTTGGGATTCTACTAGACAGTAAAGTAGGTTGTGTCTAGTGAATTGTACTGAAATCACGGGTTACACGTCTTTGTCTGAGATAATTCCACACACATGTCTTTAACTGTATATATCAAACCACTTAAACTAGGTTGCTGAATCTTGATCCTCTGATTTGGGTTGTTGAACAGATACGTTGCTGTTGGCAATGAACCTTTCCTATCAACTTATAACGGGAGCTACCTTAGCACTACTTTCCCTGCGTTGCGGAACATCCAAATCGCGTTAATAAAAGCCGGGCTTAGAGACCAAGTTAAGGTCACTTGTCCCTTGAACGCTGATGTCTATGACAGCTCCACCACTTTCCCTTCAGGAGGAGACTTCAGAGCCAATATCCGTGACCTCATGATCACCATCGTCAAGTTCTTGAGCGATAATGGCGGCCCTTTCACTGTTAACATCTACCCTTTCATCAGTCTCTACAACGACGCCAATTTCCCAGTCGATTACGCCTTCTTTGACGGAAACTCACAGCCAGTGAGCGATGGTGGGACTTTCTACTACAACATGTTTGACGCAAACTACGACACGCTTGTGCATGCCTTGGAGAAGAATGGGTTTGGAAACATGCCCATCATAGTTGGTGAGATTGGGTGGCCAACCGATGGAGACAGGAATGCTAACGTGGAGTACGCTAGGAAGTTCAACCAAGGGTTCATGTCCCACATCTCAGGAGGGAAAGGGACTCCGAGAAGGCCAGGCCCAATCGATGCCTACTTGTTCAGCTTGATAGACGAGGACGCCAAGAGTGTTCAGCCTGGATACTTTGAGAGACACTGGGGGATTTTCACATTTGATGGCTTACCTAAATATGCGTTGAACCTGGGGACAACTAACACAGGAGCTCTGATTCAGGCCAAAGGTGTGAGGTACTTACAGAGGAAGTGGTGTGTGATGAAGCCAAACGTGAGGTTGGACGATCCGCAGGTGGCTCCAAGTGTGAGCTACGCGTGTAGCCTAGGGGACTGCACTAGTCTCGGGGTTGGGACCTCTTGTGGGAATCTGGACGGGAAGGAAAACATATCTTATGCGTTCAATAGTTACTATCAGATAAACGACCAGCTAGATACAGCGTGCAAGTTTCCAAACATATCAGAGGTGACCAAGACGGATCCATCAACCGGGACCTGCAGATTTCCGATTATGATTGAGCCTTATTACGGTGGGGCTGTTCACGGCCAAGTTCTCTTCATGCCACTGCTGCTGGCCGCAGCCATCACCGTGCTCTCTATTTTTTGATGGTTTCTTGTCAATTTGTAACTCTTATGTGTGATGGTTTTTTTTTTTACTTTTCTTGAATTCTAGTTTCCCCTCCTTAGAGCAAGTGAACATAGTGCATTTTGAAGGAACCAAAATGATTCTAAAGATGCAAAGCCATCTTTATGTCGTTTCAAATCTGGTAATTATGGTACTAACATTCTGAATAAGATTTTTGTCTGATGTTTAGCACATTTGATATCCCTAATCTCCATACAAGTAAACAGTAATAGCAGCGGTCCAGCGACTCTGGTCTATCTTAAGTTATGGCTTATGGGCTTTCGTTTTGTCTCGTCTGTTGGGCTTTTAACTCTTTTGGGCTTTTAACTCTTTTGGTGCATTCATTTTAAGTGTGTTTATATCTAGAGATGGTGTTAATCTCTTATCTTAATTAGTTTAGGATTTGATCTCATCTAGACCTTGGGATTCATGACCTCTCTTCCCTTCCGTTACGCCGCTTCTACAACAGGTAAGGTAATAAATAGCACATTTTTGGTGCATTCATTTTACACATTGATATAGAAAAGGAAAACTTGTCTGCCAGAATAGGAAAACTTGTCAAGATATAACAGAGGAGCATATCTACAGAATAGGTAAAGAGGAGCCAAAATAGTTAGGAAATCTGTGAATATGTGGAGAAATCTAGACCGGAATAATGGGAAGTAATCAGTCACTTCTTTCCTTAAAAATTTGCATATAGTTCTCAGACTGCAGGTTTTCAGAATAAGAAGAAAGTGAAGAGAAGGGAAGAGAGGAGACTTGTTGCAGACGCATTGCATCAGATATGGAGTTGTTGAGCGCTGAAGAGAGAATGACTAAGCAGTTTCCGGTAGGAATGAGGGTCCTTGCCGTAGATGACAATCCAACCTACCTTGAGAAACTAAGAGACTTGATGCTTCTCTGCAAATATCATGGTACTTATATTCTTTGCTTCTGTTACTTTATGTTTTTTCTACCTGTCTATGAAAGCGTGGGATCGAGATGTTGTTTTTGATTGATATGCCAGTGACAACGACAACAGAGTCGAAGAAAGCTCTAGAAATGCTGAGAGACAAGAGAAACATGTTTGATCTGGTTATAGCCGATGCAGAGATGCTGGAGACTGATGGCTTCAAGTTGCTTGAAATTGGTCTTGACATGAACCTTCCTGTCATCAGTACGTGTCCCCTTCCTCGCTTTTTATTTTCCTTATCAACACTAGTCTTCGACTCCTCATCACTCTTTGTGTGTTCATTTTCTCAAGTGATGTCATCTCATAACGACTACGACAGTGTTATGAAAGGTGTTACACATGGCGCGTGTGATTATCTGGTCAAGCCTGTTGGCCTCAAGGAGCTTCGTAGTATATGGCAACATGTTGTTAAGAAGAACATTAACAAATTCGCAAAAAGCATAGGCCCTTCTGATTCCCAACTCTCCCAAAGTATCAGCAACAACCAGAAAGACAAAGTCAGTGACAGTGACAGAGAAAAGAAAGATGGTGAGGGGAGTGAACACAATGTCCAAGAGCCATGTTCCCTGAAGCCTCGTGTCCCTTGGACACCGGAGCTCCACCAGAAGTTTGTCACTGCCGTTGAGCAATTGGGTATAGAAAGTTAGTTTGCCTTAAAAAAAACCTCTTTTTGACCTTTCCTAATGTGTGATATATGTTGCCATTCTTACTTTCTGCTAAAGGTTTATTTTGATGCTTGCATATGTGGATTTCTCGTTGGTCTCCGTTACAGAGGCCGTTCCTAAGAAAATACTTGATATCATGAATATAGAAGGTCTCACGCGTGCAGACGTAGCCAGCCATTTGCATGTACTAATTAATCAATTTCTCATTCTCTTTTGCATTTTGCTTCTGCCTTTCCTACTATATAATATTGGATGATGAAAATGGTTCGACTTGTTTTTCTTCTCTGGTTTTGGTTGCAGGAGAACAGACTATCCTTGAAAAAGTTGAACGAACATCAGCAGCAGAACATGGCTCCAGATGCATTTGGACCAAAAGTCGAGAAAGTGGATCTGTTTCAACCAACTACAACAACTCCACAAGAGCCCCTTCTCTTTCCTAAAAGCAAGAGCTCAGCGTACAGTTGCTATCAGATAAACAACAAGCAGCAAGACTACAAGACAGCCATTAAAATATCAGAGCTGACTAAGAAGGATGATCCTTCCTGCAAATTTCCGATTATGATAGAGCCCTTTTCGTACGGTGGGGCTACTCGGAGACACAGGTTCTTCTTCCCATTGATGCTAGCTGCCGCCATTGCACTCTCTACTTTCTTATGGTTTTTTGTCAGTTTGTGATTGGCTGCAAATTTTTATGTTGCCTTACCTCAAAACAATGCCATGTTCATCAAGACAATCACTTGTGATTGGCTGCAATTTTTTTAATGTTTCCTTACCTTAAAAACAATGCCATGTTCGTCAAGACCATCACTCCAAAAATAAGATTTGTCTTGAATTGCAGCTTGCAGTTTGTTGGACACAAAATTAACGGAAATTGAGAAAAAGTTCTGTGAAAATGAAAGACGGCCAAAGAATGACAGAGATGCGTCATTTAAAGTTAAGGTAAATAACAAGGAGGTTTACAACTTATATAGAAGCCAAAATGCAGGAGAATTTATTGTGAATAGTACCTGCAACTGCACACATTTGGGAAACTAAGTTCTGTTCGTACTCCTTCCCCACCGACAGAAGGTCCCCATGAAAAAGGGCCAGCACTTAAATCAATGAATGCCCACCTGAGGGGAAGAGTTCACAAAATCATGAAACATACAGCTTTGTCATTTAATTGGTATGCATAAGATGCGCTCTAAGACAGAATCACAAGGTTAAATACATGTACACACATGCATTGAGAGCTTCAGAAAAGCAACCTGCCCTTTCCGATCCAAATATCAGTCAGACATTCTGCGTTAAGATTGCTAATGTCTCCAGCTCTTAAACCCTTTTCTAGAAAAAGCTTCATATCTTCATTATTCCCCTGAAGCAACTTGAAATTGCCATTGAGAAAGATCCAAAGTTTAGCACATGTGAGGAAATTCATTCAGAAAAATATTAATTAGCTTCTGGGACCAGACAGTATTGAGCCAAAATAAAAGAAGATTGGTACCTGCAAAACCTTACTCTGAATGAGCTCGGCTGCATCTTTACCATGAGATAGCTGTTCCAACTTGTTAAGAGCATCCTGGCATGCATTGTACCACTCGGCCTGAAATTAAGACAACAATGAACATTGTAAAACACGAAAGCCAACATTGTAAGACATACAGAAACACCGGATACTTGCACCACCAATGATCTGGTTCTCAAATGTGAGTATACTAGTATAATCATTGCAACAATCCCGCAGGACTAAACACATTGCTAAACTAAACTTCTGCGACATATTTTGGTGCATTCATTTATACATTGATATAGAAAAGGAAAACTTGTCTGCCAGAATAGAAAAACTTGTCAAGATTTAACATAGGAACACTAGACTTTACCATGTGCATCCGCACAGAATTTTTTTTGTTTATCGAATTTTGTAATATAATTTATGTTTTTGAGTTTATATAAAATTATTTATAGTATTAAATATGATCATAATTAAAAATATATAATTCTAACTCATCTGTTCATATTAATCCAAAAAGAACTATGATTATAAAAACATAATTTTAATTCATTCATTTATATTACTGTATAATGTAAAGATTTATTAAAATTTTGAGATATATGAACTTATTTTATTTGACATAGAATATATTATATAGTTTTCTAAAATTTAATCTATAATGACAGGCGATAATGTTTTTAATTTTTTTTATGTTTTATATTTTGTATGAAAAATATATTTTTAGTATGATTCAAAATTAATAAATTTAGCCAACAAAATATTTTTAATCTGTTTTTATATATATTTTTAGTTCTATATTTTATTATAAAAATTTTGAATATTGAAATTATACAATTAATTTTCTTACTTATTATTTTTTATTAATTTGTGAATAAAAATAATCATAAATATATATTTATATAATCAACATAAATATCATATTATTTCTATTATCATAAATATTATATATTTCAAATATAACCATTACTTCCATATGTGAATTTTTTTTAAGTACTGGTATTCTTAATAACCTTTTTAATAGTATAGATAATATTTAATTAGAATATTCAAATCAAATCTAGATTAATATCTGATTTTTATTTTTGTAAAGATAATAACTGATTTTTTAATTGTTTAGTAGATAATGTAATCTATATTTAATAAAATCTAAAAAACTCAATTAATATTTGAATTTCGAAATTAAGTTTATATATATACTAAAATATATATTTTTTATAATATTTAACATGCTTTTTTTTAATAGTATAGATATTTACAGAATAGGGAAAAGAGGAGCCAAAATAGTTAGGAAATCTGTGAATATGTGGAGATATATAGGCCGGATTAATAGGAAGAAAATCTTTCACTTATTTCCTTAAAAATTTGCATATAGTTCTCAGACTGCAGGTTTTCAGAATAAGAAGAAAGGGAAGAGAAGGGAAGAGAGGAGACTTGTTGCAGACGAATTGCATCAGCTATGGAGTTGTTGAGCGATGAAGAGGGAATGACAGAGCAGTTTCCTGTAGGAATGAGGGTCCTGGCCGTAGATGACAATCCAACCTACCTTGAGAAACTAAAAGACTTGATGCTTCTCTGCAAATATCATGGTACTTATATCCTTTGCTTCTGTTAATTTGTTTTTTTTTATTTTACCTGTCTATGAAAGCGTGGGATCGAGATGTTATTTTTTTATTGATATGACAGTGACAACGACAACAGATCCAAAGAAAGCTCTAGAAATGCTGAGAGAGAACTTCTACATATTTGATCTGGTTATAGCCGATGCAGATATGCCGGACACTGATGTCTTCAAGTTGCTTGAAATTGGTCTTGACATGAACCTTCCTGTCATCAGTACGTGTCCCCTCCCTCGCTTTTTATTTTCATATCAACACTAGTGTCTTTGACTTCTCATCACTCTTTGTGTGTTCATGTTCTCAAGTGATGTCATCTCATAGCGACCACGACAGTGTTATGAAAGCTGTTATACATGGCGCGTGTGATTATCTGCTCAAGCCTGTTGGCCTCAAGGAGCTTCAGAATATATGGCAATATGTTGTTCAGAAGAACATTAGCAAATACGCAAAAGGCAAAGACCCTTTTGATTCCCAACTCCCCCAAAGTATCAGCAACAACCAGGAAGACAAAGTCAATGACAGTGAACACAATGGCCAAGAGCCACGTACCCTGGAGCTTCGTGTCTTCGCTTGGACACCGGAGCTACACCAGAAGTTTGTCGCTGTCGTTGAGCAATTGGGTTTAGAGAGTGAGTTTTCCCCTTAAACCTCTCTTTTCACCTTTCTTAATGTGCCATGTCCACTCTTGTTTCTGCTAAAGATTTGTTTTGATGACTTTTTTTTTTTTTTTTTTTCTTAATGTGCTATTGTTTTGATGACTTTCATGTGTGGATTTCTCGTAATTTTTGTTTTCTCTTGGCCTCCGTTATAGTTTCTGTTCCCAAAAAAATACAGAAACTCATGAACGTGGAAGGTCTCACGCGTGCAGACGTAGCCAGCCATTTGCAGGTACTAATTAATGAATTTCTCATTCTCATTTTTGCGTTTTGCTTCTGTCTTTGCTAATGTATAATCTTGGATGGTGAGATGGTTCGACTTGTGTTTCTTCTCTGGTTTTGGGTTGCAGAAGTATAGAGGATGCTTGAAAAAGTTGGACGAACATCAGCAGCAGAACCTGGCTTCAGATGCATCTCGTACGGTGGGAGAACCCGGAGACACAGGTTCTTCTTCCCACTGATGCTAGCTAGCTGCCGCCATTGCAATCTTTACTTTCTTATTGTTCTTTGTCAGTTTGTGACTGGCTGCAACTTTTTATGTTTCCTTACATAAAACAATGCCATGTTCATCTAGACAATCACTTATGACTGGCTGCAACTTTTTTATTTTTCCTTACATAATAAAAAAATGGCATGTTCATCAAGACAATCACTAAAAAACATAAGATTTTGTTTAGTGTTTAGCTTCTTTTATACAGATTCTTAACCTCAGTAAATCAGAGGCCCAAATGAGCATTTAATGTGTATTAGGTGGTCGTTGAAAAATGAGCAAAACGATTTAATTCAATATGCACCAGCACCACTGCAATACTATAGACCTCTAGTATCTATAAGCTGCAAGAACAGCTCCAGACTAATCACTTATCTCCTGGTGAATTCAGTTTCTTCCACCAGCCAGAATTTTTAACGGATTGTAAGAATACCAAACTATTTATCAACATAAATTTAGTGAGGACGATTGTCCACACAAAATATAAAGTATTTCTTGGCCAGTAAGCTGTCTAGAAGCAAACAAAAAAAAAAGTGGATACGGCGCTGACAAAATGGGTGGATAATGCCCAATCTATCACTGATTTTTGGAACGCTTCTTTACTCCATGTTTAAGCTTCCTGAGTTGTGGTTGTGGCTGAGTAACAAATGCAGAGAAGAGAAAATGGAAAAATAATCGGCAAATGACTAACAATGTGGAGGATGGGAAAGTCAACTGTTCTTCAAATATGGGACTTTTGTTCAATGCTGAATGTGATGCGGATCAGCTTAGTCCATTGCCTTGTCAAAGTCTCATTTTGGAATAGAGCCCATATGAGTAACTGGTCATCATGACTTTGTTTGGTGCATTAACTTTGATAGAAAAAGAGATAACGAAAACGTGTATATCAGAATAGGAAAGGAAAAATATATAAGGCAAGCCAGAGAATATGAAATGCTGGCTTTGAACGTTATAAGAGAATAGATATTTGAAAGTATGGGAAAAAAATGGGGACATTTAAAATCACTTTACGAAAAGTTGTCTTTTGTGCACAGATAAGGAAAGATTCAACAAACAAAAGGAAAGAAGAGAACCATGTGACTCTCCATGTCCCTGAAAATGGAAAAAGGAGCAAAAATAGAAGGGAATAATGTAAATTATGTAGAAAATTAAGGGCCGGATTAAAGGCACAATCACTCGTTTTTTTTTTGTCTTTTCCTTACACATACATGGATGATATGGATTATGGTATGTCCTAGTCCAAACTAGATGTATTTCAGAATATACAAATCAGAGTAAAAGTCTATACTCTATATGTTAATTCTTGTGGGGACGAGAAGGGCAAAGAAGAGACTTGCATCAACATTGTGATGAGTATCAAAATGGACTTGGTGAGCAATGAAGAGGGAAGAACTGAGCATTTTCCTGTAGGAATGAGGGTGCTTGCTGTTGATGACAATCCAACCTGCCTTCGGAAACTCGAGGAGTTGCTGCTTCGTTGCAAGTATCATGGTACTTACTCTCTTTGCTGCTTCTGTCTATTTTTGTTTGGAATGCATCACAAGATGTTTTGATTGATTTTCTCAGTGACAAAGACAATGGAGTCGAAGAAAGCTCTGGAATTGCTAAGAGAGAAGAGCAATATGTTTGATCTCGTGATAAGCGATGTAGAGATGCCTGATACAGATGGCTTTAAGCTGCTAGAAATTGGTCTTGAAATGGATCTTCCTGTTATCAGTACTTCTCCCACCCTCCTTTTATTCTCAATATACACTATAGCCTTCTTCTTCTTCTTCTTCTTCTTCTGAGTTTTGTTTCGTTTTCTACAGTGTTGTCAGCTCACAGCGATTACGACAGTGTTATGAAAGGTATTATTCATGGCGCTTGTGATTATCTGGTCAAGCCTGTTGGCCTCAAGGAGCTTCGTAATATATGGCAACATGTTGTGAAGAAGAACATTACCACATACAAAAAAAACATTTCCCCTTCTCCCCAGCTGCTAACTCCATCTGAATCTCATCTTGCCCCAAGCGGCAGCAAGAAACGTAAAGAGAAAGTTAATGACAGTGGTGGTGATGAAGATGAAAGTGACAGAGAAGATGAAGATGGTGAGGGGAGTGAACAAGATGGCGACGAGTCATCCACACGGAAGAAGCCTCGTGTTGTTTGGTCACAGGAGCTCCACCAGAAGTTTGTCAATGCCGTTCAGCAACTGGGACTTGACAGTGAGATTGCCTCCTTTTGATGCTTTCATGTGTTGAGTCTTCTTTCCATTTCTACTAATGTTTGTTTTTCTCCTTTACAGAGGCTGTTCCAAAGAAAATACTTGATTTCATGAATATAGAAGGTCTCACTAGGGAAAACGTAGCCAGCCATTTACAGGTACTAATTTCCCATTCACTCTTTCATTTTGGACTGTGCCTTTTGCTAGTGTAACCTTGAATGGTGAGACAGTTCTACTTGTTTTGTTTTGTTTTTTTTGCTCTGGTTTTGGGCTGCAGAAGTACAGACTATACTTGAAAAAGATAGATGAAAGTCAACATCAGAACATGACTCCAGATACATTTGGGACAAAAGATTCATCTTACTTTAATATGTCTCAACTTGATGGACTAAGAGACTTCACTTCCACAAGACAATTTCCAAGCTCTTCACTCTTGTCCCGTTCCCATCTCACCAGATTCCATCCCTCTGTGTACTCATCCATAAACCTTCAAGGAACCAACTCCTCCAACTTCAACAACCACCAGAGCTCAAGCAACTCAGCTAATCCATTTGGAACTTATCACCGTACTCTGTTCCCAAGATCCCAAAACGTGAATCTGTCACCACTAGAGCCCCTCCAGTTTCCTACGAGCAAGTACATGGGAGATTTCAAGACCATAGGGGACCGAGCAACTGGCGGTAGCTTCCTTGATACTCGGATGTCATTCGGTAGCTCTAGCACCTCTTTGCCAAGTGCTTCAAGCAACAATCTGATGTTGCAAGCAAACTATACACAACCCCTGCACATAGCCTCGGATAAAAACCAGCCTTGCCACGAGGCCAACTCTAGTTCCCTAAACATGAGCGTTCATGGACTACCTAGGTTTCCTAGTCATAGCTGGCAAGGGAGTTTGAGAACAACAAACAGATTCCCATCAAGCTGTTTACCAATAAACCATGTTTTCAGTCAGGATCAAGTGGCATATCCAGGGAGCGGTCTGGGAGATTGTAGCTCTTTGGTGTCTGCAGAGAATCCTGGTGGAGAGATGCAGTGTGAGCCTCAGTTGCTAGGTGCCTTCATGAACACGTTAGACGATGGACCAAAATGGGAGGAACAGAACTGCAACATGGTGAACAATCAGTTCGGTAACGTGGAGTATCCCTTAGCAGCAGATAACATTGTTTTCAGGGACAACAATGCGAGCAGAAGCAAAGGCTTGGATGAGTCACTGATGATGAGCCCAATAGAGGACAGTGCAACAACAATCAACAACAGTCAAGAGTATGTGGGGAAATTTACAATGCTGGATGCAGATCAGATGAAGCACTCTGGAAAGCCAGAGAATGCTCTTGTCGTCGAAAACCAGCATGATGTATTCGATGACATAATGAATGAGATGATGAAACAAGTGAGTAATGACAATTTTGTGTGATTTGATCAAATCTTTTGCAATGGTAGAGAATGAAAGTGATGTGTGTTTTGTTGCAGGATGAGAATAACGGATTGGTATCAGCTGTGGCTACTAGATTTGGGTTTGATTCGTTTCCTCCGCCTTAGTTCATGCATGCCTCTCTCTCTCTCTCTCTCTCTCTCTCTCTACCGGTTGCATCATTTTTCTTCAAATGAATTACCATTCTTTGTCATTTGTTTTTTGTTTTTTTTTTTCAGTTTATTCCGACATTGTTTCTTTCCATTGTCAATAGATCAGCTGACACACTGCACCAACCAGTTTCATACTCTCTTTATGATTTGAAACTTTTTATCCAAGAAGAACTTGTGTTTGTGTAATTGGGTAAAAGTTAAAAATTATTTGAAACTTTCTGAAGACGAAAATACTGTAGTGTTGTTTATTTTGAAAACCAATATACGGATAAGGAATACTTTCGTTTCCCTTTTTAATAATATCGAAAATAGAGTATTTCCGATATTGACAATGCGGCTTATTAATGGTCAAAAAAAAAAGAGAAAATTTACAAATTTTGGGCCTAATTAATTTCGTTACATTTACGGCCTAATTAATAATAAATCGAGAACAATAGTTGGGTTTGTAAATCAGGTAACCCATAACCCCTTAACTCTGTTGTTTTGACATACGGGATCAATGGAAATTATGGAATGATTGAATATTTCCATTTATTCAGGATTGACTGAAACGACTAATTTACTATCCCGATCTCTTTCCAAAACTCTCTATAAAAATTGTGACTCATATTGAAGTTTTATGAATTTTTTTTTATAAGTGTTGCAATTTAGTTAATTGAGCTATATATGAGAAACGTTATATTTTACATAATAGAGATTTAGATTTCAATATTACGGTAAAATTTGGTGGGGACCTAGAATAGCCTAAAAGAGGAAGTCAAATCGAAATGTGAATGTATGTATGGCCCATTGTATTGTAATTCTACTCCCACAGAAGAAAGAAAAGAAAAAAGAGACATTTGTGTCCTCCTCCTTTTGTAACTCATGGACGCTACTAGAACCAGCTAACCCCACACGCTACCCACGTGTCAACACCTCCTCCCACGGAAATCTCCTTGGCTCTATTTTCTCTATTTCCTATAAAAAAGAAACTGAGATCTCTCTTTCTTATCCTTATTACCTCAAAGAAAATATCTAAAAATCGTAGAGAACAAGGAAAAAAAAAAAAAAGAGAAAGAAGAAAGATGACGACGGAGAAGAAAGAGATGCAAGTGGTGAAGGGACTCGACTTGGAGAGATACATGGGCCGTTGGTACGAGATTGCTTCTTTCCCCTCCTTGTTTCAGCCCAAGAACGGCGTCGACACTCGCGCCACCTATACTCTTAACCCGGACGGAACGGTGCACGTCTTGAACGAGACATGGAACGGAGGGAAGAGAGCTTTCATCCAAGGCTCAGCCTACAAGACCGACCCAAAGAGCGACGAGGCCAAGTTCAAGGTCAAGTTCTACGTCCCTCCTTTCCTCCCTATCATTCCCGTCACCGGCGACTACTGGGTCCTCTATATCGACCCCGATTACCAGCACGCCGTCATTGGCCAAGGCTCAAGGAGTTACCTCTGGGTAAAGCCTCTTTTTGCTTCTTTTTCTTTGCTTTTTTATGATGAAATAATTGAGATGATGATCGTAATTAAGGTGGGTTATGTATGTATGTATGTATGTGGGTGGTGTAGATACTGAGCAGGACAGCTCACATGGAGGAAGATACATACAATCAACTGGTTCAAAAGGCAGTGGATGAAGGTTATGACGTGAGCAAGCTTCACAAGACACCTCAGAGTGACACACCACCTGAGTCCGACGCTGCCCCCAACGACACTAAGGGCGTTTGGTGGCTCAAATCTATCTTTGGCAAATAATTACAAAACACACCTCCTTTGTCTGTGTAATATACTACCCCTTGTGTTTACTCTTGTTTTCATCCTTGTACCTTTTGTCTAATTTCAGCATCTAAATATATTTTCGTGAGTAAACAGAGTCATCTATTACCATAAGTAAATCATAAACAAAGCAATCAAATAATCTGGCAAAGACAATTGAAATCTGGTAGTGACATCATGTATTCGGATAACAGACCACACGACTCGAGTCTTTATACGGAATTCCACAGTGCATGCAATGCAAAACTACGAGATCCAGAATCATATATATATATAGGTAATAAAGAAAAACAGTCTCGTCCCCCAGCAAAAGTTTGGTTGACTATATATACCCAGGCACGTCCAGAGTTGCAGCTCACAGAATAGTACAGCATGAATTCGTTTTCTTCGCTTGCTTGTAAAACATCTGTTCCAACCAAAACATCAAAATCAGTTTCCCATGGCGAAATCATCTTTACATTAACTCTCTCTATTTATCTACCTACTCCAATAACACGCAACAGCTCCCAATAAGCACAAAAGTTTTTCTATTTATCTACAGCACTCTCAACCTCGTTCTTATCCTGGCCTTTCTACCGTGTTCACCAACTATGCTCAAAAACCGATACAGTGAAAAAGAAAGCTATATAAGCTGGGAAAAGCTGGTATGCAATGGTAGAATGTTACCTGCGATGCCATGCTCAAATCTGAGCTCTTTTCCACTAGGCTGTCCAGCTTCTCTCCGCGGGCTAAAACGCTATCAATGGTTTTATGCTGTAACAACACAGAACATATATTCAGTTTTGGGTTTTCGAGAATCATTCATTTTTTGCATCTGCAAGACGTTCTCCTTAAAACTGAACGCATTGACAAAACAGCATACTAATTGGGGACAGCATGAATGAAAAATTGAGTCACTATGCATCTTCAATGGAACTTGGAAAAGAGAGCATTTAAGTATATACGCACGGGTCTACAAGGAAGGACAGAAGATTGCGCTTACAAGGATAATCTTGGTCTCATCCAACTCCCTCTGGATTTTCAACAGCTTATCAGCCTCTGCTGGGTCCTGAAGATTACAAATACGAGGCAAAACCAAAAACATTAAAATCAAATCATTCAAAATCAACAATCAACTTGGTCATCATATGATAAGACTAGTCCATGAGGAATCAATCGATTTGGATTCTTGTGTCACCCAATTGAAGATTTATAGGCAAAAAGAGCGAATACAGTTGCAAAAGTGAATAACCTGATATTTGGTTAAAGCTTCGGCTAAGTATGGCCAGGACTGACTGGAGTCTTCTTTAGCAGACCTCCATGTCTCACCAAAACTCTTCTGGTACTCATCTAAGACCTGGAAAACAAAAATTGAATGTCAATCAAACCGAATCCTCAGGGAAACGATAACGACTGATTCCTAGTAGAACAACATAATGATACCTGATTGAGAAGAGAAAAGGCACTTCGAACAGGATAATGATCGTCCATGAATCCCACCGCGCAAAGGCCACTTCTATTGTAAGCATGAACCTTGTACTCTATATCAAAATCAAAAAAACACGAACCCTAATTACCCCAAAAATCGAGGACAAATAACAAAGCTGGAATCGCGTGAAATTACAGCCCGGAAAGATCTAGAATCGAAAGAGCTGAGCAAAACAATCGCACATCCTAATTCATTAAAAAAAAGTTGGGAAATCGAAAAGCCAATCCGAGTCTGCAGAAATCGAATCAAAGGCAAAGAGGAAAAGGGAATGGCATAGATCCGAGAGAATAAAAAGACGAAAGAAAGAGATCTAAAAAAGGTAAAAGAAGAAGAAGAAGAACCTTCGTGCTGGACAGACTGTCGCTGAGAAGGAGGGGTTCGGCTGGCGACAGTGCGACCGACAAAGATGACGAACTCCTTGACGCTAGATCGCTGGAAATAGCCGAAGTGAGAGACGTCGGAAGCGTTGGCGAGGATAACGGGATCGGAAGTCTCGGGAGCGCACTTGAGAACAAGCAAGGCGGTGATCTTCATCGTTGGGGTGGATCAAGGTTGCGTGAGAAGGAAGCGATGAGGAGGAGGAGAAGAGGTGTTGGGACCTGAAAAAAAAACTAAAGTCCGGTGGTAAAAGGGCAAAAAGTTTTGAGGTGTCGAACCAAACGCCATCTCATAACAGTCATTATATACCCCACTTTTTTGTTTATTCCTTATGATTAAGAATCATATTCTATGATTATCTTAATCCATGTTTATCAGCGAAAATATATGATAATGAATTTGGTCGAAAGTCGAAAATATTTAACGTTTTAAAAGTGAGGGGGTGATACATAAATTTATGAAAATAAGACATGTAAGATTCTGGAAAAAAAAACAAGAAAAGCGGTTAACAAGGGAATGGAGGGGAAAAAAAGAGATAAAAATAGGGGAGGAGTAAATGGCCATAAATGGTGATTTTAGCAAGTTACTTTTTTTACCCATTATTAACCCTTTTTTGTTTGACCATCTCCCCTTCGCTTCTTTTCCCTTCTCCAAAAACAAAAAAATAATAACGAGGAAAACAAGCAGAAGAGGGGATTCATGTTCTTGTTTTTTTCGCTGTGAGATTCACTTTTTTCTTTTCTTTCTAAAATGGATATCAAAACTCTGTAATGTAAATGTATTTGACTTTGCTTTGTACGTACACACAAAACATGCAGGATCAATCAAAACAAACAAATATGCTGAGGTTTTTCATCCTTTTCTCCCTTCTTTTACACTCTTGTGTTGCGGCTCCCAAGAAGCCCTCTGCTGCAGCCGCTGTTCCTGCCAAGAAATGGCTCACCCTTAACGGTATGTCTCGATACTATTTATGAACCTGCCCCATATACATTGCATAACATGTTGGTTTGTTTTCTAAAAAACCCATATCTTTATTTCTCTTTCAGGACAAGAGCCAGCAGTTGTGGCCAGAGGTGGTTTCTCGGGTCTTTTCCCTGAGTCAAGCGCCTCTGCAAACGACTTGGCTATTAGCACCAGCTCGCCTGGCCTCACAATGTTGTGCAATCTTCAGATGACCAAGGACGGTGTTGGCCTTTGCTTGTCTGATATCACGCTTGACAATGCAACCACCATCTCCACGCTCTTCCCCAAAGCACAGAAGACCTACAAGGTCAATGGTCAAGACCTCAAAGGCTGGTTTGTCCTTGACTACTCTGCCGACACCATCTTCTCCAATGTCTCTCGTATGTCTTCTTCTCTTTTCTTCCTTCCATGCTTATCCACCACCACCACCACCATACCGTTTTCATGTTTTGTATTATTGAGCAGTGGTCCAGAACATATTCTCTCGGCCTAGCATCTTTGACGGCCAAATGCCGGTTTCTGCCGTGGAGGACGTACTCGGAGCCAAGCCTCCCAAGTTCTGGTTGAGCGTTCAGGTTTCTCTTCTTCCTCTCTATCAAGAATATGATTAACCAACCTATGGGGGCTTCTTTTTGACTCATCAAAAAAAACAAAATACTATACAAATGTGCAGTACGACAGCTTCTACATGGAACACAAGCTGAGCACAGCCGAGTACCTGAGAAGTCTGGGACTCCGCGGCATTAATTTCATCTCATCTCCTGAGATCGGTTTCTTGAAGAGCATTGGAATGGATGCAGGCAGGGCCAAGACAAAGCTCATATTCGAGTTCAAAGACCCCGAGGCAATTGAGCCAACCACCAACAAGAAGTACAGCGAGCTTCAGCAGAACCTTGCAGCTATCAAGGCCTTTGCTTCAGGCATTCTTGTCCCCAAAGACTACATTTGGCCAATTGACTCGGCTAAGTACATTAAGCCTGCCTCCACCATTGTGGCTGATGCTCACAAAGCCGGTTTAGAAATCTATGCTTCTGGATTTGCCAATGATATGATCACCAGCTTCAACTACAGTTATGATCCCTCCACTGAGTATCTCCAGTTTGTGGACAATGGCCAGTTCTCTGTTGATGGCGTCATCACTGATTTCCCGCCAACAGCATCACAAGCCATCAGTGAGATGACTTACTATTTACCCTCTTATATGTACTCTCAAAAGATTTTATTAATAGGAGAAGCTCACAAGTGTCTTTATTCTTGCAGCTTGCTTTTCTCACCAAAAGGGCAATCTCCCCAAAGCAGGCCATGCGTTGGTCATAACTCACAATGGAGCAAGTGGAGATTATCCAGGCTGCACTGATCTGGCTTATCAAAAGGCAGTCGACGATGGAGCAGATGTGATTGACTGTTCTGTCCAGATGTCCAAAGACGGAATCGCTTTCTGCCTGGATTCTGCAGACCTCACAAAAAGCACCAATGCCATGACCACTTTCATGTCCCGAGCCACCAGCGTTCCTGAGATCCAGCCTACCAATGCCATTTTCTCTTTTGATCTCACCTGGGCCGAGATCCAGTCCCTGAAGCGTATGAAACTGATTTTTTTCTTTTCTAAACTTTTCTGAAACAATCTCATGATTCTCAGCTAAATCACTAAGATTCTCTGTGTCCAGCTCAAATCGAGAGCCCCTTCTTAACTTCTGGGGGATTCCAGAGAAACCCAGCAAACAAGAATGCCGGGAAGTTCATGAGTCTCGTTGACTTCCTTGAGTTGAGCAAAGCAAAGGCTGTCACTGGAGTTCTTATCAACGTGCAGGCAAGCCTTTTAAGCCCCCAAATACTCCTTAACTAATCACTCAAGGCCGCTCCACTAAATCTTAATTCTTATTTACAGAACGCTGCCTATCTAGCCTCTAAGAAAGGCCTAGGTGTTGTAGACGCAGTCAAGTCCGCTCTGACCAACTCCACACTGGACAAGCAATCAACACAGAAGGTTATGATTCAGTCAGATGACAGTTCCGTCCTGGCCAGTTTCGAGGCTGTACCTCCCTTCACTAGAGTCTTGAGCATTGACAAAGAAATCGGAGATGCTCCCAAGCCATCCGTCGAAGAAATCAAGAAGCACGCAGATGCTGTAAATCTTAAGAGAACTTCTCTCGTCACCGTCTCCAACAGCTTTGCCACAGGGAAAACTAACGTGGTGGAGGAAATGCACAAAGGGAACATCTCTGTTTACGTCTCGGTGCTAAGGAACGAGTTCGTTTCCATAGTGTTCGACTACTTCTCAGATCCTACGGTAGAGCTTGCCACGTTCATTGCTGGGAATGGCGTTGATGGAGTCATCACAGAGTTCCCTGCCACTGCTACCAGATACTTAAGTAAGTCTAAACCTTTACAAGATCATTAAAGAACCATAACCAAGATGAGATTGATCATATATATTTGATGCAAATGCAGGGAGTCCATGCTCAGATTTGAACAAAGACCAGCCCTATGCAATCTTACCTGCAGAGGCTGGCGCTCTACTCTCTGTGGCAGCCAAGGAAGCACAGCCACCGACTAGTGCCCCAAACCCGCCTCTTGATGCTAAAGACGTGATTGATCCGCCTTTGCCTCCGGTTGCAAACATGGCCACCTCCAATGCAACTGGAGGAGCTCCACCAGCCCCTCGTTCAGGCACTGTTGCCAACGCTGCTAATCTTGGCCTTACCTTGCTGGCTATGCTGGCCTTGGGACTTCTCTTCACAGCCTAAGAAAGATTGATCACACAATATTGTAACATGTTCGCCCTCAGCATTCCACTGACACAATGTGAGCTAACTATGTTTTTTACTCACGTTAACCAAAATACGCAGTACACAGGGATTTGTTGTTATAGATCAAAGCTCTAAAAAAAAAATCTTTGTTTGTTGTCATAGGAATGTTTGATTTCGGTAGAGATTTTGAATATTGATAACCGCACATAATTCTATTTTACGAACCTTCTCCACGAAGCAGTCATTACTTTCATAGTTGTTGCTATCTCGACATAGTATACCAGCAAAAAGGCAAAACACCAATGATAATGTCATCAAAGGTAATTTACAAAACAGTAAGATAATTACTACAGTATAATACAGTGCCGTTTAGTATTTTTAAAATATTCTCGCTCTCTCCCGAGGCGCTTAGTATGAGAACAAAACTAAAAGACCAATAATCTTTGACAAAAGTTACATCAACTACTACAAGAGTATTCTCTCAGAGTCATCCTTATGCGTATTCCCTCCCTATTCTTACACAACATAGCTCCTCCCACACACACTCTCCCTAATCTCCTAATTAATATTCGTTGAACTTGATCCTTCATCTAGTGACCGCCACAACTGCTCCGTGGAAAGAGAGACTCTCATGTCAACTGTTTTAAGTATAGGAAGCTACATGGAGCATCAAACTATCCCTCAATCCAAGCCAAAGAGAGCCAGTTCCTCGCTCTTTATTTCAACTCCAGTTTATCACTCTCAGCTGCTTGTCCACCGTCTTTTCCTTGCTGGCCGCTCAGCTTTCACCTCTGAATCCACAGGGCCTTCAATTTTTGCAGAAGTCAGCGTCTCAGACTCCATTTTCTTTACTCCTGTGGTGTCTTTCTCCGTGGGCATTGGAAGCCTGAACCTTTCACTGCGTTTCTTGAGTTTCTCAACCGTGTCCAAGTGCCGGTCTCCTGGTCCCTTCTCGCTTCCATCTTTGGTCTCTGCAAGGTCATGGCCACTTTTCTCTTCGTTTACATCCCGATTCTTGCCAATAGAACCATGAACGGGTTCGCAAACTCGGCCATTAGTGCCTTTTTCCTTCTCTTGAAGTTTTGAAGAAGTGGATGATGACTTGGCAGTGACAGCATCATCTCTCTCTTTTTGGCTTGCCCAGCGCTCTAATTTCGTACGTCCTCTCTTTGAATCTTGTAGCTCCTCAACAGAGGAAGCATTTTCCTTGTGTCTTTTGGTGGCGTTAAGCTGCTGTGGGATCTCACTCCTGTAATTTTGTGCTTCGTTGGTTCCTTTTGAGCCCTGAAAGGCACGAAAGAAACATCAGTATTGTCCGTGAAGGCATACTAAAAGTGACAAAACCATGAGATATATTAGGTAAGATTGGCAATGGAATAAAAAACTTCGCACGGTATATTGCTTTCAGAATACCATGCTACTTTAAATTTGCAAAACTTGGATGAGATTAATAAAAGTAAATTCATAGGCTGATGGAGCATACGGTCACTTCGGAACTGCCATTTTGTTCTCCTTGCTTGGTCCTCAATGAATCTGTGCCCTCTCGTTGTTCTTTAATCTTTCGTCTAGAATCTTTATGTTTTCTGTCTTGCAATCGCTGGCCATCTGAAGAATCCATAACCTTGTCACTTTTTGCACCTGTCCTCTCCTGCCTTGTTTTTTTCTCATTGTTAACAAAGTCATCTGTGCGTGCAGAGAAGTCTTCGTTTCCTCTATGATGGGAAGAACTTTCTTCACCAGGGTACTCCCTTCTTTTCGTCTGTTTAGTATGCCTTGCTGTATCTTTGGTGAGATGCTCTTTGTCAGAAGCTTTATACTCATCCTTCATCTTCGATGATCGGTCTTCTGAACCTCTATGGCCCCTTGCAGCCACATGCCTCTCTCTTCCTCGTGCTGATAAACCATCCTCGTGAGTTAGTTTCAATTTATCGAAATCCTCACGTTCTCTCAACCTCTCATTTCCATCTCTCTGCATATAGAAATCATCTCTGTGCCTTAGAGAACCGTGGTCGTCAAAATCATCTCTAAACTTATGTTGGACATTATGTTGGGCATCTCTCTTTTGATGGTCCAACCTATCACCCCGTTCTCGTTTCAGGCGGCTGATTGATTCTCTCTGACCATATGAGATTTCATTCTTTTCAGAGCGGTTTCTTCTCAAGTATTCTTCATCTTTCCTCCTCTTGCTGATGTGATTATCCAGTTCATAACTATTTCTCAAACCAACATCATCCAAATGCTTTCTCGAAGGAACATGGTCATCTTTGCTGCGTATTTCACTCTCTCGCATTTTACCCCTCTGCCTAGAGCCCAAATCATCTTCACGATCCCTTTTTCTAGACCCTTCATCCCCACCTCTTCTAATGAATGGGTCATCCTCTTTCCTACGCCAGACACCCCCATCAACATCTCGCTCTTTCCTTCTATCAAAATCCTCGCCGCTTGCAATTGAGTAATTATAGCAAGAATCAACCTCCATATGAGGATTCGAATACTCCCTACCGCCTTTGCTCGCCGCTCGACTTCTTTCCATTTCTTTCCCTCTGTCTTGAGTCTTCCTACTCTGATGTGGTGCATTGTTATCGTGATTTTTCTTATTGCTAGCTGGTCTAGCAGAATTATTATCTTGAATAACTTCCTCTTCTGCACCATCCTTCAATTGCTGATAATCTCTGTGACTTCCAGATCTTGCTTTGCTGCTTTCACTACTTCTCTCTGCCTTTGATTCCACTCCTTCATCTTCTTGAACTGCTGACTGAGGGACTGCAGAACTCATTTTATGCTCCTCCATCTCAGCATCTTTGCCAGCTTCACCCCCGACATCTTCACGATCAACACTTGATGACCTTGTGCCTCTGTCTCCAACAGGAGACGACGAACGAAAACTCTGGCCACTATCCGTGCTTCTAGAGATCTCATCGTCTTGCTTTTTGAGAAGCCTTTTACGTGGCTCATCCTGGGCAGGACTTTGTTCAGCAGATTCCATGCCTGGTCTCCTGCTATTAGCATACCCAGTCTCAACTGGAACATTTTCTCCAGGAAGGCTACTATCAGCTTGTTCTGCGCCATTTTCACCCGAGGGCTCATCCTCGTGCGAATCCTGACATACAATCTGGCAACAAAGTCATTTTTTTAGTTAGTAGCAGTCAGTATAGCACGCAAAGATGCCTCACCCGTAAAATCAAAATCAAGAAAGATTTGAGACAGGTTCAACCTCAATGATAGCATCTAGATCACGCATTCGAGGAGCACGCGTATCACTGGATGGCATACGCTCACCAGAACCAGTCTCCACAGGTATTGGTCTTCCAGGGGGCTGCGAGAAAAAAAATATCCAACCAATAGTCTCATAGTTTAGAAACTAACAAGACAATTGTACAGCCACAATGTTCCAGTTTTGATATACAAAAAAGTGAACCACATACAATACAGTGAACCACATATAGACAACGCTACTTCAAATGAGAGCAAAGGCAGGGGGAAACATACTAGTGAAGGTCGAGCATGAGCTGGTACTTTAACAGAGTCACTTTGAGTAGTGTCTGGCTTCACTAAATTTGAAGAATCAACAGGAACACCCTGCGCCCCTGTTGCTGCAGCTAACTCTGGGGGCAGATCTGGATCATAACCCTATCATCGTACAAGAGAATGATTAGGAATGCAATGTCACCCTTTTTGTATATGGTGTTGTTGACAAAATATTGTCAGCCTGCGAAGAATAGTCAGCTCTTAAGTGCTACAATATAAGCCAAGATCCACATTACCTGATCTGTTCTACCGCTTTCATAAACGCGTATTCTGCTTTGCATCGTAGTCTCTATACGGTGTTGATCCTGTATGGAATTGAAAGATGTTCCTCTTAGTACTCTTCATTCGCTGAAATAGGATATGAATCACAGTTATTAATTACCAGCTGTTTGCAATAGTCCTTCCAGCTCTCCTCATTCAGTCCAAAGTTGAAGTAGTCAGTGACATCATTTCCTTGATATCTCCAGGGCTTTTCCTCAAAAGTCTCTATGTCGACCTCAAATATAGTCCTATAAATACGCAAGAGAAACACAGGTCTCTAAACCCTCAAATATAGTCCTATAAATACGCAAGAGAAATCAAATAAAAGAAACACAGGTCTCTACTAGTCAAAACTTGGCACTTACAATCAGATGTTAGATGACAAATAAGTAAAAAAGATTGATATGCAGATGTAATGACATGAGCCTTGACTATATAAAATCTCCACAGTTCCGAATAGATAAAGAGTTACTTGTGAGAGGGAAGAGTAAAATCCAGTCCACGCCCTGCTGTATTACTACCCCAAGTCTGGTGGAAGCCTTTCTGTGGAGCAGAAGCATTCCTCATTCCCATTGGACGCCAATCTCCTCTGCCACGACCAGCCATAGGACCAAGGTTGGCAGGTGGACGAACTTGACCTGAGGATGCAGCACTTCCAGGCATGGGGGCTGCCCCCGGTCTTACATACTGCAAGAGAAAGGTAATTACGTCAAGTAGATCAATACCACCTTATTTTGAATCAGCGTGAATAATTGTAACTTTGGTATGACTAATCCAAACGAAAATATGAAATCTTTGACGGAATGTTGGCTTCATAAATTTAGTTAGAGTCCCAAGAGATTGTGATTCTTCTTCAATTGCTAATGTTAGATTTTGCAACAACTCTTAGACAGCATAATTGCTGGTGTCATAGGATTGCGATCTACGAAGAGATTATATCCTTTCACGTTCTTGAATGTTATGACCAAACACCCCGAATTTGGTATTTCTTGAACAAAAAAAGAAGCATTTAAGAAAGAAGATGGTGAGTCAAAATCTAGAAGCAGACTCCAATTTCTCTGATTTAACATACTCTGCATTTGCATTCAGGTTTAGGTACAAGTACAAAGGAGATATGCACTCAGAAATTATGAAAAATAAAACAGGGCCACGACAAGAACCCAGGCCACTAAGTAATCTAACTAGTGACAACAGTGTTGCATTGACACTGACCTTAAACTGAGAATGAAACGGATGATACCCATGACTGCTATACCCAGTTTTGGACTGGCCAGAAGCACCTCCTGGTCCACTTCCCTTGCCAGCTTCTCCTCCGTCTTTGCCATCTCCATCAACCACTTGCAGACCATCTTCTCCCCACATCTGCTCCTCCATAGGCTGATTTGGATCCGCGTCTGCCACTATAACAAGTGGTTCTTCATCATCATCATCGTCATCGTCATCTTCGTTGTCTTCCATCCTTGATCTTCTGTCAACTCCGATCACGACGTTGCGGCTACTGTCATTCAACACTATCTGCAGATCGTCTTCACTGTCGCTATCCCAATCATCTCCTTCTCCTTGTCCTCCGTAGCCTCCATCGCCTACCTGCTCAATTCTTGTCGTCGTCTCTTGCGGAACACCTCGATCCGTAGCCAAACCAGGAACCGCGACAGCTTCAGAAGCGGAAACGAAAAGACCAGGTATCGAAGGTGTGGAATCGGCATCGGGTTCTTCGATATCAAAGCTCATGTCCTTGTCGTCGCCGCCAGCATCGCCAATTGCTTGCCGATTCGCGTCGTGAGAGGGAGTGGCGGATAATTTGGAGGCATCGTTGTCGGAAACCCTAGAGACGGAAGCTGAATTAGCTTCTGCCACGTCATGATCCTGGAATCGGAGGTTGAGGTCGATTGAACGGTGAGGAGGAGGTGGAGGTGGAAGAACGGCGGGAGGTTGAAAGGGCTGGAGGACGTCGGAATACAGATCTCCGAACTCGTCGTCTTCGTCCATTGGAGTGAGAGATTGGAGAAAGAACGGCCGATTCGAATGAAGCACGAGAAAGAGAGAGACGGTGAAGCTAAGGGCTTCTTCTCAACTCTCGGCCCCTTTTTATCATCTCTAGGGCCTTAATTTATATTGCCCAAACCTCTCAACAATTTTGGACTAATTAAATTAAAATTAATAAATTTAAGATATATAGTCTTCTGTTCATTCATCAAACCGAAGACAAACCAGGCTGAATTAAACAACAGCGGCATCTCTCCAAATTGTTTTCCCGGAAAAGCGTAATTTTCCCAGAAAACAGAAAAGACTGTGTGTTTAGGGTTCTGGGTAAGCTGTAAACCGAAGAAGACGAGGGAAGATGATCGGAGTTGGGAAAATGAAGCAGTACTCCAACGTCCTTGACAAGCCCCTCAGCAAAGGCAAACAAGAGGTATTTCTCGCTCCCTAGATCCACTTTTCTGTTTCAATTTCGGACATTTTGCTCAGAAAATCTCTTCTTAGAGAATTTGACTCTGCAACGAGTATGGGAAGTGAGAACATTCTATCGATTTGGATCCGGATCTAATAGTTCTGGGGGAATTCAATTCGCATCTCTCGGATTTCGATCTTCTAACTTTGATCTCTTTACGGTGATCATTCAATTCCGGAAATTTAGCCACTTTAAAATTCTACGTATGTTGCAGGTGAGCTTGACCGCATTTGCTTTCTTATTCTCGGAGCTCGTTCAGTACAATCAAACACAGGTCGACAATATTGCTGAACTTGAAAGAAGGTGAGCTGAACAAGATTTGTTTTTTTTTCTCTGTCTGAATCATTCACATTCTAACAATGAGTTTTGTTCTTGATAATGATGGCTCTCAGATTAGAGGATGCTGGGTATGCAGTTGGAGCTCGAGTTCTGGAGCTTCTTTGCAACCGGGAGAAGGTACGCTGTGTTTTAGCAAAACTAAAAACTGATGCTTGTATGTATTGCCTGAAAGGCTTGAAAAGACAAGGTTTCATTTCTTATAAGTTTTGTTCATGGAAGAGCAATGCAGAGTTCAGTCAGGAGTCTCTTTGTGTGATGGATATGTTGTCTCATTGTTTCAGGGCAACCGAAGAGAGACACGGTTACTCGGAATTCTGTCTTTCGTCCATAGCACCGTGTGGAAGGTGTTGTTTGGAAAGGTGAGTGGTGATTTCAAATTGAATTAGTTGTTGAGTTCTTTCTATGGAAATGCTTGTTTCTTGATCCTAACTCGCCCTTACCAAAAATGCCATAGGTTGCTGATTCACTTGAAAAAGGAACAGAACATGAAGATGAGTACATGATCAGTGAAAAGGAACTTCTCGTGAACAGGTTAATATTGATCTAGCTCTTTCCGTACACACTCGACTTCTAGGTCAAGGGAACTGATTAAAAATGTAAACGTGTAGGTTCATATCGATTCCAAAAGACATGGGAACATTCAACTGCGGAGCGTTTGTTGCTGGCATAGTGAAGGTGAGTGCTATCTTGGCGTATTCATGAATACGGTTTAAAGATAAATGGTTAAAGAAGAGAAGAATGAGACAGCCACCATTTTCCTCTATGCAGGGAGTTCTGGATAACGCAGGGTTTCCTGCTGTGGTTACGGCTCATTTTGTACCCATTGAAGGGCAGCAACGTCCTCGGACTACCATTCTGATCAAGTTTGCTGATGAGGTTAATGCCTACACCCTCTCTATTTCATTCTCTTTTCTTCAAGCTTTGGGAAACACCTTGATCTTGACACTTGTTCTATCTTCTTCCACCCATGCTGCACAGGTGCTTAAAAGAGAAGCACGACTAAGCCAATGAGAAAGCACATTTTGTCACGAGCTGCCACGATTTGGGAACTATTGGCTTTTTGTGAACTGCTTGTGCAATTCTGCATGTCTGTCTTTTTGGATAACTTATATCAACATTCTGAATTGTGCTTGTGCTGCAAAGCTCTTGTCCGTGCATTGATGTAAACTACATACAGACCTTCTTCTTACAATTGCAGCTGATAATACAACAAATTCATAGTTTAGCACAGTGGATGCGGGTCCCCAGTGGATGCAAACATAGTTATGCCAATTGCGAAAGAAAAGAACACATTATATTATCCAGTAGCGAATTACAAATGCAAGTTGATTGACATATCAAATATAATCAGTGCAAATTACAAAGCAAAGCAGGTAACAACATGTCTCCACCAAATCAGTTCCTGCCGAGAGGGAGTGATCTACAAGAGTAAGTCTCCCTGAAATCAGACTTCTTCTTGGAGGAAGTAAAGAGAGAAGCATAGACTTCCTTGGTAGCATTAACCGGCACTGCATCTCCCGCCTTGAATTTCTTCACAGTAATGCCATTGCCATTGCCATTAACATCATCCATCTGTCTCTTTACGACCTTTGCTCCTGTATCAGCAACCACGGTTACACCGTTTTTGCTCTTCTTTGATGCGCCTTTCTTCTCCCTCAGCTTTGCTTTCTCCTCCTCCATCCTCTCCCTCAACAAATCCACCTCCTCCTCTGTACCGTTTATCACAATCTTATCAGAATCTTTGACATCCGCGTGACAAACCAAACACGAAGAAGATTTCACTTCCTTCAACGCCTTTGCGCTCATCACGTGTCCGCATCTCCTCAGAGCGAAAAATTTGTATTTTCCGTTGAACTCAAGCCCTGAAACCGGGCACTGAAACTGGGCACTGGTCGTATCTTGCGATGACCCATCGGAACCAGCGACCGGCGTGAGCCTGATGTTCACCATGTCTTTCAAACCCTTAATGTACGAGAATTGCTTAGGCAATTTCTTAGTCAACAAAGCGTTTACCAAAGCTTCTTTGTTAAACAAATTCCCGAGGAGATCAATCACACAAGGCTCGGCCAAAGGTTCGTTGGACAAAGCGCAGTTTAGCCATTTGGAGAGCCTCTGCTCATTCGGATCAACCTTGTCGGGTTTCTTCTCCGCGTACATATTAAGGTAGCAATCGCGAGACTCGGCTCCCGTCGCGCCGCCATCTCCTCCACCTCCACGGAGACGAGGGTAAAGAGTGAGAACGGAGATGGAAGGGAGCTTAGATACTTGGATCCGTGTAGAGCCATTCAAAGGCTTCCCATCAAGAGCGATGCAGAAATCCGATAACGATTTACGCTGCGACAATTCGAGTAAGGCAGTGAGACAGGGAAGAGTTAATGCAGATTGTGCAGGATCTAATTGCAGAGCGACGGCTTGTTGACTGTGAAGAGATTTAACGAAGATTTGGCGTCGGCTGTGCATTGTGGCGGAGCAATACGAAGAGCCCTAGGTTTTTCCGATCAATTTCAGTCGGTAATTAGAGATATTTGGGGATCGAGGAGAGAGAATTTTGGACGAAGGAAGACGGAGGAAAGTGTATTTTCCTCTATTGACCGACTTATCAATGAAGTGAGCCACTTTTCAGTTTGGGCTTTAGGCCTGTTTCTCTATGTGGTCTTTGGCCTTTTATTACTTGCGTTGTTGTTCTCCCTTTCCTCTTCTTATGTTGAAATGGACGAACGTGTTTGATTAACTACAAAAATGGGAACGTTTTAATCATTCGAAGGGGCAAAGTGTTTACCTGACATGAAAATTTAAAGTTTGAAGAAAATATAAAACAAAACACAATGTAAAATGGATTGTATACAGATTTGAATAAATCGAAAATTGGCTTTTAAGGATTATTAACAACAAAAACAAACATACAAAGAGGCTGGCCGGCCACGTACGACTTTTGTGAGATAATATTTGAGAGATTCGAAACTCATATTAATAATATTCCAAGATAGTTAAGGGAGTAAAATATAAAAAGAGAATAATGAAACGGCCAGTAATTAAAAAAAAAATTAGAAATCAAAAGTTTTAAAAATAATAAAAAAGAGGATAAAAATGAAGGAGGAAGCAAAGAAACAAGACAGAAGACAGAAGAAGGAGGAGAAGAGATGGAAAATGGGAATGGAGAAGGAAAGGGGGAGTTCATAAACCAGAACAATACTGACTTCTTCCTTGATTCCATGTCAATGCTCTCTTCTCTCCCTCCTTGCTGGGACTCATCTCTTCCTCCTCCTCCTCCTCCTCCTGCACCGCACTCTCTCTTCCACGCTCTCACCGTGGACGCCTCCTTCCCCGACCAGTTCCATCACCCTCAGGCACTAAAACTAACATCTTACATCATCACCTCAGAATCTAAAAATGTTTCTGATTTCTCACATATGTTTGTGTTGTTGTTGTTGTTGTCAATGCAGGAGTCAGGTGGTCCAAAAATTGGTAGCCAAGATGGATTGACGGCACAAGGGACAGTCTCGACAACGAGCGCACCTGTGGTTCGTCAAAAGCCAAGGGTGCGAGCCAGGAGAGGCCAAGCCACCGATCCTCACAGCATCGCTGAGCGGGTATATATATCTCCATCATTCACCGTCTCCATCTTCTCCATCATCTTTGTGTGTATCTGATTGAATTATGTTGTATGGTTTTGTGCAGCTGAGAAGGGAACGCATTGCTGAGCGTATGAAGTCTCTCCAAGAACTAGTTCCCAACACCAACAAGGTACTCAACACTTTCCTGATTACGTATAACTCTTGTCCTGGATCTGCATAATAACATAATCTGGTTGATGCAGACGGATAAAGCATCAATGCTGGACGAGATCATCGAGTATGTTAGATTCCTTCAGCTTCAAGTCAAGGTACTAAGCATGAGTAGATTGGGAGGTGCAGGGGCAGTTGGTCCACGCCTCAATGGTCTCACCTCTGACGTCAGTTTCTTAACTCCCTCTAATGGCTTTTTATATTAAGTGGCATCACCCACCAATCATCATCATGGGTTTTGGTAATGTAGGTAGGAGGAAGGCTCAACGCACTCTCAACAGGACCGTGCAATGGCGTAAAAGGGAATGGAAACGCAACAGGATCATCCAACGAGAGCCTAAGGACAACGGAACAGAGGGTTGCAAAGCTGATGGAAGAAGACATGGGATCAGCAATGCAGTACCTTCAAGGGAAAGGGCTTTGTCTAATGCCCATCTCTCTCGCAACTGCAATATCATCTACATCTACTCACTCTCGTGGAGCTCTCTTCAACCCCAACTCCAATACTGCCGTAGCAGCTGAGGATGCAAATGTAGCAGTAGCAGCCGCTGCAGCTGCACCTGAAGCTTCCTCTACTATGGATGATGTATCTGCCTCCAAGGCCTGAACCCTAGGATCTCTCTTGGGCTTCACCTTCTCACTTTTAAGTCAAACACTAATATCCATCTCTTATCTATTTTCACTTGTTAAGCATTGAATAACATAAAATAATTTACATTAAAGAACATAAACCGACAAGACAGAAACACTCGTATACGTGTGTGTTGGTGTAGATACAGAACAGAGGTGGTGGGACCGGAAACTAAGAGACATGTGTCCCACTACTCCTCCAAATCGCTTTGTGTCAACGTTGCTATTTGTTTGGTCAATCGAATGTAACTGGAACCAGTAAAATATTCAAGTTGTAGCTTCCCACGTTCTAGCAATTCATATCTAGGCCCGAATTCATTAGCCGGCCCGACTATTGGATACCGTAAGTGAGAATAAGACTTATCCATCTATTAGAGGCAGAGGAATACATCCATACATAAACTACTAATTTCTTTAAGCTTCAAGAACAGTGAGGAGAAAAGCTGCAGCATATTGTATACTATCAACAAACATTGTGGGCAGCAATAAACATAAAAGCAAAGAATCAGGTTCTTGAAATGCTCCCTTTTATTCCAATGTTGTAGACTTACAACTCAAATAAAGACAATACTTTTAGGAGAGCTATAAAACAAGTCAAACTATAGGCAAAGAAAATAACTCCCATGTTTCACCAACAGTATTTGATTTCAAGGAACGACTCGGTGAGTGCAATGGCCATTGTTATCTTACAGACCTGACATTGAAAAACAAAAACTAATGACAAATAATTTGATGTGATCTACTCAAAGACAAGGTAAAGCTTGATCATTAAAACAATGGTGAGAAGACAGAACACAAAGGTAGGTGTGCACTTATATAAGATAGGTGAAAGAATCAAAATTAGACAGATGGAGTAAGAATTTAGAAACTTTTGAATGTTGGTCAAGAACGAGGAAGTACCAGGAAAGGAAAGTAATCTAAGCGGGAGGGGAAGGCTTGAAAGTGTAAGGCTGAGGAAGTGACATTGGACCTTTCCTCTCGTCTCCATCATCCAACAGTCTTTGCACTCTCTTGTTCCGGCAATACTCCCTATCGAAATGCTTCACCTTCATTTTTTTTAATCGTTCAATAAAGATCAACACCAAAGAGGAGAAACAAAATACAGAAATGCAAAATGCGAGCTAACTGAGAGAGGGGAAACAAGATATACCCAAGAGGAGCGGCAGTTTTTGACGAACTCTGTTCTGGAATTGCTGCACTCCTTCGGGTAGAGAAGACCCACGGAAGCGATTTCAGTGAGTTTCTTTCCAGATTCCTTTTCCAGGCAAGCGTAAAAAGCATCTCTCGCCTGAAAATTTGTGATCAGTTCAACGGATTACTGATTACCCTATTCACCAATCGCAATCAGTCGCGAAAACCACAACAGCGAAAATCAAGGAGAAAGAGAAAACGACCTTGTAGCAAGCATCTCTAGATTTAAGAAGAACATCTGAGTGAACCTGATTAGGGTTCGACGAAGCATAAGCATCGAGCGCCATGTCTAGCGAAGACGGTGAGAGAAACGCGAAGCCGGTCGACAACAAAACAATACAATTAAAAACAAAAAATAATAGACGTGGTGGCCCATTGTTCGTATATAGACGGCCCGTTTAGGCCCAACAAATTAGTCGGTAGATAAACAACATACACATTGTTGGTGCCGGACCAGGAAGAAGGAATGAACAGAACGAAATTCGTATATATACAAAGAAGTAGACAAAACACTACAAAAAATTAGTTCAAAACTTTGGTTTGCTTCGACATACATTCATAATAAATAAATAAAAAACAATTGTACATAAGTTATCTAATTTTCGAGTGTTACATCATCATTCTTTACTTCCGTTTCTGTCTTCTTGAGCTGCTCCAACCCAAAGTTCTCTTCTGGCTGCTTCTTCCACAGGTAATGAGCTGCGTCTATCCACCCTCTATTGACCACAAACTTCTTCTCTCTTATAGCCCAACGCACTTTCTCTGTTCCCACATCCATAGCCACGACGTGTGTTACGGATGCATCCACTTCCGTTGCACACGTGGCTCCCAATCCCTCAGCTATCCTCCACAGTGGGTGATCTTTAGGCTCAGACTTGGTCGGGAACACTCGACTAAACACTACCTTACATCCTTCAAGGACTTGTTTACGCACTTGCTTCAATAATGTCCTCACGTCTCTGCCAGATGTGTATCCTCCACCATCCTGAAATAACAGTATTAATAAAAAAAAAACAGCCAGACACCACACCCAACAAAAAAAAAAGGTTTTCTTTACATATATATATTGAGCATACCTCAAAGAATAGACTATGTGTTTGTTTAAGGACTTTAAGAACAGTGGCAAGAACCCCATCCGGTTCACTCTCATCACTCTTCAGCTGCGAGAGAGACTGGTATTTGTGCTCAAACTGTCTGCAGCTTGAAGCAAAAAAGTGATACCTCTCTATCACAATCAAATTGTCTTTATGACTTGGCCATGCCTGCGCATCAAACCAAGTTATCAGCACGTCTTTTTTTTTTTTAACCTCAGCACATACAATCTATCACAATATCATGATTAAAAATAACATGCAACATTTGATATACTTACATTCTCTGTATCGTCAAGAATCAGAACAGAGCTTTCTTGTCCCAGCACCACATCTAAACTCTTTTGATGTTTCACTGTGCCGTCATCTCGAGAAATTATCCGACCGCTAAAGTACTCTCCTTTTGGGTCCAGCAGCTCGGCCATCTTTCGTGCATAATCCCTATCTCCCATTGTGTATATATACATTACAAACATCTCGCTGGCTTCTTTCAGAAATGAACGAACAAACGGCCTTAATTTTGTCATCATATTCATAAAATCCAGCATGAAGAGATCGCCACCAGAGACATCTGAGATCAACAAAAAAAAAAAAAAAACTTAGAACTATACAACGCATGCAAACATCTAGGTGGAACAATAAAAGAACAAACAGAAGACTGAAGTTCTATGTACAGAGATATGATTTGAATAAAGCCAAAAAAGAAAGTAGCAGAATGTATCACCTTGAAGAGAATGTGTATGGCTTTTCAAATAATCCTCCTCTGGTTTCAGGTCCCTAAGTACGGTTGTATTAAGAAGAGTGTGGTCTAAATCGAGAACTAAACACAACTTCCGCTGCCGTTGCAAGAATTTTATATCTGAGTCACGTATCCGGGATATTTCTTCTTGATGAATCCACATATCCTAGGTAAACAGATATACACAAGCTCATTAATCATAACTAAGACTCGATTTAAAAGCAGCTCTTCTAAAATTTGTAAGGAAATCGAATAGATTGGCTTACCTGGTGCATGTATCTCAATGGAACACCGGTTTGTTCCACTGGTTCGCCACAAAGAATGCAGATTTGTTTAATGGAACCTGGGTGGTCGCACGGTCTCTTGCTTGAGGATGCTTCTGCAAGCATAGCAAGTTCAAAAGTAAATAAAATAGAACAGATTACAGGACACCAAAGTGAGGCTGAAGAAAAAGAGATTCACCTGAGATTTCTTCTGAAAACGTAACAGAAGCCACATTCTCAACCCCCTCCTCTTCTACGGTTTCTAGATGCTCAAGCTTTCGTTTTTTTAATCTACATTATGATTTGAAAAACATGATTCAGAGACACTGAAGTTCACCAAAAGAACTAACACCTATTGGTGAATACTGAATAAAGTAGAGCTTGAAGATGAATCCCAGTGAAAGTAGAGTAAAAATATGTGGGTGAATTTACCTATGATTGGCAACTTCAGTATCATCCTCGGCTTCTTCGCTGGGGAAGGACTCAGACGAAGAATCTGAGTCAGACTCCAACTCAGTTTCAAGGAAGGCGGCAAGATCGTCACTACTGGAGGAATGCACTGGAGAATCACTCGCCACACTCATCTGAAAACCAATCAAAACAAGGCAAAATCTGAGAAATTTTAGAATTGAAGCAACGCAAATCAAAGTCACCAATTTTAACTAAACCCTAATTAAACACAAACAAACAACAAATATACGGAATTCGATTCAGGAATCAAAGAGCAACACCGCATACGAAAGAAAAAGACATGGAAGGATACCTTATATTTGTCCGTCTATTGCGAGAACACTCAAATCGTGAGATTGGGTTTTGCAGACGAAGTGGGGAGATATGCCTCCACGGTGTTACCGTAAAGTGAATTCCGTCAATGCTCCGATTGCTATTTCAGGAGAGACGAATGAGGATAATGAGGCCCGTTTGGGGCCCATAATAGCCTAATTCAGATTATTTATTTTGGGTTACGCAAGCCTAACGACGCTTAGGAATGCGTTTTTTTAATATAAAAAAAAAAAAATAGTTTGCACATTGCATTGCAGAAAGTGGTTGATGAAGAAGAACATGATCTTTCTTTTTGTTGTTGAATCTCTCTTTCTTTCTTTTATAGATCAATGTGTAATAGTGATATTCTGAATCCTCATTACAAATTCGATCGAAAGGATGTATGATTTTGATCACCAGATCTGTTCATTTGGCTAGACCCGGTTACTTGAAATCTTTGTATCATATGTATTCACATTATTAAATGTATAGAATCTCTGAACATATAGAGAAGTAACAGAGGTAAGAGAGATTCCCTAACTAGACTAAAAAGATTACATTGTTTGTTTCTATGTGGGAGTAAAAATAAAGGGAACTTCACGAAAATTTCTTGAGTTTATTAGGCATCATCATATAAGGAGCTCTTTTGGGTTTACGGACTTGTTGCTTTACTTCTTCTTCTTCTTCTTCTTCTTCTTCGTCGTCGTCTTCTACTACATGTTCCTCATCATCATCATCTTGATCAGTCGTCCAAATCATATTCTGCTGGTAATATCTCAAGGCGACGAATAACATGAATGCTGCCCACACACGAGCAACGACGGAGGAGAGGTTCCAGACGAGGGTGAAGAGTGCCAAAGCCACCGCCTTTTTGTGAGTGCACGATTCCCATGCGTCCCTGAATCTCCTAAACCAGAACTTCCCTGCTTGTACACAACATGTTTGATTCAATGTCTCAAGGGAGACGAAAACAGAAACGTTTTTTAAAAAGGAGGTTTCAATTACCGTAAGCAGAGAAATGGGTTGAGTAGGAGATGAAGATTTTAGGCACTGTAAATGCTCCAAAAAAGCCTGTGCTCACACCAACAAACACTCAGAATCTACACAACTCCTCTTTGTTAACACAAGAAATCATGCAGTCCAGAGTTTAAAAAAGGTAGAAGATAAGTACCAATTTTGGCGAGGTTCCAAAGAGTGATAGAAGAGCCACACCTGGCCAAGACAAACAGCACCACTCCCATCTGCACATCATCATCATTATCTCCTCTTATGAAGGTCAATAGAGAGAGAAAGAGGGAGAGAGAGAGAGAGAAGAGGACTAACCTTGAGGGTGGTGGAAGGATCGCCGGAGAAAAGGGCTCTGAGTTGAAGCAGAGATTCGTTGAGGTAAGGCATTATGAGTCTGAGCATCCTCTTCACATCTTCCTCTCTCATTCCAACCCCTTTATGCCTCTCCTCCTCCACTATTCCTCTGCAAACATTCATATATATTCTCTGAGACACTTGAGACTTTCAAACCCCAAACATGCAAAGAAACAGAGAGAGATATCTAATTATCTATGTATCATACCTGTGGATCACAGATTTGAATACGAACATGACGCCTAAATAGATGAGTCCAATGTACGCCACCACTGATATGAAGCTGCACATATTCATTCAAAATTATACTTCTGCTGTACTTAACCATCATGTGTGTATTTCCTTAATCAAATGAGAAAAACCTGAAGTTGAGATCATTGGCGTATGAAGAAGAGATGATGAGGAATGTTCCGAAGCCGAACACAAGCGCCGACCTTGATGCATCTCTCCACATTACCAGATCCACTGTCCATTTCATTCCATCAATTTATATATATATATATATATATATATATATATATATAATTCAGATATTATGACTAAAAATTCTGTGCTTTTACTGAACAGAATGAATCAAAGGTTATATATAGATGGAATTGTGCTCACCTAGACTCTGCAATTTGCTCTGTGAATGAGGAAAGTTTTCTTCTTTTTCTGCAAATCTATCTGGACGCAATTGTGAAAACAGAGGTTCCATCGATATTGAGAAGTAAAATAGCCGCCGAAGAAATAAAAAACTGAGATTCGGATCAAAAACCTGTGCTTGGTGGGATCGTATAAACGGAAGTTGCCCTTTTGATCACCGGAGGCGGAATTTTCCGGACGGAAGACGGAGATGGAGATGTTCTGTTTTGAAATTGACTGTACTTTTTAATCTCAACATCACCAACTCTGTTATTCCTATTCTCGCTCGCTACGTTCATCTCTTTTACATCAACACTCTTTTTCTCCACTTCTTTCTCCTCCTCTTCTTCTTCTTCTTCTTCCTCCTCGTGATCGCCATTGTCGATCTGCTCACTTTCGTTCGAATTAGCGGGGACAACTATCTCCTGACAGACACCGAGCTCCTTGTCTTCTTCTGGAATCTGCAGCTTTTCGTTTACGGTCTCCTCTTTGACATCGTCTGGAAGCTCCGACACCGACGGTTCATCTACATGCTCTGTTTTCTCATCAGATTTCTCGGAATTACGAGGCGGCAATGAATTCACTTTTCTCAACGCAACTGAATCAAATTCACCGGATTTGACGATCGCCGTGCACAGCTCCGATCGGGTCTTCTTAACCCGACCCGGAGTCTTCTCAAGGCTTTCTACGGAATCAGATCTCGCCTTCTTCACCGCCACCGACACTGTCAAACTCTTATCATTGGAGTCACCAGAGATCGATCTCCTCGGCGTCAACGGTGGAGTAGTACCAATCGATCTCCTCGGAGTCACCGGAGGAGTATTAACAATCGATCTCTGCTTCGTGAGCTTCAGAGAATCGGCTCGACCAATCTCAGATGATGTATTCTTCTTCACATCCGACTTCCAAGTCCGTCGCTTTCCGTGAACCCCCAAAGAAACCTCCTTTGAACTCATTTGCTTGTTATAACTGTTTTCTACATCGGCGGCTTGAAGATGAATGGCCTTAACAATGGCGTTATTGCTTGCTTTGTCGTCGCTCTGCATTCTCGTTTCCCAAACAGAGCCTGCAGCAACAACGCCAATTCTTCTTCTTCTGCTGCTTGGGTCCATGCTCTGTCTTTATGTCACTGTCCTAGCTAGTAATTGAGTTGAATCCTGGGGCTACACATATAAAGTGGTAATGATGATGAGTCTTGAAGCTGAAGGAAAATGGAATGGAGGTTGTTGGAGACCAAAGACAAGATAATTGAATTTCATCTATTTTCTTACTGATGTTAGGGAGATAAAGTAGGATTGTTAGATTAGATAGAGGAGGGGACCTATCTTTGTCTCATGAGGCCTGGGAGTATAGATCACCAAATTGTCTACTGCTTTTAACTAACATAAAAGCCTTTGCATGTGGCAGCACTGCAAAGATGCTGCTTAAGCATAATGATTAAGGTTTATGATCACAATCTCTTCCTTTTTTCTTCTTTTCTTTTTCCTACTTAATTCCTTGACATTTGTTTCTTGACTTAATTTCTTTTTATTTTCTTATAACAAAGTTTACGTTATCCATCAATCAGCATGTGCCGTGTACACAAATGAATAGCTTCATCTTCATCTTCTCTCTTTTTTTTTTTCCTTTTCTTTTTCGCTCACGTGATTCAAGTGAAAGCTTTTCTCCGTATTCACATTGATCATGGAAAATACTAACATTTTCATTATATGGGAAACGTTAATGGAAATAAATACTCATAAAAATATCATGTGAACATATTGCAAGAAAAGAAAAAAATGATAAAACAAAGAAGCTGACGCAATGAGATGTAAAGATCCTTGCTTCATCACCAAACAACATGTTACGAATACATATGGTGGATTAGTTGTGTTACTTACATTTTTCCGTTAACTAAACAAGAAGAATGTGTATGCATGGGACTGAATCTTGTATATATGCATCAGTTCGTACGTACTGTATAGGATCAGAGATCTAGACCCCAATTTAAATAAATTTTGGATTAAAAAAGAAGGGAAGGAGTTGAAGACTGAAGAGTGTCAAATTAAATTGTGTTTTTTATAAGGGTTTTGAGTGTTTGAGATGAGAATGAAGTGAACAAATGAATCCAATCTAATAAGGCCTTGTTTAAATTCAAATAAATCCCTTTTCAAAAAAGCACAAATTACTGTCACTAGATCGGTGAAGTGAGTACCACCGACACTTTGTGTACAGAAAAGTAGCTATAAATTAAAACTGGATTGCAAAAAAAAATGTGTATATATAAAGTAATTACATTTATAGTATGATTATATTAAACATATTAATACATTTATATTGTAATTACATTTATAATATTTAACGCAAAATTAATACATTTATAGTACACTCAATTACCGTTTAGATGCATGATTTGGGTATGTTGGATAAACTACTCTACCTTTTTTTTTTGGTAGGACGAAGGATAAACTACTCTACCCAATAAGTACAATTAACGAGTATAACAAAACGAGTATAACAAATCTTGGTCTCCGTAATCCAAATGCGAAGTTACGTGCGTGCGCGTGTCTAAATAATCACACTACAAGTTAATTACATACACTAAGAATAAACCCCTAGTATTAAATTTGGAATCAGGATTGGGATTTGCTTAGACGGCACGTGGTCGAGACTCGAGTGGGAAGGCACGTGACTCATGTCACAAATCCCTATGCACCTGCCTCGTTGTTTTTCTTCTCTCTCTTTCGTATTTTCATGCACCTTCCTTCTCTCTTTCCGTGTGTAATTTCTCTCTTTACATTTTTCTGTATATAAAATTACATTTTCATTTTTGAATTTGGAGTTAGCACAACCACTGTGGCAACGATTCGTCGTAGTAACCAAATTATTATTATTATTTTTTTAAATTAAAAAATAAACTGCGATTGACATTTACCTAAACCCAACACACACACACGCACTGTCTTAGTTTGTCATTGACTATATTAAAATTGAAACTAATAGAGCAATAACGAATATGACTCAATTCCCAATATTTCGCGGATCTTATGGGGATTAGATATTGAATTCCTCCCAATTCATAATCTTAAATATTACACAAACGTGCTTTGGAGTCTTCACCGACTCGGGATCCTTAGACCATCTTTATTGCTGATTTCCTATGGGTTTTTTATAGCTGTTTTCAATTAAAAATAAATCCAAAAAGTCCAAAATTACTAGGATCGCTCCTTATTTGAGCACTTGTAGAAACGATTTTTTCTGTCAGGTGGCACATTTTGATTGGTTAAAAAAAAAGTCTCAGTGATTATGTTTTTGGGTATACAGAATCGACCATTTATATCTCGAGACAAAAATCACCTAAGCGGAACCACATCTCTCTTTTCATCCGCCATCCTCTCCGGCGAAATGGCCGTCTTCTCCGGCGCCGATATGCAAAAGCTTCATTGTTATGTCCACCGAATTCACAGATAATCGAATCTGTCCTTAATCCTCTTCATCTTCTTTTTCGATTTTGATTCTGGATTTGCATGGATCGAATATGCTAAATTTGGGGATTGTTGTTGTTCGTCGCCGTCTTCCTCGTCTCTCTTCAGTCTTTCAGTTCTCTGATTAGTTCTCCCAGTTCTATCATCAATCCTTCTAAAGTTAAACAAGTTTCTTCAAGATCCAGGTTTGATTTTCTTCTCTCTCCGTCTATTGTTTGACTCAATAAGTGACAAGTGACGCGAAATCCTCGAGCAATTTTGAACATCAACTTTGTGTATTTGCTGCTCAATCGGAAAACATATTGTTTCTTCAGGGCATTTGTGTATGAAGGTTTTCTGACGGACCTGGAGTGTGATCATCTGATCTCCCTTATGAGTTTATATTATAACACGAATTTGATCTCTGTGTCTGAGCTCAATTTTGGAAAAAAAAATTTTCCTCTTTGAATGTGCTAATTTCAGTTTCTGATTTTGACTTTTCAGGCGAAAGAGAATCTGCAGAGATCTGCGGTTGCTGATAACGATAATGGCGAGAGTCAAGTCAGTGACGTTCGTACCAGCTCCGGCATGTTTATCTCCAAAGCAAAGGTGACATTTTCTTCTGTTTTGCTTCCATTTCTTTACTTCGCCGTAAAACTTAGAGCTTGAATTCGAATCTCATTGAATTTCATCGATTCAACACTGCTCTTGATTCGAATATATGAGCTTCGTGATTGCTGCTTAGTACTACTAAAAGGTTTCAGGGCTAGTTAGTCAACAAAACTACTTCTGCGTAGGTATAATAATCAATTAATCATGGATGATGATTGGAACTTGATGATTTTTTGTAATGATTACAATCTTCATGTAAAACTCTCTTTGCTTAATCACAGGATCCTGTTGTTTCCGATATAGAGGACAAGCTCTCCACATGTAAAACTCTTCATGTAAATTTTTTTGTTACAAGAAATCCAAGTAAGTTTCTCCCAATGGACCATTAAAAAAACATGGTTTCTTTTAATGGTTTTTTGGTTCCAAATCAATTCATTAAATAATGATAAGAAACTCATTAGAGGTAATAGCAATAATCATGCTCTTACACATGTTTACCAATTAAGATAGATGTCGAGTATTATGTTATTATTTTTATTTTCCTTTCTCCCATGCAATCCCTCTCTTTACCTTTTTTCCATTCACCTTTTATTTTTCTAAACATAAAAGCTTATTTATATATTCTATAAAGATTTCAGATTTCTGCAGTAAATAAATATGCTTTTCTATTGATTGGTTTATCAATGTTCAACTTGTGCTAGCTGCAAAAGTATTGCGTTTATTTTTTGAACAAAAAAACTGTACAGTCGCGTTTATTCAACAAACAAAGTACTGGGTTTACTCATAAAAAAGCCCAATCAATTTCTTCTTTATACAGTTCCACAATCTTCAAAAGCAAATCCCAAATTTCATATATATGGGCTTTTCTATTTAGGCCCGTTAGCAAACACAACCTAATTTTAGGTCACGCTATAATTCTGTTCGTTTCGCGGGTAATAATCCGGCGCGGTATAGACCACCGTAACCGAAAGAGGAGCTTCTGTTTCTTTTTTTGGTTTCGTAATATAAAACACACGAGTAAGAAAATAAGTGGTCGAGTAATGTCGGGATGGGTATTTGTTAGGGTTTAATAGTGCGTTGCAGCTGCCACTCTCTTCTTTTTTCCTCGAAGATAGCCGTAAAAGCTCTCATCTTCGTTCTTCACACACTTTTTGTTCCCGACAATCACAAACCGTGTTGTCCTCTTACCGCTTATCGTTGATTCCTTTTTTGATTTGTAAATGGAGGCTGTTGCGAGCAGCTCCGAATTCAGGATCCAGACAGATCGGGATCCGCCAAATAACGGATCTTTCGGCGTCGCTTCCTCTTCTGCTTCCGCCGTCTTCAGAAAAATCGATTTTCGACCCGCTAGGGAACCCTTCAACGGCTTCTCTAGTGGGCGTTCCGATTTTAAGATGGAGACCTTAAATCCTAGCTCCGATAACAAGCGAGCGCTCTCCGCACCGTCCGTTAAGAAGCCCGACGGCTCCGATTTGTCGGAGCATGGGTTAGATCCGGAGCTTACTTTTAGCATAACCTTCCGGAAAATCGTGAGTTCTTAGCCGTCTTTGTCATTTGATCAACTCATTGGCGTAAAGATATTTCCTTTTATTGGTTTTGCTGATATGTGGACGGTGTCGGTGATTTGTAGGGTGCGGGTTTGCGAAATCTCGGGAATACATGTTTTCTTAATTCGGTATTGCAATGTTTGACATACACCGAGCCCTTAGCTGCTTACCTGCAAAAAGTTGCGCATGAGAAACGCTGTAAGTTGCTTTATATGCTTCGTAGTGCTAATTTTCTTGCTGGGTGTGGTATAAGTCTTTATTCAGTCTCTGATGTAGTGTTCATATCAAATGGTTTGTGTAGGCCACGTGGCTGGTTTTTGTGCTTTATGTGCAATGCAGAAGCATGTCAGGAATGCCCGTCAAGCTAGTGGCAGAATATTAGTACCAAACGATTTGGTCTCGAACTTGCGATGTATGCTTCTCAGACCTTGTTTGCTTGCTATAGTGTTTTGCCATTTTTCGCCTTTGTTAATCAGACTAATGAGGATTCTCATCTGCTTGGTTAGCCGTATCACGAAACTTCAGAAATCAACGGCAGGAAGATGCACATGAGTACATGATCAGTCTGCTGGAATGCATGCACAAGTGCTGTCTCCCTTCTGGTGTACCAAGTGAATCCTCTGATGCTTACAGGAGCAGCTTGGTACACAAAATTTTTGGTGGTAGCCTCCGTAGTCAGGTAAATATGCCTTTTTTTCTATAATACCTATGACATGATTTAATGGCCTCAGCCTTCTCTAATATTTACTTTTTTCAGGTGAAATGCGAGCAATGTTCCCATTGCTCCGACAAGTTTGATCCATTTCTTGACCTAAGTCTAGACATTGCGAAGGCAGATTCATTGCAGAGGTCGAAGGCAAATTCATGGCAGATGCCGAAGCCAGATTCATTGCAGAGAGCACTTTATCGTTTCACTGCTGTTGAGCTCTTAGATGGTGGTGCAAAGGTTTACCAATGTGAAAGATGCAAGCAGAAAGTTAAAGCTAAAAAGCAGCTAACTGTTTTTAAGGCTCCTTATGTTCTAACAGTACATTTCAAGCGGTTTGAAGCTCATAGATCCGAAAAAAACGATAGGAAAGTCGACTTTGCCCCTACAATTGACATGAAACCTTTTGTCAGTGGTCCCTATGTAAGTAGACTTCGTCTTGTGCTTTGTATCCATGAAATATGACATGTTCTTACAGTTGTTTAGATAATCTTGTTCCTTTATAACAATACAGTCTTTGTGCTGAACAGGAAGGTAATTTGAAGTACACTCTATATGGTGTGCTAGTTCATTATGGTCACAGCATCCATTCTGGTCACTACGCCTGCTTTGTTCGCACTTCAAGTGGAATGTGGTATTCCCTTGATGACAATATGGTAAGCCGCAGTGCTCTTCATTCTTTGGGTTGCAATATTTTGGTTTGATACTGTACCTGCAGTTAGTACTTTCCTGTTGACGTGGCTAGTAGTAAGTCCGTCTTTACATTGTTTTGTAGGTTCGCCTAGTTAGTGAGAAGATTGTGTTCAATCAGAAGGCGTATATGCTTTTCTATGTTCGTGATGGACAAAATATAGCCCCAAAGAATGCAGTTGTCGTTAATAGAGAGACTTCTAAAGAGAGCCTTGCAACAAACAGAGCTTCTTTGATTGTATCTCCTAAAAGAAATGAACAAGTGAATGGTTCAGTAGTCATCAGAGCATGTAGTTTAGACTCTCGTGTTGCCAATGATACAACACCCTTGAGATCATGTGATCAAGGTGCTCCTGCTCTCTTAAGCCAAAAAGATATAAATGCCAAAGAGACCCAGAAAGATCCCCCAAGCAGTGTGGAGGCAAAAGAGATCCTTAAGAGGGAAAATGTTACAGCACCCTTGAAATCATGTGATCAAGGTGCTCCTGCTGTAGTGACCCAAAAAGAGGCCAAAGAGACCCAGAAAGATCTCCCAAGCAGTGTGGAGGCAAAAGAGATCCTAACGAGGGACAATGGTACAACACCCTTGAGTTCATGTGATCAAGGTGCTCCTGCTGTCTTAACCCAAAAAGATTTAAATGCCGAAGAGACTCAGAAAGATCCTCCAAGCAGTGTGGAGGCTAAAGAGATCCTTAAGAGGGAAAATGGTACATCACCCTTGAGATCATGTGTTCTAGGTGCTCCTGCTGGCTTAACTGAGAAAGATTTAAGTACCAAAGAGACCCTACAGAAAGAAGTGCCACCCCCGCAGGCTAATGGGGAAGGATCTATGGTAAAGGAGGATTCAGAGGCTGCATGCGCAATATTACCGGGGAAGGCTTCTCCTCTCCTGGATGGAAGCGCAAACACTCAAATTCTTGTGACCTTGCCTACTTCTGGAGCTAAAGCTGAAAATATTGACAAGAAGACTTCTGTTAATAATTTGGATGAGCATGCCAATTCGTTGAAGGTAAGTGTATAATTATACCTACACGAATTAGCATCTTGTTACTTATTGCCACACTTTTATTAATGGGATTTGACTATTTCTAACTTGCATTTCGCTTCTGCTCCCCAGGTTAAGAATGTATCGATTGGTAATTCACCTATTGAAGCTGTTCTTGTTAATCAGACTTTGGGACAACACTCGGAAGAGTTGACCACTTTGACTGAGTCAATAAAGGCAACTTCTGATGAGGAGAGACTCACCACACCAAGAAAGACTCGCAAGCGTAACATGAAAACCATGCAGGTGGGGTTAACATTTTTTAAGCTGTCCCTGGGCGTACTTAAAAAAAAGAAACAGAGAAAGGGTAGATCAAGTACCGTAGCTGTTAACATTATCTCTGAGGAGCTCCTATCCAAGAAAAGAGCTATCGATCAAGAGCATTGCACTTCACAGATAATTGGCGAAGTTGCTTCTGGCTCTGCTTGCTTGCACCTGAAGAATAACAGTGTCAGTGTCCATAATAAAAGGAGAAGTAGTAATGGGAATATGTTGCTTGGCTCTCCAACCGGAGAGCTCAAGGAGAGAACTAATCAAAATGGTGCCGTTCTTGCGTCAGACCAACAGCATCCGTTGAGGAGTTCGGACATGTCTGAAGCAAGCCAAAACGCCAAAAGAAAGAGAGAGTCTTCAAAAGAAGAACAAATCTTGTTACAGAAAGAACATGTGACCATCCTCACGCGGGGTTTGCCAGAGACAGTGGGTAAGTTTTCCGTTTTCTCAACTCAGCACTTTTAGAAATTTGGTCACCCTGACTGTTCACTGCTGATGGTAGTGAACTTCATCCAGTTAGGTGATAGCATTATCATTCTCCAACTCTGATTGTGAATGATACGTTATTTGTTATTAATAACGTATATCCTTTGTAACGTTTCCTCTGTGTCTAACGTATCAGTACCCGACCTTAGAGCAAGAGCTTACTCTATGTGATTGTGTTTGATGGGCTTATGTCTTATAACTATTGCAGTTGCCAAATGGGATGAAGAAGCTTCAGCTTCTAAGAAGATGGGAAAGAGTGAAGGCACGAGAATCGGTTATGTTGCAGATGAGTGGTGAGCTTGAAATTTTGGTTATTTGCTTTGGGTTTGATTATATTATTTTGGGCAGTTGGTTTACACATAAATGGTATTGGATTGTTGTAGGGATGAAGAATATGATAGAGGGAAGAAAAAGAAGATAAGGATGAAAGAGGAGTGGTATGGAGGGCCGAATCCGTTCCAGTCGATTGCATCGAAGAAACTAAAAGATACAAAGAAGAAATGGACGCAACGCATGAATACTGCAAAGACAGGCTTCAGGATATGAATAAGGGACCAGCCGTAATTTATAAGATATGTAATCCAGTTGCTGTATTTGGCGAAAAGTAATGTTTAACAACCGAGGAAAAGAGAGGCTATAGACATTAGACATTGTTTGTGATCTCTTTTCCTCTCAGTTTTGTTCAGTTTGTGACAAACAAAGACAGGCTCGATCCCCTGTTTCTTGAGTAAGATTATCTGTTTCTTTTTCCTAGTCTCTTCTAATTTGTCTCTACTAGTAGTTCATGCTTTCTTACACAGTTACACCTTTATTTACGCATACACCATTATAGCATGAACATGTTAAGGAAAAAAGACAATACTGTCGTGTCGGAAACAGAGAGATTCAGATCACACATGTCTGAATCTTAAAATATAGATTAAAAAGGGTCAATGATGTAATACTAGTATTTATGAGTCCCCTAAACCCTAGTAAAATCTCATTTACAGGCTACTTATCTCCTCATCTCTTTTCTTCCTCGCCGGCCAAAAAAAAAGAAAAAGAAAAGACAAAAAAAAAAGACTTTGAAGAGAATGTCCGAAGGGGATGATGAAATCACGAGGCTATTCAAAGTGCGTCGCACGATGTTGCAGATGCTGAGGGATCGAGGTTACAACATAGAAGAACCTGATTTGAACTTGAATAGAGAAGAGTTTGTTCAAAAGTTTTGTAAAGCTGTGAACAAAGTGAACAAGGAAGCTCTCTTCGTCTCAGCCAATAAGGGGCCAAATCCAGACGACAAGGTACATACATCTATGATCTATGAAGTACACATGTCATATAAAAGTCTTTAGCATCGTAAACACAATGTTGAATCTTGTATCCATCTCTTGACTCTGTACAGATTTACGTATTCTACCCGGAAGGGCCTAAGGTGGGAGTCCCAGTGATTAGAAAGGAAGTGGTGATAAAGATGAGAGACGATAAAGTTCCTAGAGGGATCATAGTTGTTCCATTGCCCATAACTGGTGCTGCCAAAAGCGCCCTGTTAGAGGTCAACAAGGTTCTAACAATTGAAGTCTTTGAGGAAGCCGAACTGGTGACCAACATCACTGAGCATAAACTAATCAACAAGTACTATGTACTTGACAATCAAGCCAAGAAGGAATTACTCAAAAAGTACACAGTGCAAGATACACAGTTGCCTCGCATCCTCGTCTCTGATCCTGTTGCTAGATACTATGGACTCAAACGTGGACAAGTTGTCAAGATCAGAAGAAGCGATGTTACTTCTTTGGACTATTACACCTACCGTTATGCCGTTTAATTCATATCCACCATTTCTTCTTTTTTTTGTTTTGGATTTTACAAACCTTGCTTTTCATTGTTTTTGCTTCTTCATTTATCCTGAACACTCTTCCCTCAAGAACTCAGTCTTCTTCTTCTTCATCATCTCAACCCAAAACCCATAAGTTAGCTCCTTTTCTGTCTTTTTCTCGGGTTTTCAAACGTTTCGGTGCAATCTTACACCTAATGATAGAGCAGTAGATCCGGTTCAACTGATACTCAAATCTTACAAAGGAAGAGAGTGAAAGGATTTTCTCAAATGAGAAACTTTAAAAAAATCTATGAGAGATTCTTCTCACACTTCACAATGGTCATTTTTATGATTAGTCTAGTTAAATTATTTTTCAATTAAATATTAATTTCATTTGTGTTCACATTTGAAATTGTGTTCAGGAGAAACTCAAATTGAAAAACCCCCTGCTCTAACTAATCTAAAACAAGAAATTAGCAAAAAGAACAAACCAAACACAAACATAAATATCAATCAAAGTTTGATTGGTATAGTCAGCTTTTTTTTTGTCGACATTCAGTTAAAATTTTTGAAGGTGCATACTCAAGATCCATACAGAAGGATCTTTTATTTTTAATTGTTAAAAGTTGTGTATTGTGTAAAGGACTAGCAAATTATTTCGGATGTTCAAAATGTCAGTGTTTACCATTTTTAAAGGTTTTTTACCTTTTTTATACGATTTTTCCTAAGTGCAGTAAACCAAATTTTGTCCATTGACAAAATAGAGTTAATCTAGCAACCAAACAAGCAAAAATAGAATAAAAACGGAAAGCAGTTCACTGAAGGTTTCAGAAAAACGTCACGTAGTTGAAGACGTGGGTGTCTGTAGTTACAGTATAAAAACTCCACTCCACCGCAATCTGTATTATCCACACAATGAGCTCATTTTCCTTTTCTTCTTCTTCTCCAGTTTCCAAATTTCAGTGGCGCGCGAACTATAACCCTCAACCCAATCGCCCGATTGTTCCTTTTACCCTCTCTCTTCTACGTGGCAACTGCTATTCGTGGAGATTATCTTGTAACCTTACTCAACAACATGGTCTCGATTTCGAGGAAAGTGTGGAGCAAGATGAAATCCCTCAATTTCTCGATTTCTCTGCAGCTGAGGAGCCGGATATGGAAAAGGCAACGATCGATGCTCCTTGTACAACGTTGAGGAAGAAGAAAAGAGGTGAAGAGAGCTTGGACGATAGATTCAAGCTCAGAAATGGAAAGGAGGTTGCATTGCCTTTTTATATTTTCTCTTCCTCATCATTTTTTATGGATTAAGTGAAAGGTAGTGGAATAACGCTTCGTCCGTAGTTGTTGATCGGAAACGTAGAAAAGTACTTCCCTTTATTCCGAAGAAATTGGCATATATTGGCCTGAGAATGCCAGTTTCCAACTTTCTAGAAAGGATTGTGTTCGCAATCTATATTTCAGCAATAAAGAAGCTTAAATCATTTTCATTTGTGGCTTCCAGGTTTTTGAGGAGAAGGCATATCTAGTGGGCGTGGAAAGAAAGGGTGATGGGGAATGTTTGTTCAATATAGAGGAATCCCTTGAGGAACTAGAACAGCTTGCGGATACTGCTGGACTTATGGTGGTTGGTTCTACGTATCAAAAGTTAGTAGCTCTACTTATCTATGTATTTCTTAGGGATGAGACTGGATTCGTGGTCCCTGTGATCTAGTTGTCTATTTAATTTCTGCTGCCACGCTATTTTACACTGGATGCTAAATTCAGTGATCGTTTGATGGTATACTACAGGCTAGCTTCCCCAAATCCTAGAACATACATTGGCTCTGGAAAGGTCTCGGAGATAAAAAGCGCAATACACGCATTGGACGTTGAGACCGTGATATTTGACGATGAACTTTCACCAGGGTAACGTTTCTGTGTAATTTTTCTTCTTAGTGGAAACCTGTGCTCTTAAATTAAGACCACCTTGCGTCTTGCATACCGTTTAGCTTAAGTTTCCCAAAATCTATAGTTTTGAGTTTTTTATTCTTCAATTTGTTTTTGATTGCAAGCTACTCTGTTTCTTCTTTCACAAAACTGTAGCTTGTCTTGGTCGTTCAGCTGATTAATATTTACTAAAGTGGTCATTGGATTGTGTAGTATGTAGGAGTTTCATACTCTTGTTTATTTCCACGCTAGTTTGTCAACATAAATGTGAATTGACCATGTGTTTCATTTTCTTATTACTTTCATATTTCAAATTTCAGGCAATTGCGTAACCTGGAAAAGGCCTTTGGTGGGGATGTACGAGTTTGTGACCGCACTGCCCTTATCTTGGACATTTTCAACCAAAGGGCCGCAACTCATGAAGCAGCCTTGCAGGCAAGATAAAGCTTCCGTATAGAGATAACTATTTGTGATAACTTTTAGTTATGCTCTTTCTGGAACCATGAACAACATTAGCTCAACCTGGAATTGGTTGCAGGTTGCTCTAGCACAAATGGAATACCAGTTACCAAGGTTAACTAGAATGTGGACTCACCTTGAGCGTCAATCAGGTGGCCAAGTTAAGGGTATGGGAGAAAAACAAATTGAAGTTGATAAGCGAATCCTACGTACTCAAGTAAGTAAAATATATATACTGTACTCCTTCAGTTTATAGCCTCTTTTTCTACTGCTCGTTTTTCAAGAGATGGTGTGTGACACAGTTTCTTAGGCGCTATCTTTGTTTAGATTTTTCTGTATAAGTCCATTAAGATTGAAATATATTCTAAACGTTTTCATATTAAATTGGCTAGATTGGAGTTCTAAAAAAAGAGCTGGAATCTGTTAGAAAGCATCGAAAGCAGTATAGAAGCCGGCGTGTTGCTATACCTGTTCCTGTTGTATCTTTGGTAAGTAAAGCACGGTATTTTAAACTCGTTGAAGTTGATCAACACTTCATGTCATATATGAATATTTTATGCTCATTTTGTTTTAGGTTGGTTACACAAACGCTGGAAAGAGTACACTTTTGAACCAATTGACTGGTGCTAATGTTCTCGCTGAAAATCGTTTGTTTGCGACCCTGGATCCAACTACGAGAAGGGTTCAGGTCAGTTAAATTTGTTGGAAGAGCAGATCTGCAGTCCCTTGTTTTTTAGGAGACAGTTGTTTCTTTTATTATATGCTAGTCACATTATAAAGCAGATGGCGCGTCTATGTGACATACTTACCGTAATTAAATATACTACACAACCTGCACTGGCATCGTGAGAGTTTTCTGTCAACCAAATTTTATGTCGATAGAAAGTTATTGACATGCGATAGCAGATGGTGGGTACTATGTGAAATGTGTGATATCATGTTTTGACATGAGATTTCTTTTCTGTGTCCTCTTTCGTCAGATGCACAACGGGAAGGAGTTTCTTCTCACAGATACTGTTGGTTTTATCCAAAAGTTACCAACTACCTTGGTAAGGTCCTAGTGGCTATTTTTTCAACTAGATGCGTACCTGACATGTCTGCATGTGCTTGCATCTGTTTGTTAATATTCCCATAACTGTCTCTTAGAATCAAATTGAAGAAGGCTTTTTTTTTTTTATGAGTGGCTTTGTGTCAACGCGGTTTGTAACTTGGCTGAAAAGTTTGTCTTACAGGTTGCTGCTTTCAGAGCAACACTCGAAGAGATATCAGAGTCATGCCTTTTGGTGCATGTTGTTGACATCAGGTTTGGTATCTTCAAATTCTGGTTTAAAATGGGTCAATCAACCATATTTCATAATTTCACCTCCTGATGATATGTATGTAAAATGTTTAGCCACCCACTGGCAAATCAACAAATAGAAGCTGTGGAAAAGGTTATGTCTGAACTCGATGTTTCATCAATACCAAACCTGGTTGTGTGGAATAAGGTAATGTAAAGTAGTACAGACGAATGTGATTGTATTTCTATTCAAACTGTTGCTGTATAAGCAAAATAATGTAGGAACAAGTATAATACTCTTTGCTCCTTGGTTAGGTTGATAGAGTGGATGATCCTCAGAAGGTAAAGCTGGAAGCAGAGAAAAGTGGGGATGTAATTTGTATATCTGCTCTGACTGGAGAAGGACTAGACAAATTCTGCAATGCGGTTCAAGAGAAGCTCAAGGTTTCAGATTCATCAATATGTTTTGATTTTTTGTTGGTTCATGATTGTGGCACATTAGAAATATAATTCGTAAAAATCTGTTACAGGATTCAATGGTTTGGGTTGAAGCCCTTTTGCCATTTGATAAAGGGGACCTTCTCAGCACCATACACAAGGTTGGAATGGTGAAAGAAACTGTGAGTAGATGACTGACCATCTTGCGTGTTTTCTTTTCTTATTTATATATAGATAACTCAAATGATTCTCATGTCGTGTGTTTGTTGCGTATATAGGAATATACAGAGAACGGGACGCTTATCAGGGCACACGTCCCGCTTCGTTTTGCCCAGCTGCTTAAACCTATGAGACACTTGGTCAAAGATACGTCCTTATGCAAAGAAAGGTGAACCAGAATCATAGCAATAACCTGAAGGCCTGCCTCTTGCTCAGAATCGTAGGCCACATATGGTCGGCCAAAACACCCAAAAGCACGAGGAGTTCAAACAACCTTCTGAACATACACAACAAAGAATGACCGTACGTAATATTCGTCAATCAAAAAGAGTGCAGATATACACAAGCAAGATAAGCTTGAACCCTACTTGACATCGTGAACTGGCACAACCTTTTTTGTACAGAGAGCATCCCGTTTGGAAACATGGGATGTTATATAAATATTTCACTTAACCAAAACGGGAGGCTGGCTAGATACATGATTTACTTGAAGTACCTAACCTAACATATCAACACTTTCCAGTTTCAAGGAGTTAGGAAACACTAGGATCTCACCAAACTCAAGAGTTGCTCAAAACAAGATAAACGTTTCTGTAGCACGACATACTCGGCCAAAAACTGCTTGTTATTCTAAATTAAAGGATGAAAGATACTACAAAAATACATTAGAAAAAGGAAACTACTAGTTCGACAGAAAAATGCTATTATTAGTGCGGTGATTATCAACTTACAGAAAAATGCTATTATTAATGCGGTGATTATCAACTTGCTAGTTTTAGCAAGCCCAATGACGTAGGTAAAAAACGTAATGAATCATTTTAGCAAGTCCCAAAGTCGGTAAAAAATCACCTAAACCATTGAAAGGATGAGTAGTAAAGATTCTTGATTGTCTTATCTTATCAGCAAGAAACCAAAAACTTTTGTTTTTGTTTTGTTCTCCATACAAAGATGAAAGTATACTTTCCCGGCACTGCGGCTTACACTTGCACGCCTATCAAGTTCAAGTTTCTAATGATCGATATCAGCAACCACAACCTCTGCAGGACAGAAGCTTTCACCATATGGCCTCCAAATGATAATCCATGGCTCATACCAAACGGAAATGGCACCTGCAATGGAAGCAGATCATATGCGAAAAAGTTAACAATTCATCAGTTGTAATAGAGAAATATTTATCCTTCGTTTAACTGTGAATATATCATCTATTGACATGTATTAGCGTAGTATCAGTAAGTACCCCAATAGACCTCTGCCTTGCCATATCCTCGGTGTGACAGATAAATCGACTTTTGCGCCTTGCCTTATAACTCCAACAGAAACTGCTTGTCCCTGGCTAGACTGAGCTTCAGCGGCAAGCCTTTGCAACAGATTGTCACCACCTTCCACGTTGCCAAATTTCACAACCTGATCTCCAAGCTGTAATCCATCCTCTGCTGCTGGAGATGACTCGTTTATCTCATCAACCATGGCAAAGGGAATACAAGTAACCACATCTACATCCATGGCACGGGAAGTAACACTGAAGCCACCTGTCTGCATGGAGGCAGATAAGGATGTGACTTCACCTGACGAAATTGATGCTTCTGGACCTGCATCATTTCCAACTCATAAGGTTTTGTCCCCACGTCGTGCATATGGTTTTAAAGTAAAAATGTCTCGATGAGCATCTGATAGTCATAGCATAAGCAAAAGACCACAATCAAAGTTTGATGATCAACCCAATCAAACATTTCAACATGAAGCTCTATCTCCTGTCATACCTGAATCTTTTGTGGATGAAGCTCTGGATGTAGGCCTCACTGAATGAAGAATTTGAATGTTCGCACTTATCTTGTCCGTTATCTCGCTGTGCTCACTCCGTAACTCTGTGGGTGCAAAAACCATTTCAGAGAAAGAAACCAACTCAAAGCGGAAGGACCAGTGCAGACACTAACAATTGGTTCACTGTAGAAGCTACACATCCAATCTATGGCAAACGGTAGTAAACATAAAACATGATACAGAAAAGCAAGCTTAATTCCTTCCAATTTCATAGCTGGCTAACTAAACTATGAATTACCCTCAATCCAGGACAAAAAGCCAAACTATCTATGCTCAACCATAATTAATGTTTCCTTAGGGTTCTTTCAGTTTTAACCCTGCTTTCAACTCGTAGTCTTGCCCTAACTTTGGATCAATTCAGAAAGCACACAAGAGAAAAAAAGAAAAGAGAAAGCACCAGCAAGACGACGGCGCTCAGCTCTCACCACCGGAATGTCAATATCTTCCCGAGGGAATCCCTGTCAATGTCATAAACAAAAACGAATCAAAGGAACAGAACTAAGCACATGTCTCGGTTAAGACTAGAGTACCTCCGAGTCGACGAGATTGCCGGAGAGACCAGGACCGCCGGGATTGCAGAGACGTCCGACAATAGAGTTCATCTCCGTCTCCATGGCCACTCTCTTCTCCATTAGAGCCATCGTCTCCGCTTTCAGATTCGCGCCAACCATCTTCCCTCTCCTCTCTCGCCGCCGATTGATCTTTCACCGAATCGCGCAACTTTCTTTTTGCCTTTACTTGTGGACGACGAAGCATGTATTCTGGGCTTCATTTAAATAAAGAAAGCCCAACCACTTGATCATTCTATAGCCCAAGTAACATCTTAGCCGTCCATTTATTACATCCAACGGCCTTGTTTCTAGTTTTAAACATTATTACTAGCACTAGCACTAGCATCACCTTAACGTTGATCTACTCTCTCGAGTCCATCCAGCTCAGCCCAGGGCCTGCCCAAGAATTACAAGTGCACAAAAATTGTTTTTGACCCATTAAATCAATATAACAGAAAAATTCAGAAACTTTTGGGCTTTTAAAGATAAAACCTGGGCCCTTCTGCTTAGTTGAAAGAACAAAATGTTATATACTAAACTGCGTAACTCAAAAAAATTGAAAATTTTGCAATATATAAACCCTTAAAAACTAAGAAAAATTGGGAAAAATAAACATGTATCTAGTGTAAAAACATCTCAGGCACATATGGCTGCCTAACCTTAAAATATTCTTTACCAATATCCGCTGGATTCGCTGCTTGTAAAATTCTCTATTTTCTCTGATTTAAAATTGCCAGTAGTCTTTTCTAGCCTTTTGCAAGGAATGAGTTAGCTAAAAAATTTGTAGTCTAATTCTAAACATCCATAATTGGTAAGGGACTTATAAAGTTCTGTTCTAACCCTATAACCTCTCTCAACCTCAAGTTTTTATCCTTCTCGAAATACCTCGCGATAACCAAACTACATGTGGACATTAACTATACTCTGATCGACAATTCCGGATGTCTCTATTGGTGGATGCAGTTATCCAACTTTTTTTTGGGATATCAAAAAAGTTTTGAAAAATCATATCCTTCAATCCACAAAATACCTTATTTTGTAAATTACAGATTTTGTGCATTATTGAAAAATAGAAAGAAAAAAAAACATAAAAATCTGGGAAAAAAAAAGCACCATCGACTTTGCTATAAAGTTCCTTAGGTTGGGCATACATAATGAAGCTGAAACGTTAGAGTTTAGGCAAGCAATATGAAGTACGACTAGGGTGGTAAGAGTTTGACAGATAAAGATATTTGTGGATATACGATAAAGAGTCCCTTAGAATCTTGTAAGTCTCACATAACTAATACTGAATCTCTCAGCAGAATTTGAATCTTGATAGCTATCACTGATATTCAAACTCACAATGGAAGGGTTACTAATGTGAAACTACTCCCGAATTTATACCTTGATATTGGGAGATCTCTCAGGTTCTTACTCTTGATTACTTTCGATCTCAGCCTTTAATCTTACACCATAAAATCCAAGACTTTCCAGATTAAATTTTTTAACAAAAATGTGATTTGATATTATTGAAGACCCTTTCAGAGACAAGATCTAATTCAAACCTTTTAGTTGGAAAATAGATTCTGGCAGCTAAGTCAGATGCTTCCCTACACGTTGATGGAGAGGCTGGTTAATCCTTTCCGAGCAGCGAATTTCGTTCACATTTGAAGATCAGTTGATGACGTTTTGATGTCTATTATCAAATTCATCTCACCAATCATCCTTTTATGTTGGAGGAGAAACCTTTCCAAAAATCTTGTACCTCCTCCACTAAATCTTCTCTAGTCGATGTTTATGGTGGACGAATACTTCCACAATCCTTTCCAACGTTTGGATAGTAGAGAGAACCTTATTGCTTCATCTGCAAGAAGATAACAAGATTATCCGAAAATCTTCACGTTCGAGAAATTCCGAAATTGCCATCGTGTTCTTGATTTATCATTTTCTGAAGATTTAATTACTATTTATTGAATTTACAGAGTCGCTCTCGAGTCTCGTCTTGTTATATATACTATCTTTTTCCTGAAGAATTTAATTTTCAGCTATTTTAAAAATGGCATATATTTACGTTGGTTAAATGGCATCATTCTAATAAATCCAGAAGACGAACTAATGGGCCAATTTTAGGTCTTTTTATAAGTTCTGTGACATGTCATTAAACTAATAAATTGAATCAGTTCAAATTGGCCCAAAATAAATTAACATTCATTACATATGATCTTGATATATGTGCTTTCAAATTTTTTACTGCATAGTAAAAACTGTTAACGAATTAAGAATTTATAACGATGAGTCAGATTTCTATTGATCAAATATAGAAATGTATCAAAAAAATTGAACTTATATTGATTTGATCAGAGAAAAATACATAATTTCTTGATAAAAAAGTATAAAAAATAATTATTGATTTAGTATGATTCGAGCTTCTTTTATACTTTTTTGAGATTTGAACTACCTCCGTGATCTTGGAGTGCTTCGTGTTTTTTTTTTTTTGGTCTAAATGTTAAGATTTATACCAATTTTCTGAATTTTACACTATACATGCTGAAAAGCTTATTACAACAAGCAAATAGAAAAGCTAAAAGGGGGGAGCAATAAAACTGAAATAAACTTGGAGAAGGGAAGATGAGTTAACGTTCGAGGCAGGAAAGGAGAGGAGCCTGTCTCGAATTAGGCGGTCGAGGGCGGAGCAGAAATCAGCCGGAGAGGAGAACACCGACTTGAAGATCCGTGAGTTGCGCTCTTTCCAGATTGAATACACAAGCGCCTGCAATATAACTTTAACAAGAGTGGCGTGAGAGCGGTTGCTGCCGTGAAGGTGGTTGGAGATCCACGAAGCAGCAGAAGAGATATCCAACGGAGGGTTAATCCTGATAGGTTCGACGAAGCGCTTCCAGACTGTAGCCGAGAACTGACAGTCAAAAAAGAGATGACCATGTGATTCATTACCCCTAGAGCAGAGGACACACTCAGCACTAACATTCAATCCCCATTGCCTGAGTCTATCTTTGGTCGGTAACCTTGCAAGGAACGCCAACCAAGTGGTGAACGACCATCGAGGAACATTTTCTTTAAACCAAAGAACACGATGCCAAGGGACCGCCGGATAATGGTCCTGAATTTGCTCCCATGTCGCCTTAGATGAAAACCGAGGCGCGAATAGACCTGCAGAATTGCGCCAGAGAAAGCAATCACTCCCCCGCGAGATAATAGGAGGAGAGATTGCAGAGATGGCAATCTGAAGTAACTCTGTTTCTTCCGATCTAGCTGCCGGCAAATTCCACTCGCCATTTCTGGTGGCGTGGATAACTTGTGCTTCCAAACGAATCCGTAACTCTCGAGGACCTCTCTCCCCGATGAAATGTATGAGAGGCCCCAGATCCGTCCAAGTATCAAACCAAAAAGAGGCAGTCTCACCATCGCCAACCTCACATCGCAGGAACCCTGCAAGCCTGGGCTTCAACTGTAGCATGCTCCGAACAGCACGAGAGAAACGACTCGAATCTTCTGCAAGCCAGAAGTTTTTCCTGCCGAAGACATGCATATTAAGCCACGCGACCCATAAAGAGCCCGCATTGGAGAACATATTCCAAATTTGCTTCAGCCTGAAAACCAACTCAAAATCCTCCAACCGACGAATACCCAATCCTCCTTCTGACTTGGGCTTACACACATCCGCCCAAGCAACCCGAGCACCGCGGGAAGAAGATGCTTTGTTTTTCCACAAAAACGCCGCACATAACGAGTCAATCTTAGCGTAAAAGGTCTTAGACAGGACAAACACAGTGCTCCAGAAGTTTACCATGCCATAGATGACCGAGGAGATTAGTCGTATCTTACCCGCGAAGGAAAGAAACTTTGAAGTCCAAGAGTGCAACTTACTTGTGATCCTCTCTATGAATGGTTGGAGAGTGGCCATACTAATCCTGCGGGGATTTAGAGGAAGACCCAAGTATCTGGTTGGAAATTTTCCCTGCTGAAAACCCAAAATACCCGCTAACACAGCTCTCTGAATATCATCATAGCCTCCAAAGAATATCTCTGATTTGCTGGCATTCATATCAAGCCCACTGATCCTCTTGAATTCACCCATGACATCCTTGAGGCCAGAAAGAGAGTGCCTAGAACCATCACAGAAGACGAGCAGGTCATCAGCGAACAACAAGTGCGTTAGCCTTGGATTCGCGCATTGTGGGTGTAACCGCATCCCATCCTGATCCACCTTTTTGTCCAAAAGCTTTGTTAGACACTCCATCACCATAATGAATAGATAAGGCGAAATTGAATCCCCTTGGCGAAGGCCCTTCCGACCCGGAAAAAAACCGGCAAGTTCCCCGTTCACCGCAATAGAAAACCGTGGAGAAGAGATGCACTCCTTAACCCAGGTAATAAATATCGGAGGAAAGCCCTGAGCCTGCAGAAGTTTAAGCACAAAATCCCAACAAATAGTATCAAATGCTTTCCTGATGTCAATCTTAACCATACAGCTCTTAGGAGATGATGTTTTTTCATAATTCCTAATAAGTTCAGAAGCGAGCAACACATTTTCTCCGAGACTCCTCCCCTTAAGAAAAGCCGCTTGGTTCTTACTAATACATTCCTGCAGCACCGGTTTAAGCCTGTTGGCAATGATTTTGGAGATCAGCTTGTAGACCACATTACAGCAGCTTATTGGACGGAAATCGCCAAGACTACAAGCTTCCGGATGTTTCGGGATGAGGGCAATAGCGGTGGTGTTGAGATTCTTCAGAAGTCTCCCATTCCTGAAGAACTCCTTCACCGCAGCACATATATCAAGGCCCACTGTTTCCCATGAAGCACGGAGGAACTCCACTGAGTATCCATCTGGACCAGGGCTCTTATTCAGAGGCATCGAGTAGACGGTTGCTCAGATTTCCTCATCGGTAACCTCCTTTTGCAACGCCGCATTGTGATCTTGGGAGCATCTAAACGGTAGTAGGTTTTCCAGGTCCTCCACCGAACAATATTCCCAAGAATCTGCTGAAAGTATTCGGCCGCATGCTCCTTTATATCCTCTATGGAGGTGAAGATTCTGCCCGAAGTATCCTTTAGAAGGTGAATATGATTCCTTGTAGCCCTCTGGCTAGCCGTTCTGTGAAAGAAAGCAGTACCTCTGTCTCCCTCGTTTCACCACTGAACTCTAGACTTCTGGCGGAAAAATTTTTCTTCTGCTGTTAGCAGAGTTTGCCATCGTGCTCGCTGGGCATGCTCCTCTCTTGCAATCGCCACTGTGGGGTTAGTTAGGACTGCTCGTTGGAGCTCTTTGACAATTTCTGCCTGTTCCCTCACTCGCAAGGAGATACCACTATAATGACGCTTATTTATCCCACGCAAGCTTCATAGATCTGACAATCTTAAACTGCAGAGTTCCTTGAATGCTGCCACAATTCCAAGCCTCGCTGACCGAGGGGTGATACTCTGGGTGATCAATAATATGATGGAAGAACTTAAAAGGCTTGCGAACATGCCTCCTCAATGTTGGAACATGAAACAAACATGGCGAGTGATCAGATTGCTGTGGCTCTAGGAACTCAGCATATGCTTCCGGGTACTGAATAGCCCAATGGTGATTAATTAAGGCATGGCCAATTTTCTTTGATGTCGGATTCTCGTCTTGACTATTCCACCAAGTAAAAGATAACCCTTTTGTTTGGGCTTCAAATAGCTCTGCATCTTGCAAAGCTAGGTTCATGTCATCGATCCCAGATGTGTCAACTTCCACGTCCAAATGATTAGAATGCTGCAAGATTCTTAAGATTTGGTTAAAATCTCCAAGGACAGCCCAAGGATGCGATGAGACAAGGGTAGAAGTAGCAATCTGATGAAGCTCCTCCCATAAAGAAACCCTCTCGTCCACATGGTTGAAACCGTAAATAAAGGTGACCGTAAGACTAACCTCCAAGTCCCCAATAAAAATACCGCAGGTGACAGCTTGAGCCGACGCCTGATAAACCATCACAGAAACACGTGGATCCCATACTACTACAATCCTTGCCGTGCTGTGATGATCAAAATTACCAAAAAACCTCCACCCCCGAGGAATAGCTTGAGATATTCTACTACTATATGCTTGTTGTATATGAGTTTCAGCAAAAGCTCCAAAAAGCGGCTTGTGAATATTAATCCAGCCTTTAGTCATACTGTGGCGTCTTGCACTATTCAGACCTCTTACGTTCCACACAAAAAACATGATGATTATATACAAGTGATTTGATGTAGCCTTGCGGCCACTCTTTCGGCGCGAGACCAAAAGAAACGGAGCTTCTACCTCCTCCAAAACATGAGACTGATCCTTATAAATGGTAGTCGACACCACCTCTGAACAACTTAATAGCTCGCTCGTCTTTTGTAGTGCCTGCTCATGACCATTTGGTGTCGAATGAGACACCTCCAAGATGCCCTTAGCTGGCAATGTATCACCATCTGATCCTTGATCGGAGGGCGGATCAGGCGTACTCATCTTACTTGTGAGAACATCCGAGGATGTGTACATCTTCTCCACATCGCCCTCTTTATCACTCTTTCCATCTGTCGAAGCGGAATGATCAGATAATAGGCGCTTCTTTAGGCGTCTATTGCGAGAGCGTCCAGGTCTAGATCGTCTCACTCGTGGCCGTTCCCGCTGTACACTTCTACGAGCAGAACTGAGAGATCGTCTGTTACTCTCGCGATCAGTAGTGGGAAGGGAAAACCTTGAGCGGCACTTATTTCTATCATGCCCAAGCTTTCCACACGAAGCACACTTTGAAGGAAGCCAAGGGTAGGACACAGCTATCTCCACCTCCTTGCCATTGGAGAACCCAGAAATGATCTTCTTTGGTAGCTCATTCCGTAAATCAACACGCACGTAGACCTTAGCCACATGAAAATTATCCTTCCTCTCAGTTTCCGGTGCAAGTGAGACTGGTTTTCCAACCGCAGTAGCAATCCTGGCTAAACTTTGTCTGTTGAAGAGTAAATACGGGACATCTCTGAACTCAACGGGCACCACGGCGGATGTCAGCGGCGGCTGTTCTGGATCAAAATCAGATGACCATGGGGCAACAAACATGGGGTAACCAGCAATATGCCACATACTTCTGCTTAGCACTACTTCCTTCACTCGAGGGTTGATCACCTTCAAGAGATAAGAACCCTGCCCAATATTATGAACGAAAATACGAGGACCTGAACGAGCCCAAATAGCGTTAACAACGCCAATTATCCTTCCCATTTCCGGAGCGTCACCGTGGAATCTGGCAAAGATAAAATCCTTAAACTCCTCCTTCGCAGACTCCACATTCTCATCCGGAATCAAAACAAATGGCACCCCAGATACATGCTCGCTCGGGGTTCCTATTTCGTCTAATAAGGATGACTCTTTAAACAGCTCCGACCAATTACGAGGTGGAGCCGCCACCGTAGCAACAGGCGTCTCACCCGGTAGACAGCCTGCAGAAATTTCCGTTGTTATCGAACCAGGACCGGAGATGAGAACCTCAACAGTCGGTGGAGCATCGAGAACCTGAGACTCGCTTGGTTGAGAAACCACAGATGACGGATCTGCGCTCAACACAAGAACAGAGGGTGGGATCTGGGGCTCCGACTCTGAAACTTCAGAAGGAGGCGGAGTCAGAGCAGAGGGAGCGGTGGGAAGAGAGCCTCCAGCCGCCGCGAGAGATTTGTTCCGAGCTGCAACAGCTGCCGCAATTGCAACGCGGGAAAGACGCATAGATCCAGAGATGGGGGCCGGAGACGGCGCCGATGCTTTCCCATGGGAAGGAAGAGAATAGGGAGAAACCGAAGAAGCCACGATGAAGAAGAGGGGAGGTGAGAAGTTCTCGTCAACGGAGTGAGTCCGACCGACGGCGGCGGCTAGGAAGGAAACCCTAAATCGCCTTAAGACTTGATTGATTGTTATGAATATGATGTGGAGTGCTTCGTGTTATACCGTCTTTGTGATCTTTGCAACGATAATGAGCTGTTTATATTATATCTTTTATTTTGATCAGATATCTCTGGAGCTGCTCGCCAGGTCGCGTGTGTAAAGTTGTACTTAACTGGTCCGCAAATTATTGATAAGCTAAATCCTGCATTTGAATCGATTATTCATTGGGCCAACTCTAAATATTATTTTTTAATTCTTTAAATTATATATAAATTGGGCTTTGTGGATCTGGCCAGATGTGAAAAATCAAGCTCCCACACCTACATGTCATTTACCAGGTGCTAGAATTATCACCAAATCCGAAAACTAATAAATTGGATCGGTTCGACGCAAATTGGCTCAAAATGAATTAACATAGGATCTCGATATATGCACCTTCAAATTTTTTTACTGCGTAGTAAACACTGTTAACGGCGAGAGTATAACCGTTAAGATATATTCTTTTACTAAAAATGAGATTGAAAACAGTGGCATTGGAAGTCATCAAAGAGCTTCTCAGCTCTTTTGCCTTCTCCATCAAGAAATCTCCAAAAATGTTATTCAAAGACAAATGCAACACACATCCTTAAATTTTTTTAACTCTAGTCTCGATTTTGGTGGTGGAATCATGTCTTTGTTAGGTGCTAAGTAAAATAAAAAATTGTAACGTATACAAAACTAACAAAATAGCACAAACATATAAACTTTCATATTAGATCATTCCAAATGAAAAGTATGACAAGTAAAACGTCGACTTTACCACCACAGTTTGCTCCATTAAAGTCACAGAACAAGCACAATTTGTATGACAGATTCAAACTTTTGAATGTCAGATCTCTCTATTTAGACAAAAGGATGCACTAACCTCACAGAATTTTCTCGTTTGCCTGCCATGATTGCTAATAAAGAACCATAACTCGATTACTGTCAACGACTAAGCCCACGATCACTTTCTTACATCAACAAAGAAAGAAGACGGCTTAATACAGTTCTCATGAAGCAAGCTGCATCATCCAGAACAAGAAAAAAGTATCCAGCCTAAATATCTCCTCGGATGCATGTTATCGACTCTTTAACAAATAAAAAACGTTAGTAATGCATCAAAGTAAGATCCTAGCATGTGCATTCATTCCATCGAGTCTCACTCTCCCTTGTAACTAATGGTTCAGAATTAGCTAATTTTAATGGTTCAACCAAAGTAAAATCCTAGCATGTGCATTTATTCCATCCAACGGCTATGCCCGCTTTGTTTCTAGTTCTATTTTCCACACTAAATAACAGTTTACAGACAGCGCAAGCAGTTCTAAAGACATGCAATATTTGTAATGAGATCATTTCTACCTATAACTAATTATAAACAAGCAAGTCTTCAGGAGGCTCAATCAATCAGCATCTTCTGCAGTGAAATCAGGCTCGGGAGGCTTCTGCAGCTTGACCAAATCCCTAATCTTTGTGTTCCGGTTCCTGTGAAGGGTGCGCAAAGCACTAGCCGCAAACTTGGTGGCAAGAAATGCAGCTCCGATGGAGTATGAAGATCCAATGGTTGAGCTGGGAACGGCCTCGGCCTCGGCCTCTTCCATCTTCTTCCTCTTGCAGTATCGGCGCCAGGCAGCCTGGATAAAGCAAGCAGCCCAAGTCCTCCACTGGTGAGAGTAAAACCTGAATGTGTGCTGCACTTGCCTGCTATGTAGGCGCCGGAACTGGCTTGCTACAAACTTCAGCTCCTCTGAGGACAGAGCAAACGCCTCTACTTCTGTCAGAGCTTTCACGGTTCTGGTGGAAGAAGGTAGATTCACACCTGATTTAGGATCCAATGCCCATGTCAGAAGCTCTTCCCCGCAGAAATCTCCTTCTTTCAGGAGACTGTGGTTGAAGAAACCGCTCCTGCCTCCATCCGTTGTCACACTCTCGAGCCGGCCACGTATTATGAATAGCATCTCGTCTACAGGGTCTCCTTCCCGGACTAAGTAGGTACTTTCTGTGAACAAGCATGGTTTCAGCCGCATACAGATTGCATCCAGCAGCTTCTCGTCCATGCTCTCAAACAATGGAACCTAATCTTATGGTGAAAAAGAAAACGCCATTAATAATAAAAAGTTATGTGCTCGATGGTCAATATGTCCTGACTCCTGAATACTCTAAAGGTTCAGTGATCATTTTAAGAAGTTTGAATGAAAACAGTGAGGGATCTTACCCTGCGCACTAAAGCCAGACAAAGATGCCGCTTGATGTCTCTACGGAGATCCTTTGGCAGATTCTGAACGAGATACTCTTCATCCACACCACGTGTCTCCAGCCATTTATACTGGTCATAGCGTCTCACACGCTCCCTAAGATCTTGTGGTAACATCCTGTGATGCATCCATTGTTCTGAATCACGCCTCTTCACTCTCATTTCTTCGAGCCGGATGGTAAGAGATTGGAGATATGTCTATCCCAAGATTGCAAATGTTGTTAGGCAGTCCTAATTTATATACAGAGGATAACAAAATTAAGCATCATCATGGTGGTAGCTAAAGTACCTGCATGTTTCCGATGAGAAGAGCAAAGAGAATCAACCCAGAAATGGCGAGAGTGATGGAAAATATAATCTCCAACGGGTATGTACTGGTTTCAAGCCCTTGTCCAAGTGTACTGTTGAATACAAGGAAAAAAGAATGACTTATGCATTCAGTTAACAAGGAATATCTGAAAGTTATAGACGTAGAACTTTGAGCCAAAGGAACTGGTTTTGTGTGAATTGGCAAGACCAAAGCAATAATCTTTTCTTTACTTTGACTGATTTTGTGATGGAACAAAAGGAGTTAACAACGGTTACCTCAAGTTCTGAAGCCCCCACCACAAGCAGTAACAATATTTTGTGATGAAATTTTGAGATGAGACAATGCCAGAAGATAAAGCCTGTGTATAAATCCCAAAATCAAACGGAGGATTAGGATCATCGAGCTCAGCGCGGCACTTGGACTGAAGAACAGATTCTTTGCTCCTGTTCCAGACATCATAGCCGTCCATGATTTGATTGCCACAGTACAAGAAACCTGTGCTGCAATTCCCTGCATCTTTACATGCCTCCTGCCAGCAGGCGTCGTTACGTTCTAAGGCTAAAAGGTACCAAAACGCTCCAACTATCTGCAACATAAGCAACAGTAGCTCAATCAAAATAACACTTACCAATCAGCTAATTATCGAACCGTAAGTAACACAAGCAAAATTGACTCAGTAAACTAATCCGACCAGATTTGCTCTTCATAGCAAACTTTGACACTTGTGATCCTACGCAACATCAAACAAGATAAAGAAGGAATTTTGAAGAACATCACAAGTAAGCAGAGACTCCACAAACCTGGCTAAGCTGCTTTACATGTTTAAAAAAAAAAAAACACTTGAACTGAAGTTCACAACAAAGTGTTTCCTGGTTTTGCACTTTATGTGACACAGTCACATAAGTCAAGGTAAAATGGGCAAGCAGTAAAAGAAATGTAATTCTCAAGAGGAAAAGCTAGGCACTAACATGACTTGCAAGCATATACAATAGCAGATAATAGGCGGCACCAGCCCAAGCAGTTTCTGCAAAGACACCTGCTGTCCTTTTCAATTCTGATGTCAAGGGTAAGACACGTATAAATCGCGGTATATACTGAACCAAAACAATGAAAAGCAAGGCCTGCTTTGTAGCCAATACATCCGAACCCCTTGACCTTTGCAAGAACCTCCAAACTACAATCTGCACATACACAAAGTGAATAATGTAAATCTGAAACCAACAAACTCCGAACAGGGATCTTTGACCACCAACTAAATGCATCCTTTCAACAAATCATCATGCACAGAGCTTCTGAAGGAAAAAGCAATGATGTTGGCCAACACACCAATTACTGATTGATCTAAAGTTCTAAACTAATGTAACCAACCTGAGGGACAGGAAGTACAGAGAGAAAATCAATGATAAACCACCGTTGCAAATATCTCTTTGCTATCTGTGCAGGATCTATCACAAGTTCACCTCGTCCAAAGACCCGAGATGAGGGTGCAATATAAGCAGTCCTAAGCTGGAGAGCCATGTGGCCGAGATAAAACACATCGATGATAGTCCGCAGTGTAGTTGCAGTGATAGCCAGTTTTCGGTCAATACCAAGGCACTTTGACACACCATTGATCTCAGGAAGATAGAAGAAAAAAGGGTCCACGAACACTGAAAGAATACATGACATAACAAATAATTTATTGCAAAACAAAAGGGTTTTATCCTGAGGATCAAATATCTTCTTTTCAGATACTTTAAGGTCTTCTGGGAACACTGCTCGATAAACACCAAAACCAAGTGAACGACCTATCGATTTAAGCCCTTTGGAACCCTTTTGGATCCCTTTCTTAAAGGATCCAGATGTGTTAATGCTTCCATGAATAGGGCGAAGTGGCCCACTAATATTGGAGGCGTAGTTCTGTTGGCGGGATGCAGATGTTGATGGTAACCTAGAGTCCAGATCATCCACCCTATTCAGTATGACCAACATAACTTTCAGATTATTATGCACCAACAAGCAAAAGATTAAGGGCTGTCCATTTAATCCAAAACAATCACACTACAATTTCATCAGGAAACAAATCAGAGAACAAGCATTGCCAAATTATAACTGCAAGAGCTTACAAAAACTGACGTTCTGGATAACTGTTATCAAGGAAAACTTGTTCACTTGAGTGCCTCAGTGCATATCAGTTTGCTCCATTAAAGTCACAGAACAAGCACAATATGTTTGACAGATTCAAAAAAGTCACAGAACAAGCACTAACCTCACAAAATTTTCTCGTTTGCCTGCCATGATTGCTAATAAGGAACCAGAACTCGGTTACCTTCAACGACTAAGCCCACGCATCACTTTCTCACATCAACAAAGAAAGAAGACGGCTTAATACAGTTCTCATGAAGCAAGCTGCATCATCAAGAACAAGAAAAAAGTATCCAGCTTAAATATCTCCTCGGATGCATGTTATCGACTCTTTAACAAATAAAAAACGTGAGTAATGCATCATCACCTATTGAAGTAATAACATGTATTATTTTTTTCCATAAGTTGTGTATGTACTACATGCCAAATTTGATAAATTCTGCTAGTTAAAGATTAACTTACTCTCCGCTGGCGAAGCAAAGTCAACTGGTAAAAAAGGAAAATAATTTATGAATGAATGATCGACACCAACACAGAGTAGAGAGACAAATTCAGAGATAGAGACATGAGCCTAAGAACATTAATAGGAACAGAACAGAAGCGAACCGAAGTGAACTTGCTAAAACAAGAGAAGAATAGACAGAGACTTACTTAAAGCTACAAGCTTTATGCTAATCCATGGCTTAGCCGATTTCAAGGGTCCCGATAATGAGGATAACGCTTTGCAGTAAGAGGAAAAAGTTTGAACAAGAAGAAACGAAAGTGGGGGTATAAAGCGACAGAGCAGACAAGTGGTATCGCCTTTACCATTAAAAGAACACAAAAAAGCAATGAAGAAGAAATGCAAACTAGTAAATTGACGTTTATGCCCTTGATTATAGCAAAAAGTTGATTTTTCCCTTAAGTCTCAATAGTCAAAAGGCTCAACGTGATATTAAGGTTGGTAGTAGATAAGAAGTGATTCTACAATGTGAAATGGAGGATTTTGTACAAGAAGTATACAAAATACAAGCTCTTTTTTAATATTAAACAACCATCTCAGCTTCTTTGACACTTGAAGGGATTCCAACCTCCAGTCTCATTGTAGCTCTATACTGTTCAGGTACAGTGGCGCCAGCCTGCGCACATATCTCCACAACAGCCGGTGCTTGCCCGTAGAAACTTCGAAGCTCCCGCTGCAATGGCGGCCCATTCACATCAGGAACATGCCAAACGTATCTTGGTGGTATCAAGTCGTCAAGCACTGCAGATTGCCAACCATGTTGGCCATTCCGCTGTTGGTGCTTGAAGGCACCACAGTTCTGGGCCTTGTGTCCCGTTGGACCTACGTGAACCTCGGGACAGTATCCACAGACCCTGACCCTGTACATCCTCATCAGCTTTTTGGCTCCTGCTCTCATTTCTTCCCATGCCTGTAATGTTTCTTCGGCTAGGGAGACTGTTTCTTCTTCGCTGGAAGGGGGAGTGATCTCTGAGATAGGTAACTCAGTTAACAATGGCACCTGAGGAAGCTGGGGCTCTGGATCAGGCAACTCGGTTTCATCTGCATCAACAAACTCGCTTTTGCCAATGCGGATAATTGGTTTTCTTCTCCTTTTGGTTGGAAACTCGGGGATATCAACGCCGCCCTGAATGCAGAGCTCAACTACAGCAGGAACTCGGGGAATGGAGAATCTCTCATCATGGCGGATGCGCTTGCCAAGGCGGTCATAGAGGTGATATGATTCAAGAGGAACAATAACGTCTTCAATGACCGAGTTTGTCCATTCATGAAGACCTTTCCTTTGGGAAGCATTTGGACCTTTACATGACTTAAAGGGATGCCCATAAGGTCCAACATGGATCTCATTGCACCACCTAAAAAGAGACCAAATCCGAACATACATCAAACGGTCAATGGCAAAACCCATACTGAAACTTCCCGGAAATGAAACAAGAAGAGGAAAATAATTTACCCACAAGCATTAACACGAACAACTTTCAGGAGCCGGTGGAGATTGTTGATCAATCTGATTCTTGCGTTGTATACTTTATAGGCAAGAGGCAAAAGGCTCTTCACGACCATACCATTTTTAGGTGGAGGGAGAGGTCTCTTAGGTTTGTCTTTGTTCTTCTTGACTCTCTCTCTCGCCGCTCGTCTCAGGTCCACAATGGGCACTGGAAAGGGTTTCTTCTCTCTCCTTGTGTACTGCTTAGGCGCGTCTGCATTCTGAGGATGATCACTTCTCACAACAAATGGAAGAGATTGACGCCCTTTGCTAAGCACAAGTCTGGAATCTAACTGAAGTCTGAACTCAATGCTACTTCCCTGCACAATACATCCGTACATAACAGTAAGTATACTCCACTCGAAATTAGAGTTTACACATAGCTTTAGCAGCTGCAAATATATATATAAACAACAAAAGTATCGTCTCGTTATAGGAACCAAAACTGGAACGAAACGACGGATGATGTAAACGCCAAAGGAAGCAGAGCGAGACGAGTAGGATGATACAGACTACTACTAACCTGAAGAGAAGAAGAGAACCCATAACTAGAAAACGGCTTGAGATTGATAAATTTCCTCCTGGATATGCTCTGAATAGCGAAAGGTGCACTTTTAGGTGAAAACCCCGAAAGTGTTCCCCCATCTGCCCCTGAGGGGAAAAAAAAAAATCAATCACAATCTGACAAGAAAAGGATTGATACTGAGCATTGAGGATGGTTCGCAAAGCAAGATTAAGAAAAAAAAAACTTACAGGAAACGGCCGAGGACGTTATCGACATCGTCGACAATGTGCTGTGTTAAGGCATTGGAAGGAGGAGGAGGAGGAGGAGGATAAGGAGGAAGAGAGCGAGACCAGTCTCAGTCTCTGAGACGAAATTAGAGCTAATGGAAAAGGTGAGCCTATCATAATGGGCTTTTAATGGGTTTACTGTGGTTCCGTAGGCCCACTTAGATTAACATATGTTTCCAACACGAGAGCCGTTGTGTAACCGAACCCGGTGTAAAATAAACCATTTTATAGTTTTCTGATCTTAAGCAAAATTAAACATTCTGACAAAATTAAACCGAACATGACTCAGATACAAACCGAAACCGAATGGAATTGGCGCCTCTGTTACACAACATCAAGATCGTTTTTTTTATAGTTGAACAAAACCAAAAAGGCCTAATGGAAGAAGAACCAAACAAGCCGTTGCAACCAAACTCCATGAGCCGTTTAGCCGATAACTATTTCCCTTGTTTGTGATATGAGCATTAGCATGACCATCAGCAGGAGCATGAGCATGAGCAGGAGCAGGAGCAGCCGCATTGGTTCTGTTGTGATTTGGAGACAAGACGACGACACGAAGCTTCTCTCCTCTCTGGCAATGTCCGTGTTCACCACTGATGAAATAAAAAGGACCTGATCTCTTGAGCTCTATCTTCGTGTGACCATCTTTGTATCCTCTTATAGGCTCTGATCTGTCGCATCTCTCGTAATCTTTTTCCCTCACTTGCATCACTGAATCATTCTCCGCATTGTATTTCCACACTGGTAAATGAAATGACTACAAATTATTTTTTTTCATGAAAAAAAAAAACAAAACAAAACCACGTATCAAAGTGTAATTTCACTACTTACAGAGAGTATCTCCAATTTTGAATCTTGTTCTCTCTGACCAATGGTTTAGTGTTTCATCTGTAGATTCTGGAACCTTCCATGTGCTAGACTTGCCTCCCACCAGAACCTCCCTACCTTCACACAACAAACCAAATATCAGAAGCAAACAACACACCATAAGTGAAGACATTGTGAGTTTTGATGATGGTTTTTGTTGTTGTGTATGTGATTATAGTCTATCAATTATATGATCTATGATGAGAATTCGCCAAAATAAATAGGTGAGAGAGATCTCTGGCTTCTTGGATCCAAACAAATCCCTTCCATGAACCAAAACGTGAACTTCGAAAACGAATCTCGTGAAATGAAGAAGCTAAGCGTTACAGAGCTGTGTGCTAATTGTGACCAAAACCAACACTTTCACTATTGCGTTTACCTTCCATCAGCTGATGAATCATCGTTGCATCATCGATGTAGATGCTAAAAGTTATTACCACCTTTAGGATATTTTATGGATTTTGTTTTTTTTTTTTGTTTTTGGGAGATATTTAAAGCAGAGTAAATGGAATGCATGTGACGAGGAGATGGGAATTTATTATGGATTTTTAACCATTCAAAGTAAATAAACTTTATAAAAAAAACAAAACAAATAAACCCCTAAAACCGAGCACCATTTTCCAGAAATCAAGGCAGAAGTTTCTGCACAATCCGTATATATTTGTAAATAACTTAAAGTCGAATCTTTTATTTTCCTTTTTTCTTTGTCCTCCACCATCTGACTTTTTCGTGAGTAAATATTAAAGTCTTGAAATTTATATTTCAACCTCCATTCTCATCGGTCTCTTTTCAATGGACCCAGTTTGAATGGTTTATATTTTACAGACGACAATGGAACACAAGAAACAAAGAGAGAGAGAGAGAGTTTTCTTCAAGATTTCTCCAACTAAACCTGTCAAAAAAAAAAAGAGGTGTTGATAAATTAAAAAACAATAAAAGGAAGTTGCTTTTCTCTTGACCCAACACCACAATTTAGTGCAGAAGTCATTTCCCACACTTACCCCTTTCCCTGCACAAGTCTGCTTCCATCTTCATCACTACTGTCTCAACCCAACAACACTCACATCCAAAGAAAAAGTAATTTTGCTTTATTTTATTTTCCTTTCCTTCTCACAACAACAACAGCAACATGATGTGTCCTTCTTTTCTGCTTCTTTGTCCTTCTCTGACTTCTCCTCAGATTGATATTAGATTACAACACGAAACCCAGTACCTTCCTCTCTCTCTCTCTCATCTCTCTCATCTCTCTCTTCCCATTCCTTCTTTCAAGCGCTTTCCCCTTCATCTCTCTCCATCTTTCCTTCTGTGACTCTGTACTTACACATCTTGTGTTCATCTGATGAATCGAACTCACGGCGATTTCACTCCCTCCAATCCTAATCCTTTTGAGGATCCGAAAGTCAGACTTAAGCATCATAGCCTTATGCAAGACTATCGAGAACTGCATATGGTACCAACTCTTTTTTTTTTTTCTTGATTTTTAAATCAAGTTTCAGTTTCTGCGTTCTGGTCTGTTTGTCTCTGGATCTGAGAATGTAAATTTTAGCTAGTTTAATTGCTCAGGATTTGCTTTTTTTTCACCCTGATCTGTTCTCACCTGAGAAAAGGGATTAACTTTTGTTTTAAACAGAAAGATGAAACTTTTGAGTTTAATTGATTCCTTAACAAACATAAAGCGTCTTACTTTTCTTTCATGAGTAGTTATGCAAATCTCTATTAGTCTTAAACTGATCCAAAGGGTCACCTCTTAAGCAGAGTTTTTGTATGAGAACCTTGTTGTGTCCATACTGTCAAAGACTTTGTCTGTTTTAGTGTTTGTTTTTTGTTTCTCTGATCTTTAAGATCATGTGTGTTATTAACCGCGTTTTACTGTTTGTTGGATTACGAAAGGATACTGAAGCAATGAGAAGAAAGTTAGAGACAATGCGAGAGAGAAAGGCAACACTAGTGGCCGAAGTCCGGTATAGATCTTTACAATCCTTGACAAGATAATTAAGATGATTAGAAATCTTGATGTTTTTTCTCAAAGTGTTCATGTCATTCATCAGATTTCTGCGGCGGAGATACAAACATTTGAGACAAGACCAGCATGTAATGCAGCCATCAGATGTTAAAAAGAACAGAGGAAGATCATCAAATGGTGGGAAGAAGAGTAAAACGCAAATCCGAACGGAAGTGTCTCCTTCTGATAAGAGAAGTGAAGCGGAAACTAAGCATGTTTCGCTTCCTGACCTAAACCACTCAGGAAAAGTTTACGATGAAAGTGAAACCAAAACCACCAGAAGAGTTCCATTGTTTGATCTAAACCAGATATCTGTAAGCACGTCTTTCACTCTTTCAAATGTTGGGACAAAGAAACCAACATGTCTTTACTCTTTGCAAACCTATTTTGAACACCTCATAAATTGATTATAGGGAGAAGAAGAGGAAGAAGGAGAAGCAGTAAACAATACTCAAGAGAGTACGAGAGTGGAAGAAAGCAATTCATGTAAGAGAATGAGCAGCAGCGTCGAGATGCAGCTATCGTCTTGCAGGAATGGAGGAAACGGATCAAATAAGAGGAAAATTTCATGGCAAGATCCTGTATCAGCTCTCAGAGTCTAAACACAAAAACTTTTGTTTTTATTTGCTCAAATCAAGTATCTTGTAACATAGCTTCACATCAATTTAGCTTACCTTTATTTGCTTATCTTCTCCGTTGAAAACATATCCAATTGTGGCTTGAATCTTGAAACCTTATCCCTTCTCCACTCTTGAGGTGGCGACTTGTACGAGTGACATTTGTATATGGGACATGTGTCGTTCTTAACTCTGTTGCAAGTGATCCAAAAGTTTAGGAACAAAATGAACGGTCAGATGTTGTTCACATGTGTCTGAAAAAGACACCTTTCGTGTAAACTTAAAATTCATAAGCCTGATCTTTGAGTCTCAGACGAAACAGAGAAAGCAACAATTTTTATGGACGAAGACGGGTCTGATTGGGGCGGATTGGCTCCGGAGATACTCACCAATATCATTTCAAGGCTGACAATTCAAGAGCGATGGACGGGACCGATGTTGGTCCGGAAATCGTGGCTAACCGCTTGCAGAGATCCGTACCTCTGGACCATCTTCGATCTGGAGCCATGGTTCGAGTCATATCCCGACTCGGCTCGCTTGTGGACCCCTGACTTCGAGGGGAAAGTAGACTCAATGCTCCGATCAGTCGTTGATTGGAGCGACGGAGGTCTCACCGAGATCCGCGTCCGCCATTGCAGCGACCACGCTCTCTCTTACGCTGCCGATAGGTAACCTTTCTTCATCAAAATCCCCTTGTTCACTGGTGAAAATGATTGAATTTTGGAAATTTCTTAACTTTGAGTCATTTTATGAATTTGGACATATCCATAGATGCCCAATTCTCCAGTTTCTCGCCGTAAGAAGCTGTCGTAACGTGACAGACGCATCGATGACGAAGATAGCGTTTCGGTGCAGGAGTCTAAAGGAAGTCGACATCAGTTACTGCCACGAAATATCTCACGACACGCTTGTGATGATTGGTAGGAACTGTCCCAATCTCAGGACACTGAAACGCAATCTTATGGATTGGTCAGATTCTTGTCGACGCGTCAGCTCTGTTCCTACAGAGTACCTAGACGCTTGTCCTCAAGACGGCGACACAGAAGCTGACGCGATCGGAAAACACATGATCAGTCTAGAGCGTTTGGAGATTCAGTGCTCTAGATTATCTGTCAAGGGACTCGCTTCTATATGCGAGGGTTGTCCAAAGCTAGAATACTTGGACTTGTTTGGCTGTGTGCATCTGTCAAGCCGTGACATAGCAAACAACGTGTCAAGGCTCAAGTGGCTTAAGGAGGTGAAGAAGCCAGATGTGTATGTGCCAAGGTCTGGGGATGTGGCTCAGACGGAGAGATACGGACACTGGAGACTTTATGATGAGAGATTTGACATACAAGCCATGAGGATCTGATTTTCTTACACAAAGCATGTTCTGTAATAAAGCAGCCTATAGTTCTGACTTGGGTATGTTATTTCTTGTGTATTACATATAGCAGCTGTGCTACAAAGAAATAGCATTTTCTTTGCTTTGGTAACACTGAAAAATACCAAATGAAGAGCTTACAATCTCATGCACTCAACTTATATGATTTTGTATGCACAGAGTAGCTGTTGACATTACAAAGACGAATTTTGTATGCACAGAATTTACTACAGCAATTCTTATAGGGAAAGTAAAAGAGAAAACCACTTGTGACACTAGAAAAATAAACCTAGAAAAGGAGAGAGAGCAGAAAAGAAGAGGCAAGGCAAGTAGTCAAATGGAAGGAGCCTGAGAAAAGTGTTGCGGAAGCAGATGTGATGGTTCGAGGCCTTCTGTATCTTCCTCCCCTTTTCCTTATGAAAACTCCAAGCTTCCTCGTTACACCAGCTTCATCATCGCCATGGCCTGAACACAAAAGAAGGGCCTGAGACAAGAACAGGAGCAAGATGATCGATAGGACGAGTAAACGTTTGATGTCACCCATCTCTTCTCCAAGATAAGATAAAGTTTCGGCTCTCTGCTATGATTATAAATAAGCCGGGTATAGTTGAAGAAGATTATATGTTGGATGCATAATATTTTAATACGTTTCGTCGGTTGATACAGAAATGAAGTGATAAGATAATATCATAGTGTCATGTGGAGCCAGCCTATCACGACCATAATTAAAAGATTTGACTCGTTGGAAAAATAGGTGTCCAATATCACAAACCGATATGAATTGAAGGTCAAAGCCGACGACGATCCAAGTCTTAACAGTTCTTAGTTTATCGCAATGATATGATTACGGAATCAACTATTGTTACTTTTTAGGCCAAAGTCAAGCAACTTGATTTTCACACACTATCCTTTAATGAACTACGAGTAAAAAATGGTTTCAAAAAAGAAAAAATGTTTTTATTGGGTAGATACTACCAACCTGGAAAGGAATCATCCTGGGAAGGCTAAGATTTTGTCCAAAATGGCTGGCTCCACCTCCCGGAAAGATGTGACTTGACCAACTCGTTTAGCTAATTCCCCTGTAACTCGGTCCATGTAAAGAAGATACAAGCCATTTCTTTCTTCCAAAGCAGCTACTGCTTTCCTCGCATGGACCACTGATGCTATCCACTCCTCAAACACAACTGCAAACCATATACAACCAATCTCAACATTATTCGATATACATAATTGTATTTGTGTCGGCCCAGGTAGGAAACTATTATAATCCGGACAAAATTCTATAAAATAGAAGAAAAGCCAAAGATATATTAAAATGACATCGCTTATCAGAGCCAGGTTTCGATCCTGGGACCTGTGGGTTATGGGCCCACCACGCTTCCGCTGCGCCACTCTGATTTGTTGTTTTAATAACATAAATGAGATATTAAATTTACCAGTTTCAAATGCTTCATTCTCTGCCCAAGGTATCAAATAATCACATATCAAGAACTCAACAAGCTGTATCCTGCGGTTTCATAAGACTAACATAATCAAGCTTAGCATCCCCATGTACCATAGACAGATTGTCAGACTAGATTTTGAGATACTTACAATATAAACATGCATTCATCAATCTCTGGGAATGATTCATCAAATGGGTCCATAAACAGTAAATTTTCGGCTAATATGGATATCCTCTGAGAAATAGCAAATATTGCACGCTGTCCAATGTATGGTTCACTTCCCAGTTTACGGATCAAATGTTGGACATAAAAGCCAACACTTGATTCTTTATTGACCTCTACTACAGATAGTAACACACAAAAACAAATATTAGAAATGATAACTAGAAAAGAAAAACAAATTTAGAATCATAACTAAACTGCTATAGTTACCATTTCTTTTGAAAGGAGTACACATTTTTGTGATTAACTGCGTAATCATGAAACTGATAGATTCTTCAACAGATTCTAAGTTCCTCCCCAATGATATCAGCTTCTTCAGTATAGCTTGAGGACACCAAAAAGAGCGAATTATTGCAAGAAGAGGAGCAAGAACAAACTTTTGTTTCATAAGTTAAAAGCAGCCTTCTAATAAAAGAAATTGCAGCTCAGGATTTCGATGCAACTCATGAGTTTGAATAATATTACCTAATATGAAGTCCACGGCCTGATGTGACCAACTGCTGAAATTACAAGCCTGCAGAATATAAGAAGCGAATTCAATGTTGAAAAGCATCTATGAATGACCAGGGAAAAAAAAGCTTAAGCAACAAATCTAACATTGGAGTCCGCTTCGGACAGTTCCAGGAGAAAATTAATAGATATCCTTAGATGCTCTGCTTCCTCTTCATCTCCTGGTTCTGCATTCAAACTTTCACCTCAAATAAAATAGAGACCCAGAAGATGACCTGGTGGTTCTTGGTGACATATACTCTATTGTTTAACTTCCTTCTCCCATAGAACACACGTAGGTCATATCATGATATGGTGTTATATAATGCATTAAGGAAATCGAAAATGGGAAATAATAGACAGTGAAACAAGGCTTGGAAGACCCTTCACAAAACCTGAGAGCGGCAATCTTTGAGATGACCTAGTTGACTTCCTTCTGCCCCTTGTCCTTGCTAGTGATAAAATGACAGCACGGTTGATAAGTTTAGCCCACAAACACAAAGGTAACAAAGGGAACACAAACTGTTCAAAGTATCAAATTGATGGATATAAAAATGGGAAAGTGACCTAGTCTTAGAAATCTTCGACGAAGGACATCGTTAAATCTCGGTTCAGAGGCCTCTCCAATCCGCCTCCCGCTGAATTCCCCCAAGTTATCAAAGAAATAACACTTGCAAGAAGCATTCGCTGGGAATAAATCACAATGCGAAGCACCTAATTGACAGAAAATTGCATTAATAATAGACCATGAAATCCAGAAACATCTTGCAGCCTTTCCATATTAAGAATCAATAAGTACATAAACGAGTTGAGAAAGTTTAGAGAGACAGAAAATACTTTCAGCATCCTTGAGATCTTCCCGGAGTTTGATAATCTCTTTCTTCCTCTCTTTAGCCTAATTTCAAAATCGAAAATCTCCACAATGTTAAAAGCTCCGTCTCGCAATCGAGAAAACACAATCATATCAGCGTAAAACAGAAGCCGAGGTGCCCTAGAGACAAATTACTTGAAAATTCGAATCGGAAAGTAGCCCTAGAAAATCTAGACAAAACGGTAGCAGATTGCACCAAATAGAAATCAGTAGAAAAACGAGAATGCACTTAAACAAACCCAAATACAAAAGAAATCGAGTAGGAACCTTCTGCTTCCAGCGAAGAGCATCAGTTGCAGAGGGAGCATCACAACGGGGATTAGAAGAAGAAGATTCACGGTTCTGGATCTTCGCTCGTAGAAGAGAAACAGCGATCGCCAGTCTCAGCGACTCTTCCTTCTCCATGTGATCTGCTTCAGCGACGCTCGAACTCATTTCGTTCAAATTAAGAAGAAAAAAAATGTTTTAATTTCCGGGATAATAATAATGATTCCCATTCCTGCGCGGGAGAGCTTTTGTGAACTCTATACAGAGTCCAAATATGGCCCATTGATGCATTTAAGAGGAACCCACAAATACTAGTGGTTTATTGTCCATTAGCTTAATTAGGGTAATTAATAACAAGCTTCATTAATCGCATGGATTCACCTAACTACTTTAAAGCTCAGCTAATTGAAAGAGACAATGATCAAACATTTCCAATGTAAAATTATCTGAGTTTATAGGGGTCTCAAGTCTGAACAACAATCAACTGAATAATATCTGAGACCGTAAAACAAAAAATGCAAAGGTCAAAAAGGAAACAAAAAGAGATGTCAAAGAAGAATACAAAAGAAAAAGGAGGAAATGAACACTTTCCCACAACAAAACAAAGAAGCGGTGAGAGAATAATGTCATAATGAAAGAGCTTAAAGAAGAGCAAACCCCAAAGTTTTCTTGTTGGAAACTATCTTTGAGTTCTGAGACTCTCCTTTACTCCTCCTCCTTTAAGCTTACAACACAAACATTCATCGCCCAAGCCTTGACCTAGAGAGCAAAATCGTAAAGCATTGGTTCCTTTACAGATTTCGACAAGCCTCGATGTCTGCAGCCTGTGAGGCCAAAAGGAACTTCCCCTGCTCGCTTGACTCCAAGATGTGTACAGCTGCATCCATCACCGCCTTCTGGAACCTATCGTCCTCCATTTTCCCAAGGACTTCTCTAACCAATTTGAAATCCACACCACCAGCGAGAATCAGCTTCCCTACAATCTCACCAAAATTGTTTGGCGCCTTAGGAAGATCGATTCCAATGTCATCCAGCATAGCACCATACAGCAAGAACCCAGTTTCAATATCCTTGGGTGTCACCACATTCTTTGATAACAAATACCCCAAGAGTCTAGCAATTGGCTCAACAACAGGCGGGCTTTTCTCAAGGGACAGTGAAATTGCTTCCTTCACAAACTCTGCATGATATGAAGGCGACTTAAGCTCCTCCACACACTGCAGAGCTTCATCCAGAAGTCGGACACTAAAATATTCCTCGAGAAGCGACTTTGTTTTTCTCTTGAACACTTCTTGGCTCAACTTGGGAGCACTAGGCTGCGGTTTCTCCACCGGAACTGGTACGTTCAGAGGTGCAGCTGCCGCTTGAGGTCGCCCAAATTCTGATATGGAAGGTGGGCGCGACACTGAACCGCTGCCCTGCAACAGGGCGCTTGTCTTACCACTCATAAACCCGCTGCTGCCTTGAGGTAAGAGCCTCGTGTTCATTGAGGTCGACTTGCTCATTGCTGGAGAAGGTCCTGGCCCATCGCGTCTAGACATTGATCTTGACCTGGGTACCTCCCAGTTATCATTGTCCGCCCCAGGCATCCCGGGCATCCTTCGCGCCCCAGGCATCCCGGGCATCAAGCCACCTGCACCAGGTCGCCCACCAGGGTAGACAGGGCCAGGACTCACAGGCCCACTACTAGAAGAAGCCATGCCCTTTCTCATATTTGCAGTGGCACCTGGACGGAGACCAAGATTCTTCTCTGCGTCAGAATGGATTTCGGTTATAGTTTTTGCTTTCATCTGCACAAGCAATGTAAATAGAACGTTAGAATCGCTACAAAATGGAGCAGCAAAAAAGTCTCAACCTTGTAACTAAAAAAACTGAGGCATGAGTTTTTTAATGCCAAAATACCTCTTCCCGCCTGGGTACCCAGCCATTGGAGCGCAGGTCTATGATATTCTGAACCATGAATCGCAGACGCAGCTCCAACTGAGGATTCTTTGACAGATCCTGCAGGCGTCTGAAATATGCATCATTGATCCGTTTTGACTTCATATTTCCGTCAAGTTGTTTGCCAATAGTTTTAAAGAAATGACAAATAGCTTCAACATTTTCCTCTGCTGGACACGCTTTCTCATCGGCTCCCAGAAGCTCCTATGCTCAGAGCAAAATGAGAAAGGTAAAATACATATACCAAAACAACAACTGTCTTAGAATATGTGTAAACTTATAGGAGTTAACCTGAACAATGTGATGAACAATCTTTCCTGGAACCATCTTCTGCTTTAGAAGCTCACCGATCAAACGAATATTTCCTAGAGTCTTGAGCTTCAACAATTTTTCTTTGTCCTTCCGCTCAGCCTCCTGATCTGGAGCACTCATCTGTCTAAGCTCCTCCCTCAAATTGGCAGCGCCCTCAAACGCCTCTTGACAGATATTCAGCAGAACCCTCTTAAATGTAATCTCTTTAGCCCCAGGCTCTTCAGGTGGGAAGGTAGGCAGCTTGTCGTTGATATCAGAGCACAGTTCCGCGTACATAGGGCAGAACGTCGGCTCAAGGACAGCTTTGTCAAAAATCAGGGTTATCACACCCTACAAAATGAAAGAAAAGAACACTGGTTAGCTACGTGAACAGCCTAGATGATTGGAATAAGACTTCATCTACGCTTGAGACATAGTACACACCTTAAGAATATCAGCAGATGTGATGCCAGAGTCAATAAGTTGGCCCTTGAGAAGATCATACTTTTCAGGGGTTAGCTTGTTCAGTATCCTAGACAGGAAAAGTATAATCTTTGTCAGTGTGCAAGCACGATATAAAAAGATTTCATGTTGGCAGTAAAGGAAAATGATGCAAAAGTCTAGACCATCAATAACTGTCTAAAAAGACATTACCCTTTCACAGTCTTCAGAACACGATCATTTTCGGAAAGGTTTCCTCTTCTAGCTGACCAAGGAACTTCAGCTTTGACGAGGACAGGAGCTGGTCCACCCTGGTTTCCACACGATATACAAGTAAAGTAAGAAAGTAAATAAATCATGCCAAAATGAAAAGGACTAACAAGAGGGAAAAAAACATAAATTTATTAACCAATTACCCCTTGGTTGGAGGATATTTGCGCCCTCGAAAACTGGGAATTAAGTTGGTCTTGACGATTATATAGGCCCGCTTCAACATACCTGGAATCTCTAGCTTCACGGAGGTTTTCCCATGACCTTTCCTCCCCAGAGGGTACTTGAGCAGCAGAACGGCTGCGCCAATCGCGAGTGTCTGGCTCAGAAAAACGGCCTGGAGATTGCACCGGAACCTAGAGCATTAAGATAACAGATCCGTGTCAGAACTCATGAAACTTCATGTTGGAGGATACAATGCAAAAGTGAAAGTTCAACAAATCTATACCAGGTTGCTTGCGACACTTTCCCCACGTGCCCAAGTCTCCGCCTCACCAAACAGTTCTGTCTCAGTATCCCGTTTGACTTTCAGAATTTCATCAGAGAGTTGAACGGTCTGGAAATATGCAGAAACGTTAGTGACCTCAAATAAGAAGAACAAAAACGAAAAACACAAACTATTCTGGTCTTGATTCTAGATTTTAATAACTAAGATAATCACCTCTTTAAGTTCCAGGAGCTGCTCACGGGTGTACTTCACACGTTCACGGCCATCGAACCGAGAGTCCCCACCCTGAAACATTAACATAACCCAGGAAGAATCTTCATTAGCTGACACTCAACTCACAAAAACATATAAGAAGTGACATTCGAAGGAGACAAAGAAACAACAATGCTCAGCTAAAAAACCAAGCAGAATTGATGAACTAAAATACTGCAAGAAATGTCAATAGGTCCTTTATGAGCAAATAGCAGCTTACAAAATGCCCACCTAAAAGCCTACATATCATTCTACGTCCATATTTACAGCAGCTACACATACTTGCGTGCGCCGCTAAGAATCAGGACAAACAAGTTTAATTCTTTATGTTGCAGAGACATGAGCTCAGTAGGAATTTTACAGCATAAGGCCAGTGAAAATCGCAAATCAAAAACCTTTCAGCCAATTCAGACATATCAGCAATATACCAAACTGTAATGCCAAATGAAAAGGTTTCCAATAGCTATAAACCCGGAATTGGATAAAGTGAGAGTGAAAGAATTCCCGAGAAGCTCACGCTAATACACCAGAGATCAACAAAACCATTTCCAGATAGAAGAATAGAAAAATGTAAATCCCATGAAAAAGAAGAGCTAGATCCAGATATACAGGGGAGCTTTGGCGCCCAAAAATGATGGTACCTTGAAGGAAAAAGAGGAAGCAGGAGCACCGCCATGAGGGCGAAGGAGAGGTAGATCCGAAGAGGAAAGAGAGCCAAAAGAGAGAGACGAAGAAGAAGAAGAGGAACCAAAGAGTCTGCTTCCTCGACCGCCACCAGGTCTCAAGCTCAGCACCGTCTGATCGCCCTGCTGCATACCTCGATCTAAACAGCCGAGATCGAATCGAATCTCCACAAAAATCGACGAGAAAGAAGAGAAGATAGAAGCTTTTTCAGCGACGATGAATCGCTGAATCCGAGATTCGGAGAGAATCAACGGAGAGGTATCGGCGTTGTGCGTCTCTCTCTCTCTCTCTCCTGCCGTTAGCGAAGAAGAGGAGAAAAGGGTTGAGATGAGAAGAAGAAGAAGTCGAGAAATGAGACACAATCCCTTCTCTTAATAATTAGGTCTTATTCCTCTTTTTTTTTTTTCCGAACCAGACACACATGTAAATTACAGTTATATCCTTTACATTTGTTTTTTTTTTATTTCCTTGTTTCGTCACCCCCATTGGTTTTTCCGTCATTTCGTACTTCTAAGCTTTATAGCCAAAAAGCCTTGCTCGCCCAAAGCACAATCTGAAAAGGCAAATGGAGCTACCTCGGCTCGTGTGAACCAACAAGAACACTGATTCTTTGATGCCAGGATGCGTCCACATTTTCTGGACTCCAAAAAATACCCTCTTGCTTGCTGCAGATTGAGTTAATGTCTGGTCCTTCAAGGCTGACTCACGAGGGCTGTAAGAAGAGATCTAGCTCAACGTTGTAATTCACTAGCATGAAAGATTATGCGTCCATAACTTCACTGAAAACTATTAATCTTGCAAGTTGCAATCACACTTCAACATCTCAATATCTTTACTTACAACAATAGTCTGTAACAACTAAATAGGCGTTGACACAAGCAGAGACAAAGACACAACTTCAGGCGTTTATAGACTCCTCCTTGTGTTTGAATCAATACTTCTCTTGTTGAAGCAAAGGTTTTTCCTGATACAGCCAGTAAGTAAAGTTCTTCATGAGATTGAGAAGTCGGTGGGCTGTGCAATGTTGACATCCTCAAACTCGTTATCATCTGCAGAAAAAAGAATTAGAAACAGTCATCATGCCATTCATAGCTTTATAGATGCAAAGACCGAATACTCGACAGTTGTGTGTGTAATCAATGAAAGCTAAATAATAAGACGGATGGGAAATAAACAGGAATCACATTCAGGTATATCCAACCAAGAAAGGTTTTAGAGACTGCAATGTTTCACTAGCCTAAAAACAAAACAATTAAGTTTGAAGGTTCACAGACCGAAGAAACATATAAAAACTGTGATTACTAGTTGACCAAGACGTATACGCCATTACAACAAATCCATGTTACCTACATACCAACAAGGTGTTGAAATTATCAAAATAAGACAAGGAGCAATGGAAAATGAGGGATACCTTTCCTCAAAGTCAGAGCAACGACTGCATCATTCTCAACCTGAACAACCAAAAGAATATGGTGACAAGCTTATAACTTAAAATACACAAATGGTGGCAGTTTCCATATGACTAAGATAGTCCTGCTTTAAACTTGAATAAGAATTGAGAATTGTTATTCATTCCCCAACATTGGCTGGAAAGATCAAATTTATGAGACAGTCAAATGTCTGATACCTTCTGCTCCGCTAGAGATTTCGAATCCTCTAACACTTCTTCCGTAGTCATCAAGACCAGACGCTGATTGCTAGCTGGTTGCTCAATGAGGGCAAACAGTTTTTGCTTAACATCCAAAACAGTCTCTGTTGGATCGCACTGGATAAAGTAAGTGGTTTTCATGCGCTTCACACGAATATACATGGCCTGCAAACAAGATTACGCAGACTAATCAATCCTACAACCAACATGCATGGCCATATCTAAATTTTTCGATTGAGTATAGCAAACTCCTGACGAACAGTGAAAATGGCGGAACAAAATGTGCTCAGAAACCTAATTAAGAAGAAGGGCAAAATCTCGTAACTTTCCAGATTAAGAATGATGGAAGAAAAGATTACTGTATAAAGAAAATCGAACCCGCCAAACTAAACCAACGACGTAGAAACATAAATGTATACCATGGCAAGACTAGGATGAACAATTTTATCTTCTTCCGCTGCCGATTCCGAATACTTTTCCGGTCAAAATCTGTTTCAGAAAAGCCAAAAATATTCTCAGACTTTCAGCTAAAAATTGACAAATCTTCGATTTATCAAAACATGTGATCTCGTTTCAAAAGAACAAGAAAAGCACGTCTTTCCAAAATTGCCGATTCAACAAAGAAATCGAATGAAATCGAATGAAATCGAATGATCTAAGATCAATTACGGATGGAAAAACTGACCACAGTAGTGGAAAATCGCGAAGTTGGCTTACTTTGTTTCGATCTGTCAATGTGAAGCTCTCACTCAGCTATACAACGTAAGCAGAAAATAAAACCTACTTTCTCTCTAAAATTTCAATGGTTTCAGGCTTAAGACTATCGTCGATTAGGCGTCGTGGAAAACCCGCTAAAAGAGCAAGAGGGTTTTGTTTGATCTTACTCTTACTCTTCTAAAGTCCCACATCGCTAACAACATAAGAGTGAAAGAAAAGAGAAGCAGTATATAAAACGAGGCCACGCCACTGACCAAATCATACCTTTCTCGGCCTTTTGGCTAAGATCAAGTGTAGTATCTGTTCTTATCAGTTTAATATCTGATATGTGGGCCATCGGCTCACACGATATTAACTCTATTTTTTAAGGGAGAAAGCCCACCAAGATAGCTTGCTATCTGGGCTTTCGTGAGTCGCCCATGCGTTGCACTACAGCACGGGCCTGGCTCATCCCGCCAATCGTATAGTCCAACATTTAGATTCATATCCTAAGCGAATTCTTCTGATGTGAAATGCGAGTTGGGCTAATAGGCCGAAAAAGATTTCTTAAAATGGTGTTATTGGGCCTGTTCCTTGCAAAGTAAATCGCGATTGCTGATGACGTCTCTTATCGTTTGTTTCCCAAAGCCCATCGCCGGTTTCTCGCCGGGGTTGGGAGTTGACACTTGGAATCTCCGGTCTTTATCTCAAGTTCCATATTCTTCAGGAGATGGCTTTCGATTCCCGCGTCGGTTGGCTCGAGGAACAAGGATTCTCAAGTGTTCTGGTTCTCGTAACTTATATTATAATACTTTCCTTTTTCATTTTTTAATTAAAATATATTTTTTAATTTGGTCTTGTCGTCTGGGTTGCGATTAGTTAGATCATTTGTAATGTTAGTCACTGTAGAATGTAGATTATCCTGAAAAGAAAATCAACTAAAAAATACAAATTGTTCTTCGAATTGTTGAATGACTTTTAACAACGAGGTCGTTTTCGTTTCTATGTTTCTTCGAATTGTTGAATGACTTTAAACAATGATCTGAATTCTTTTCTGGACAGATTCGAGCTCTCACTCCTGGAATGTTCCTGTTCTATCTAACAATGAGGTAGCTTTCGTTTCTATGCTTCTAGATATTGTTTTTTCTTCTTTTCTGCTTTTCTCTTCTTTGTTTGTTACTTGTCCGTCATGGCTTAAAATTACCCTCGAAACTGTTCCCATTTTGTTAGCCGGAGTCTAAAGATGTTCATTAGTATGTGCTTTGTCAAGGAATTATAGATGTAGGCCGTAATGATTGTTATATGTCTATGTTTAAAGGCGTTGATTGCGTATCAATGAGCTATGTTTGGTGTCCAAGGTTGTTGAGAAGCTAAAACTAGCAAGAGAAGGACGAGAGTTCTTGGCCATGTACTCAAGTGTTGTTGGCGGAATAACAACCGATCCAGCAGCAATGGTTATTCCATTGGATGATCACATGGTTCACCGTGGTCATGGAGTCTTTGACACAGCCATGATCATTAATGGGTCAGTCAGTTTTGAGTTTTACCTCACTTATCCAACCTTAACTAGTCTTATTACTCAATCATCTCAGTTTCTCTTTGCAACTAAGCAGATATCTTTATGAACTGGATCACCACCTTGACCGTATCATACGTTCTGCATCCATGGCTAAGATCCCACTTCGATTCGACCGAGAAACTATCAGAAGGATTCTCATCCAAACCGTGAGCGTTTCTGGGTGTAGAGATGGGTCTCTAAGATACTGGCTCTCTGCAGGCCCAGGGGATTTCAACCTTTCTCCATCTCAGTGTCTCGAACCAGCTCTTTACGCCATTGTGATCCAAAAGGACTTCACTATTAACTCAACAGGTGTCAAGGTAGTGACCTCGTCGATCCCCATAAAGCCTTCAGTGTTTGCTACAGTTAAAAGCGTTAACTACCTCCCTAATGCGCTCTCACAAATGGAGGCTGAAGCCAAGGGAGCTTATGCGGGTATTTGGGTTGATAATGATGGGTTTATCGCAGAAGGTCCAAACATGAATGTGGCGTTCGTTGTTAACGGTGGTAAGGAGCTTGTGATGCCAAGGTTTGATAATGTTTTGAGCGGATGTACGGCAAAGAGAACTCTTACGCTCGCTGAGCAGCTTGTAAGCAAAGGGATGCTTAAAAGTGTGAAAGTGATGGATGTGACAGTCCAAGATGGAAAGAAAGCGGATGAGATGATGCTTCTTGGGAGTGGAGTTCTCATCCGACCTGTGATTCAATGGGATGAACAATTTATTGGTGATGGTAAGATGATCGATCATGTAAAACGTTTAGAGTGAAGATGATATAATTAGCTGAGTGAAGATGGTTTCTTGTTTGTCTGACTCAGGGAAAGAAGGGCCTATAGCCAAGGCGCTACTGGATCTGTTGCTGGAAGACATGAGATCTGGTCCACCTTCTGTTCGTGTGCTTGTTCCTTACTGAGCCAAACCATTCTCTTTGTATCATAAAGTTCAAGTATCTACCGTTGTTAATCACATCCTTTGATTCTACTTGACTCTGTTTCGGTTTCTTGAGTTTGCAAGAATCGTTCGTTACGAGTCAAATCTGAAGCATGACATAGACAGGAACATAGTCGGTCATCATTTTATGGGCATACGTAGTCGTATGAGCTCTCGCGCCTGTGTTTTTCATGGTCAAAGATTCAAACCCAAAACCAGAATAAAAAGCTCTCAAACATGTTTGTCTTACCCTCTGGTTCAGAAACAGTGGCTTTGAGGCGTCCTTGAAGATCCCTCCTTGATTGAGAATGTGAGATATAGAAGACCTTTTATCACTTTTGATTTAGGCCCATATCCAAACAAACTTTGTCTCATGGTTGCGTACTTGCGTGTAATCTTCAAACTCAAATACTGCTATGCATTTCTCCAGATTCTTCTTCGTCTTCCTTCCATTGGCTTTCATTAATATAACTATTTTTGAACAAAAGAGGTTTGATTGAAGTTTATCTCCGCTACTTTCAGCTCAAGCCAGTCTATTATTACTCACAATTCTTCTAAAGGAGGAGCCTTGGGAGAAATGAAAATTCGGGTGAAGCAAGCTACGGTCGTGAAGCCAGCTGAGGAGACACCGACACACAGTCTATGGCTTTCCAATTTGGACCTGATACAAGTGAGATTTCACATGGGCATGCTTTACTTCTACAACCCTTGTTCCTCCTCCAATCTTTCCAACACTCAATCCCTCATCGATGCTCTCAGCAAGGTTCTTGTCCCCTTCTATCCTGCCGCTGGGAGGCTCCAAAAGGGTAGGACTCGAAATTCGCCTCTTGATTCCTCTACCATCATCTTCTTTCATCTTGAGATAACCAATTTTTCTTTTGGGTTCATGATTTTATTCCTCAAAAATGCATTCTTTGATGATTCTGGATCAAACCCTATGTAGACCTCTTGTCATTAAACACTGTTTTCTTTCTCATCTTTATATGTGGTAGATAAGAGTGGGAGGCTAGAGGTTCGATGCAATGGAGAAGGAGTTTTACTTGTGGAGGCTGAGACTGATTCTACTCTAAAAGACATTGGCTTGCTCACTCAAAGTTTGGATCTCTCTCAACTCGTACCTACTCTTGACTACTCAGCAGACATCTCCTCTTTACCTCTTCTTCTCTTTCAGGTAAGCGTTACTCATTCTGTTATTGGAAATGCTTTGTTATATGTTGAAAAACTAAACAGAAATAGCCATTGTTGCGGTGAACTTTCATAAGAGCGTCTTGAATTGTAATTGGTTCTCAGAAATTTGAGGTACTGCAGGACAACATTTGTAATTTCGAGTACCTATTTGGCCAGACTAGTGCATAGTTTACTGTGAATTGTCATGAATAGAACTGTTAGTTAACGCAGATTATACTTGTTCTTCATCATCAAATGTTATTTTATTGTATTATTGTGTATAGACCATTACATGCACATGGAGTCATGGACTATGTATAAACAAATATCTAACAGATAGGTAGCTGATATTTTGCAAGGTTACATATTTCAAATGTGGAGCGATCTGTATTGGAAATTCAATACACCATACATTCGGGGCAGCTTCTTCTCTTGCATATTTCATGGAAGCATGGTCTAGAACTGCTCGGGGGCTTCCGGTTAAGCTAGAACCGTTCTTCGACCGCACTGTTCTTCGTGCACGAGACCCTCCCTCCCCTGTCTTTCCTCACAATGAATACCAACCACCTCCCTTTCATAATCCTCCCGTGAAATCCCTGGTCTACAGATCAAATCCTGAAACTGATTCTGCACTTGCCAGTCTCAAGCTCACACGTCTCCAACTGAAAGCTCTTAGAGCTAAGGCAGAGATTGCTGATAGTAACTTCAGTACATATGAACTTCTGGTGGCGCATATCTGGCGTTGTGCTTGCTTTGCAAATGAAGGTAATGAATTTGATCTTGTTGGATTCTGGAAGCTAAAAGCGTAAAACTTTCTCTAGATTATACAAACTAAGAGAATCCAAAGGTTTTTACTTTACACATTCTTTTTCTCCCTACAGATTTAAGTGAACAACATTTGGCAAGGTTGCATATAATAATCGATGGGAGGTCAAGACTACAACCAAAGCTTCCACAGGGATACATTGGGAACACTCTCTTTCACGCTCGTCCGATATCACTGATGGGTGATTTTCGCAGAGAGCCTTTCAGCACAACAGTTGAGAAAGTTCATGAAGAGATAAGAAAAATGGACAACGAGTACTTGAGATCAGCGATTGACTACTTAGAGAGACATCCTGATCTCGATCAGTTGGTTCCTGGGGAAGAGAATCCGATCTTTAGCTGTGCAGCAAACTTCTGCATCGTCGGTCTACCGAAACAGAACGCTTACGAATTGGATTTTGGATGGGGAAGACCCTTCTACGAGAGAGCTTCACATTTCAATGAAGGAAAAGGATTTGTAGCTAGGAGCTTAGACGAAGAAGGGAGCTTACTGGTGTCCATGTGCTTAAAGAAGACTCAGCTTGGTAAGTTTCGGGAGCTGTTTTATGAGTTTCTTAATATGTCGGCATTGTGACAGTCACTAGGCTTTGTGTGTGCAGTTATACGGTTCTCTGTGTTTTTTTATGAGTCCCACATCGTAACTTGAGTTGCGTTTGAGAAAAAGAGAAACAGTATATAAAATGAGCCCACGCCTCTGTACAAGTCATACCTTTCTCGGCCTTTTGGCTAAGATCAAGTGTAGTATCTGTTCTTATCAGTTTAATATCTGATATGTGGGCCATCGGCTCACACGATATTAACTCTATTTTTTAAGGGAGAAAGCCCATTAAGATAGCTTGCTATCTGGGCTTTCGCGAGTTGCCCATGCGTTGCACTACTGCACGGGCGGCCTGGCTCATCCCTCCAATCTATTCAGTCAAATTTTGCAAGAGTTTCGAAAGGCCCATTGCATTCTCTCACAGTAAAGCTCGGCTAATAATCATTAAGTCATAAATTGGAGGATTATCATATCATAATTCATAAATACGCTTTATACTCTTTGTCGGCTGGATCATAGTTAGGTCAAAGGCTCAAAGCATATTAAAAATATAATTTCATTACTGATTTCCCGATTTTTTTCAAAAAAAAAAGAGAGGAAAAGAGCTCTGTTGCACGTTTGTATGGCCCACTATCGGTTGCACTTCGGACAATATTTGGTCGGCTTAAGATGTATCTATCAAGCCTTTCGCTTTCGATCTGAATTCTCCGATTTTCCGCCATTTCTCCTTTTTAGGTGGGAAATTCAATCGGAGATTCAGCTAATCTGCGTTTCGAATCATTCTCGATCTCGTCTCCTGCTTTTGAGCATAGGGTAAAATCGCACATCGACCAAAGATCAAAACCATAATCGGAGAATAGAAGAGAGAATGGTGGAGAGGACAATGAGTCTTGGGGTGGGAGGCAATGGAGAAACCTCTGGGGTTAGAGAAACGATGTGGGCGCAGCAAGAGCTTCTTCAGAAGATCAATCAAGAACTTGACGCTGAACGCGAAGCCTCTTCATCGGCTGCTTCCGAGGCATTGTCGATGATTTTGCGGCTTCAAGGAGAGAAAGCAGCCTTGGAGATGGAGGCTAGTCAGTACAAGAGAATGGCCGAGGAGAAGATGTGCCATGCCGAGACCTCTCTCGCGCTCTTTGAAGATCTGATTTACCAAAAGGAAATGGAGATCGCGTCTCTTGAGTTTCAGGTCCAGGCTTACAGATGCAAGCTACTCAGCCTCGGCTGCTCTGATCCAGCCGTCATCGAGAACAAGTTCCCGGAAAATCTCATCTTCTTCGGCGATACTTCTCGTGTTAACCAAATGAAGAAGATGAAGCGAAATCTATCGGTAATTTTAAACTCTTTAACATAACTGAAAAACTAATTCAATAGCTATATAAAGCTTTCTGTTTTCATTGACTTCGAGATTAAAAATCAAAACTTGGTGAAGAATATAAATATAAGCCAAAGATATATCATATTTTCTGTTGCAGAGCCCATTCCATGGCATGACCACTGAGAGAAGCCTCCTTCTTTCTGATAGTAATGGTGAAAGCTTTGAAGAGAAGAAAGGTCTTGAGAGTTCTTTATCTCCTCGTGAAGACTTGAACGCTTATTGGGAACAGATCAGGAGAATAGATGACCATGTTAGAGAGATTTCAGACTCAAGAGATGCTCCTAAAGAATCTAAGTTCCCTTTGCTTAGGCGTGAGTCTATGTCGCATGCGTTGGTGTCACAGGTCAGCAATACAATCCTCGAGTCAGCCAAGAGTGATGTCAGTTCGATAATGGAGATGATGAAGAACCCTGATAGATTCTCTGTTAAAGATGCTTCTTCAGAGTCTCCGATTCGGTCTCCAAACGTCCAGGACATCTTCGAGGTTCCAAGGACGAAGGAGAGCCTTACAATCATCTCGGAAGAAGAGGAACTCGAACAAAGAAATGTAAGTCATCTTCCATAGTGAACTACTATTTATTTGCTTATGCGATTTGATCAGGTGCTAATTAATATGTAGGAAGAATTGCAGGTCAGAGGCAAGATGTTGAGTAGTAACTACGAAAGAAAAATGAGTAAGCCGCCAAGAGATACAAACATCAAGGCAGATCATCTGAGTTTGCTAAAGGAGATTCGAGAACAGCTCAATGTAATGCAATCAGAGATGAGAAGCTTAAGATCAGAACTGCATCAAACTCAAAATGTGTCCCATCGAGAGGAAGAGGATCGAGCACTTAACTCAATTCATGAGGTAATCACCCTTCTTTCTGACTTGGTATAGATGCCTGAATTATATTCGAAACTGTAAACTTGTGTTTTGTTTCTTGAACAGGCCATGATTCACTTCTGGCTCTAGAAGCTACCATGCGGCATGGTTCTATACAGAGCATTTGTAAGTTACTTAGCCTTTCAAGAGGAAGGGATGTAAAAAAGAAACTGATTGATTGCAGAGTAAATCTCTGATATGTTGTAAATCCATTGGCATTTTGAGAACAAAATCTTAAATCTCTCCCTAATCTAAGACACAAGAAGTAATCCACAAAGGATGGGATCATGTATAAGGTTCATTTAGTTGGAGGAACTAATGCAGAAAATGCAGGAAGGGTTATCGAGATCAAGAGTGGTGCCTTTCAAACACTTGAAGTGGTAGACATGACCACAAGCCAGCACGCACGACTCTTGTAAGCTGCGCAAAGAAGCGTTAGGCCGTTCTGGATCCGATGCTAGATCTCTCTGGCACAAGTCACACGAGTGCCCAACTTCCTCAGCAGCAAACACCTTGTCAAGCTCTGCAGAATCCAAAATTACAATCAAAGAAGAAGAAAGCAATATTAGCTCCAAAAAAAAATCGCAATCAGATGATGATACCATCGCGAATATGCGACGTCGCTTTACTCGGATCTTGATCATTCCTAGTCGTCATCACGAGAAGTTGTTGGATTTGCTGAGAGATATTTTGAAGTTCAGGTGAAGCTGAAGCGGATGATCCTGACGCTTTGAGCTCAGAAGTGGCTTTCTCAATCTTCTGTTGAAGCTTTAAGAGCATCTCCCTACTCTTGATCAGACTTTGTGTATCGTCTCTTTCTTTTGAATCCATGTTCGTACTCACTACACACAAGAAGACGAAACTTCTGTAATCGAAAACAGACAAACAATGTATATATAAAAAAACAAAAAGAATCAAAGTCAATCTTTGTTTGACTTGTATCCACAAGGCGGTTTTTCTTCGTGTTGAAACTTGTATACGAAGATATTAGGTTTACGAAGAAACTACAATTAGGGTTTAACCAGGAATTGAAGCGTCTGCCATTAGAACAAAAAAACAATATCGAAAATCTGGATTGCGACTAAATTCCAAGAGATTGGTTATACTTTATTCCGTAGAAAATCAATCGAGCTAATTTCGATATTCATCAGAAATCAAAATCAAAATCAAACAAAAAAAAAAGAGGGAGGGAGAAATGGAAGAACCTGTGAATTCAAGTGTAGCGTTCAAAGGGAGAGATTTTAGATTTCCATGTTTTATGTTTTGCTTAGCAGTGTTAGCTTTTAGATATATTTAAACAAGTGATAATTATGAACTTTCGTATATAGTGTATGTATCTCAGGATAAATAAGAGTTTAATTAAAAATTAATTGAATTACGAAAACAAAACAAAAAGAGTTAAGAGTATTTATCATCGAAGCTTCTATGATTTTACATTACTTTTATGGAAGAAAAATTAAAAACTTTAATTCGACTACTTTTCTACATTATTGTTTTTTATAATTAGCTCAATTGATTTTCTACGGAAAAAAATTAAGTATAATACATTAACTATAAAAAAAAAGGTGAAAATGAATAGTATTTCCAAATTTAACTTGATTTTGTGTCAAGAGTTGTCTCGAATTGGAACGTCTTCTACTAAAACAAAATAGGAAGCATAGTTTAGTCCAATCAAAATATAAATATCAGCCATTTCTTATTATTATTACACTAGTTATTCTCGTTTTAGTTTTGATTACGTAATTATGTAGTTCCATTCCAAACCCTATCAAGATTCTTCTCATTTCCATGTTATGATTTGATCGGTCTTGTTTATACATCCCAAGAAAGCACTTTGACTAGAGGCTAGAGCTCCAAAAAACAAAAGGGAAAACACACACAAAGCTAGTCAACAATCATAACATGACCCCAAACTATGTACCATTATTTGCCCTTATGAACTTGATTGCATCTTCATCAAGATTTGAAAAACAGCCTGGTTTAAAGAGGACCCGGAAAAGTTCCACTCTCCCTCTGCTCGTTCCACTTCTCAACCTGCATAAAATACGCGACACACATTGTTACATGAATCAAAGTACAAATAGCACTGTAATTCGTGTCCAAAACAAAAGGAACCAACCCATTCTCCAGGACAGAGGGCGTGGTAATACTTGGCAAACCTTTCGCAGTCATTAGACTCCTCGCCCTTTGCATTTGTACATCTGTAGAATGATCTTTTGATGGTTACAAGACATAATAATACTGAGTGATGGAATAAAGATGAGCTTATTGTAGCAAAGAGGTACCTGTGGAACTCGATGTACCGAGTAAATCAGTGCCTGGTTTGGTTTGTTGTAGGGAACCGGAAATCAGCAGGAGCAGTTTTCCAGTTTTATTATCTAATTCAATACAAAAATGCCAGACATGAAGTTCAATATAAATCACATTATTTCTTCACTGAACAAAGAATCAAAGGGAAAACATTTCAAACAACTAAACATAGAACCCTTAAGGGTGAATTCTAGATCACCATAAAACTCTCCCAAACCCGAGATACTCGTTGCCTCTAAAACTCAGAACCTCTTCCTAATTATTCTCATTTACTAACTAGCTCATGTGGCCTTATTGATGAAATCTTATCAGAAACACCCAGGAATCCTTAAAGAATTCACCGTTCAAGTTTCCTAACATTTCAGATAATACTTCAAATCTATTAAAAAAATTCACTAAAGCAAAAAACAAGCTTTGAGAAAGATATTAAAGACAGAAAATTCCATGAACCGCCCTATTTTCTACAATTCCGAAACATTGTTCGCTTTCTCCCCTTATTGTCTAGACAAGTTTCATAAGCATCTACGGTCTATGGAAACGGAAAGAACAGAAGATAATGCTACCAGCTTAATTTTATCGAACCAATTCCTCTTTGATACAGAGAAACCAATGACCATACAAGTTTCTGTAACACACAGATTCAAGCAGATAAGAGATCGAATTTAAAAAAAAAAACACAAAAATATACTATCCATCCATTCACGGTTCCAGATTGCTCTCCTAAACACTGAGTTTACGAAGGACAAATGAACGCAGGAACGAGAAATCACCTCGGCTTCCATGGCTGATTTGATCGATGAACAAAACCGTAGAAGCGGAGAAATTGCAGAGGAAACAAGAAATGAGCGTCTATTGGTGAATCAAATGACATTTTGCGGATTTTTGCCATGGCTGATGTCTCTCTGATTCGGCCGGTGACTGCAAGAACCGAACTAGCCAAATTTTGGACTATATTTTGGGCTTCAATGGGCCCCAAATTTTCATTATATTTATTTTTAAAATTTGTTTACTTGGATTATTAAGTCTGATCAAACCTCACAAACATTTTTAGTACACAAATTTTATTTCCTTTTAAATTAATGTAAAAAATGACTAATTCGGTTATCTAAAAATAGAAACCGAAGGATAATATTATTTCCTCCTATTTTGTAAGGTTAGAAGAAGTTATATATTTTGAGATTTTAATATTTTGTCTGAATCCATCAATTTTGATTTGTAACATTTCGCATTTTTGGTTTATAATTTAATTTCTATGAACATAAGTGATTTACTTTTCGAATGAATTGTGCAATATAAATTATTTTGCACTCGAATTAAATAAAAGAACACACACAAACAGAAACAAAAACGATACTTTTGAAAAGTTGAGAGAGTTTCAGATAAATCAATTGTGTAGAAAAAGACCAGAATGGATTTGAACATAACCAAATCCTCGGGCAGGATCTGCTTATACTTAATCAAAGTGTCCTAATTCCTTTGTTTAATTGAATTGTTAAGTCTGATCAAACCTCACAAAAACATTTTTAGTACACAAATTTTTTTACCAAAAAAATTAATGTAAAAGGACGACTAGTTTGGTTGTCCAAAAATAGTAGCCAAAGGAAAATATTATTTGCTCATATTTTGTAGGTTAGAAGAAGTTATATATTTTGGAAATCGAAGAACCCGTGTATCCAGGTGCAGTGTCAAAGGGAGGGATTTTAGACTTCCATGTTTTATGTTTTGCTTTGGAGTGTTAGCTTTTAGATATATTTAAACAAGCAATAATCATGAACTTTGTATCTAGTGTATGTATCTCACGATAAATAAGAGTTTAATTAGAAATTAATTGAATTACGAAAACAAAACAGAAAAGGGTTAAGAGCATTTATCATCGAAGCTTCCATAATTTACATTACTTTTGTGAAAGAAAAATTAAAAATCTATTCGACTATATTTTGTTTATAGTATATAATACATTAATTAAAAAAAGTGAAAATGAATAGTATTTTCAAAGTTAACTTGATTGGACTAAAATAGGTTTTTTTATTTTGTTTATTTCTTATTAAACTAATGTAAAAGAAGACTAGTTCGGTTGTCCAAAAATAGTAACTAAAGGAAAATATTATTTGCTCCTATTTTGTAGGTTAGAAAGAGCTATATATTTTGGGATTTTAATATTTTGTCTAAATCATCAATCTTGATTTGTAATATTTCGCATTTTTTTGTTTATAATATCCATGAACATAAAGGCTTTACTTGGCAATCTAAATTATGTTGCACTGGGATTAAATATAGGCAGTAATCAACACACATAACACACGCAGAAACAAAAACAAAAACTTACACTTTTGGAAAGTTGTTTTAGATAAATGGATAAAGTGGGAAATGACCAGAATAGGTTTGAACATAACCAAATTCTCGGGCAGGATCTGCTTTGTACTTGATCAAAGTGTCCTAATTTCTCTCCAACTTACATTTGACTCTGTAAAACCCACCACACACTCACTCACTCACCAATACTTATTATGATCTTCTCGTTATATATATACATTTCCACATCTGGATTAACTTAGAGAGCTCTCTTCATGGCTGATAATGCCCAAGTAGTACCCGTTGAGGAACCAGCCGCAACCGCAACAACAACAACAACGGCTGAGCCCGAAGCCAAAAGCTCCGACAAAATGGAGTCACAGAGCGATAAACCACCCGTTGGAACGTTGGTGGCAATCGTGAACCTTTTCGCCGCCGGTGTACTTCCGATCTTCACCTTCGTTCTCTCCCTTACGCTCCTCGGCTACGCTGTGTGGCTCCTTTACATGCGTAGCTTCGACTGCGAAGATATTCTCGGTCTTCCACGTGTCCAGACGCTAGCCAGCATCGGTCTCCTCGCCGTGTTCGTCGCCAGCAACGTTGCTCTGTTTCTACGACGGAAGTTTCCGATGCCGGCACTCGTGGTGATGGTTGTGATTCTTTTGTTGACGCTGTTCATCGGTTTGGCGTATGCCGGAGTCAACGAGATGCAGAACCGGCGGTTTCCGGCGACGGCGACGTGGTTTAAGCTCAAAGTGATGGATGATGTGAATTGGAACAATATCAAATCGTGTATCTACGATAAAGGAGCCTGCAACGAGCTCGTTTACGAATCTCCAAGAAATAAACCTTATAATAGAAGAAAAATGCCACCAATCAAGGTTTGAAATCATCAAAATGTTTTTACTTTGATCTAACATGATACCCATCAAGAAATGATATTACTATATGCAAGTTTTGAATATGTATATATCACGTTTTGGTAATAACACTTTTACAAGATTTTTCAAATAGTTTGAGACGATTCTGATCCATCTTTAAACGAGTAGATTAGATTACACAATAAGTTGTTTTGATTTATGTTGTTGTTGCAGAGTGGATGTTGCATGCCACCGGAGACATGTAACATGGATTCGTTAAACGCGACGTTTTGGTACAGAAGAAAATACGAGAGGCCAACGTTGGAGACGGAGGTGTTATACGGTGGGATGGTCGGAAGAGTAAGTGACTGTGAGCTGTGGAGGAACGATTGGAGTGTGTTGTGCTATGATTGTTGGTCTTGCAAGTTCGGATTCGTAAAATTTGTAAGGAAGAAATGGTGGCAGCTCGGTGTCTTCTTGATAGTCATCTCCATTCTTCTTCTCATCTCTCACCTCTTGATCTTCTTGGCCACCTTTTGGGAACGGTTCAAGGGTTAATCATATATCATGAGTGTCTTTCTAATTAGGAGAGTTTCTTTTCTTTTTTTGGGGTGGTAAAATAATCTCTTTCTTCTGCATTCATTTTAGTACTCAAGCAGATGTTTCTTTGAGCAGATCTCTAGCTCCTCTCCCTTTGATTGTGTAGAACATGTTTTTGTAATAAAGTATAAACAATTGGTTTGATTCAAAAGCTACCAGCTGCTTTGACCGCTCCGATTATGTTCCTCTGTGTTGCCTTTAACAAATTTATAGTACATTGTTTTAATCTTGAAGCAGAGGACTTCAAGGTTAGATTAGTATTGGTCTTAAAACATTAAAAAGATGGTCTGATGTTTTGATATTATCTCCTCTTTTACCCTCAAGTCTAAACTGAAAATGTTAATTGGCCATGACTAATCAAATCAAATGTAACAAAGGACAGCAACATTGAAGACACTTTGTTCTTTGATTGTCCTAACTACCACCAGTGGAGCGATCAAGCTGAATAATTAAAGGTTTGTCGAATTTTCTTGGAAATTGGGTGCACATATATATAATAATATCAGGGAAATCTAAAAAGAGGAATACATCTTTAATAAAAGGTAAAACAATAACATAAGGTGAAATTCTACTTTCTTTTTGTTTCCCCTGCTTGCATCCTTCACCTGTACAAAGAATGACCAATCTTGGGAGAGTCAAAGATGACAATCAAAAGGGTCTCTCTTTACTCAATTTTGGGATGAAGAAACAGGCCTAAGGCCGTATTTCATGGCTGCTTCCCACACCAGATCAATACGGTCAACGTCAATGGCTCCAACCTCATGATGCTCCCAACCTTCCAGCATATGAACCACTCCTCCTGCGTGGCACGCATGCACTACCCCTCTGTCCATCGTGTACTGCCACAACACACATACACACACACACACACACAAGAGGTTTAATTCGGTGGACCTATGGAGTAAAAAACACAACCAAGACTTAATTATTAAACAAGCATTCTTTTATACCTCGCAGTGTCCGAGTCCTTGAACATCTTTAGGGAGCCTCATCGCTGCAAGATCCCCGTAAGTGCAGTTCCTTCTAAAGTTGAGGATCGGTGGCACCACAAACTGGTGGAAATGCGTCCCTGCAGGAGCCCAGCTCTGCTCCCTTGGCGTTAACCATTTCCCAACGATCCAAGTCTGCAAACAAATATATTCAGACTCCCCAAAGTATATACATTTACATTCACCCTAAAAATGAAAACCAGTTAGACATCAATAAGGTACCTTGCAGTGTTGGGCAGCGTTGTACTTGGTCACTTGCACAAGATAGTTCTGGAACTCAGCAGGAGCCTCTCTCTGAATCTTTTGGAACCTTTCCACTGACAAGGTCAACATCTGTCAAATGTTCAAACAATCTTTTAGCCCTTTGGGAGAAACAGTATCATTGAGACAATAGTTTGTTGTGGATTAGTAAGAGCCTTACGAGAACTCTCACTCCCCGGCGACAGAGGTGAAGAGCAATTGCTCTTCCCAGCTTAGAAGTGGCTCCTGTCAAGAAAACCTCTTTCACATCTTTTGGTATTTCATTGAGAATCACTGCTGCGGTTAAAGTGTTCCCATGGACCACACGAACTCTAAGGTCAGGATGCTTGTTGACAAACAACGTTCCACCACCATTTAGAGCTTCATTCTGTTCAAAACCCGAAACAAAGACAACCCTTTTAATGACTTGACTCTAACTCAAAAGTTTCAGACTTTGTTTTATGAGATTTCGGTTTTGATACAAACCTTGTTCAAAGCAGCCAAGCTTATAACTTTAACTCCAATCTTATCAGCCACAAGAATCGCATTCTCGATCTGCTTATTAATGCCTTTTGTAGCAAACGGTAAGAAGTACTGCAAAAAAAAAAAAAAAAAACTATAAAACGCTCTGTTCTCTCTGTTTTCAAGGGGAGGAGAAAATAGGACAAAATTGAAAGAGTTATTACTTGGAATCCGAATCTGGGAACGGCCCAAGTCTGGCAAAGATTGTCCCTGAGTGTATAGAAGCTGTAAAGAAAGGCCTTTGACCAAACCCACATGCCCAACATCACCATGAACGTGAATGGCCACATCGGCAGCAAGAAGAGCCTCGTCGTGTATGGCATCGACGCAAACGATCTGAACACGAATGGCGCGTGCATCGCCGACATCACATCTACCCCATGAGCCAAGAACACGAACTCCGGCACTCTCTTCCGTTCCCCTGCACACGGAGATCAATTCAGTTCCGGTAAGGAAAAAAAATTGTAATTTTGAGGTCGAAGAAGGGGTAAACTGTCATTTCGATTAGTTCTGGCTCCAGAGGATTTGACTCTGACCAGAAATAGTAAATTCTCACCCACTTCGGCTGCACAAGTACACACTCTACGTGACTACGTCTACTAATATCTCCTCATAAAGTTGCATAAGTTTGGTATGATTTTTATTTTTTTGATAACTTGGGACATAAGTCCATTTAACAAGGAGACTATCTAAAAATACTTGGTCTGTGACATTATGTGTTCAAGTTTTGGGTTAAATCTGCGAAACTAAACATAAGTCCCTAATTTTGCTAACTACCTGCAGCCAAACGAATCTTCTTCTGGAGTTCCCACGAGTTTGGGTTAAGTGTGTTGCCCAATACATCAAAGAGAGGCATAAACAGACAAAAGTTGGTCCCCATTTCCTGATGGTGTAAGCTATGGTACCTACATAATCCCAACAAGAAAATCAGCTTTTTAAACATTTAAAAAATCATCACAAGTAAAAACATTAGCTTGTAGTTGTTGTATGCAACTATAAAACGTAAAACCCCAATTACTTTCTATAGACATCTTTTGACAGCAAATACAAACTTGGCAAATTTGCTTCTTAGAGTAAAATATGACAAATTCACGTTCGTGTGTTCCTAATTCAATGAATAAAGTTAGAGAGCCTTTATTGAGAAACCTAAGGAGTGGAGCCAATAAATCTAACCAAATCCAAATATGTCAACTAATTTAAAATAAAAATGACATGTGAAAACTTTGCAGTAAGGGTAAGACAAACGTCAAAAAACATACGTTGGAGTGTAGATGAGATAACGTAGGATCGGAAGAATCTCAAATAGCTTGTGAGAGAATATCTCAACGTTGCAATGTCCTAAACATCTCAAGAAATCAAACATGATAGCGTATCCGTAGATCAAGCTTATTGATCCAACCCCTAACAAGCAAGGTCCAATCAAAGGAACTCCAGCTACGACACAGAGGAGAAGATTCTCCAATAACGTTGCATTTCCAGCTGCAGCAAAGATAACCAAAGATGTTATTACATCAAACAAAGGACACAGAGTATTTGATGGTAAAGATTACTAATTAGTGAAATTTACAAGTCATGGGATGTGGAACAGGAGATGAGTGGTGGAAGGAGTGGTAATGCGTGAAGAAGTAGTTGTGACGATGGAAGGATCTATGAAGAAAGTAGTATAAAGGCTCTGAGAAGGTCACATGTAGCACAATTAATGCGATGAATCCTTTCGTGTTCCACAGAGGAATACTGTTCATCGTCATGATGGGAGTAGACATGTAACAGATCATGCTCGCTATTATTGCTTGCAGGAGTATGTAATTGTCCCTAAAACAAGACCCATAGATCAAAACAATACCTTTGGTGGTTTTTCAGGGTATTTTAAGAACAGAGAACAAAATGAAAAAGTGAAATCAAGACTGGAATTTAAAGGAATTACCAGTGCCATTCGTGATCAATCTGCTTAAAGTCGACACCTTTGGGGTTAATCCTTAGAGTCCGACTCGACCAGAGCATGTTGTGGAAAACGCTCCATAAGACATGAACGACTCCTTTGATTCCACAGATGATGAGTATATGAAGACACCAAAGAGCTCTCGAGTAATCTTTCTCATAAGACCACGAGTACACTACTTGTGCAGCTAACGGAGCGTACAGAAGATACTTCACAGATAGAGAAAGACACAAAAACCCATATGAGATTCCAGAAGAGAAACCAAACCTTTTTAAAACACTCAGATCAAAATTGATTTTTCTTAAGAAATAAAAAACAAACCTTTAGATTGCCAAAGTTTCCCCAAGGCCAAGCTGATAGAGAAGCAACCATTCTTGTTCTTCTCTCAAATCCTTATTCGTTACCTCCTCGAAATTCGGGATCTCTATCTCCCTCTTATTGGTCTATCTATAACCTTAAAGATTTTTCCAGTTTTCAAGCAATCCTGAGAAAAATATGTTGCTCTTTTTGTGGAAGTCAAAAAGAAAAGAGAGAGATTATACGTTGGGGTTATCTTTTTGATCTCACGAAAAGGGATGGAGATTTTTAGCTGAGATTTTAGTTCGTTGAAAGAATTAAAACCCCAGAAGTTACAAAAGCCTTGTTGTGTTAATGCGACATTATTGAGAGCCTCGAGCTCTGGTTACTTATATAAGCATTGAAACTAGGAGGGCCAAGTAGACCCAAAATGTGTTCTTTACCTCTATAACGAAATTCAAATAATTTTAAAACAATACCGTGAAGAAAATGTTATTTGTTTCTTAAGTCTCAACAAAATAAACGAAATTATTTTTCGCCTGAAAATAAAAACTTTTACAGCAATTACGAACTGACTGTATGCAGTGACAATTAATTTTGACTCTGTTCAATCGTACTGTACATACATATGCGAATGCAAATTTGATATCTACATTTACTTTGGTGAACAGTAAATGTTTTCCTTAGAGCTTTTAAATCTGATATATTAGAAATAACTTAAAATAATTTTTTGACCCAAAAAAATTTAAAATAATTTATCTCTATTTCTATAAAAAGGCATAAAAAAATTTATAATACATATATGTGTATGTATAATTCACTGATATGAATAATTCTTAATATCACAATATCAAAATCCGGTTTTAACATTGCCAAAATTTTACTATATGATATGGATTTAAAAACCTTCATAATAATCTAATTTTATCGGATGTCCCCAAAGGTACTCATAATAATCTAATTTTTGGAATGGATTTTATATACGGTGTTGGATTAGAATATTATGAGAGTTTTGGTATATAATGCAATGAAGATATTCCCTTCATTTTGGTATTTCGAAGATATCTTCATTGTTTTCTCAGTCTAAATGGCCAAAACAAAACAAAACAAAAAATATTACTTGTAAACCAAACTGATACTGTTAGGTCTGTGTATTCCAATCATCAAAATTTCAAATATTAGTATACTCTTAAGTTTTGACTGATTAGTTTATGTATTTTTCTTTTAATAACTTATATTATTTGACATATAACCAATTGATGCAATAGCATAGCTCTCACAGCTGGACTCTCTCTCTCTCTCACGCATTTAATGTTCGGTTTACAGTTGAAGCAACGATGGTTACACTTCTCGGTGGCTTCTTTATATGCTCTTCTCATTTCTATTCAATTTGTCCTTTTCTTCTCATTTTTCTATTGCGTTTCTAATTTTCTATATATTTTTATGTTGTTTTTTAAACCACAAATTAAAACGCATTCATGTCACATTGGGTACAATAGTGGTACTATACAAATGTTATAGGTCTTAAGCTTCATATCAATGCCATGAGTAAAACAATCAAATTTTTATTATCTTTTAGCAAAAAGAAAACCAATAAATGGCTAAAGGTTGGTCAAAAACTATTATCATAATTATGCTATAATGTGATCAGCCTCGGTATTTAATGTCTTGACAGCAAAATAAGTAGTTGTTAATTTCCATGTTTCATTGTTCTCGCATCTAGTTTTAAGTTAATTTTTTCTTGACTATTCATTAATGCGTAGAAAAAAAATATACGTATACACCCGGCAAAAGTGTGTTTATACTTGGGAACTCCTGTACTAATAAAACTTTTGGTCTAACCAAAACACACACTAGCTAGTAACCGAACATTCATGCCTAGTGTTTAGCAATATTTCTAACATCGACTCGCTATTTGAATTGGTCAAGCTTGTGATTTTTCATGGATCAACAGTTAACCACTTGAATCAGATATTTTTGTTTTGTGTTTAAAATAATAGAACTATCATAAATAATAAAATCTACAGTTAATTAACTTTGTAGCAGAATTAGATAAATTAATTAGGCGGATAACCAAAAAAAAAAAGATAAACAGCAAATAAACTGTTTAATCATATATGTACATTACAAAGGTAACTTCCAAATCTTAAAACTTTGATTTTAGTTAAATTGCAACCACATAACTTTATGTCATTTGCGGCAATCATCAAATGCTCTTATTTAAACTTAATGCATATGTTTATCTCTTAGTTTCTCACTTCTACTTAAAGCAACAATGGCAATGGTTCTGACTCATCACCTTATCAGCAAAGATCCGATAAAATTTCCATGAAGCTCCAGCATAAATTCGATAGAGTTATGGGAATTCGAAGCAAATTTCCAAGAAAATGTTGCGTCATAAATTTCCGACAAAATGCTAAAAAAAATTCTTATAAATTTCCAAGAGAAAATATTTTTATTTGTATATAGAAAAATTCAAAAAATGATATTTTTGTCAAAATTATCTGAGAAATTCGTCAAAATTTTTGGATCATCATAAATTTTCATCAGAAATACACCTGTTTTCTTATAATGGAAATCTAGCAAAAAAACAGACACAAAATCCGGTAAACTCTATATATGAATTCGAAGATGAAGAAAATTCTTTGCATTCGACATTTAAATTTGTTTTCTAGAAATTATTCTGATTTTGGTTGTTTGATCACTAAAAATGTGAAATTAATATTTTTCCATACACATAATTGTATACTTATGCTATAGGATGCAAATACTCTAAATTTTATGAATTAACATGGTTTAACCAGTTATATTGATCTTGTTTTAATAACATATAACTCCCACTAATAAATAAATTCATATATAATTAACTGCGTTTAACAGAATTTTTAACAAAATTAATGTAACAATTAATTAATGAACTAATTACATTGCTGTTATAATATAACGGTAGTTAATGAAAATTAAGGCAGTACTATAAGAAAAATAACACTACACCTGCTCAATTTTTTTTTTTAAAAAAGGTTTCAATAAACCCAAAAAAATATCATACACAATGATGGTACTAGTATTTATGTTGCCAAAAATCTCAAAAAAAAGGATAAAAAACATTGCTATTCATCGATGACTTATTTTGTCTATTGTCAAACAATTATTTTTAGAAATAAAATTTCTAAAAAATAAAATGTAGTGGTCAATAGTGTCTTTATGATACATACAAATTTTTATTATATATATATTTGAATCTGTTGAAATAAGCCCCTTAAACATATATATATATATATATATACACACAACGAGCGCATGTGTTCGACTTCTTATAGGATAGACAGGAAGGTGGAATATCGACTTCGTATAGGATAGACAGGAAGATGGAATATCGAAAGACCATATTTCTAAGACCATATTTCTAAGGGCTTGCTTAGATTTCACTTTTTTGTAAGTTTGGAATTTTCTTTAAGACCCCTAATTACAAAAATGTGAAGAAAACCCCAGAATAGGAAAGCACAGTTGGTAAAATTGGAGATATGTGTGAAGAGTTATAAACGATACGGAGCATTTCGTGTATTTTCGTTTTCCGGTCATCAATAATATCTTGAACGGTCTTAATCTCTTGTTACTATGTCACAAGATTCACTACCAAACTCCAATTAATTGACTGCCACAAAGCTCCACTTGATATATATATATATATATATATATATATATATATATATATATATATCTATGTTTTTATGTCATACTTGAATAATATGTATGGTGATATATGTGATTAATGTTCTATTCCAAGTATAAGGTTTGATTTATCAAAGTTTGGAAAAAAAATGCGCATATTACTGGTGCAAGTTTTTCAACGGTTTCCCTATGTTGCATATACATGCCGTCCATTATCATATGTATTGGGGACTTGGAGGTTAGAGCATGTGTTGACTGTTGAGCCATCCGTCGCTATACATCGTACGTGGTCTGAGTTTGTGTGGATACATCGTACGTGGTCTGAGTTTGTGTGGTTTGAGGATTTGAGCCATATGCTGCTCTCCACCATCCCCATTTATGTTGTTGGGGTGGGTTTGATCATAATAAGATGTTAACAAAAAGAAGAAGAATATGACATGAAATTTAAAGCAAATCTAGATTTTATTTTATCAAATTTTGTAATGTAATTTATGATTTTTAATATATATAATTTTTTAATAAGTGATAAAGATTTATTTTTTGTTTATATATATAATTTATATTTATATTTTTCTGTTAGTATTATTATGACCGCGAACATAAAAACATAATTATCACCCGATCATTTAATAACTAAAAAAAAGACAATTATTATAAAAAAATAATTATAATGTATTCATTTTATTAATGCGAAAAAGACTGTAGTTATAAAAACATAATTATAACTCATTTGTTCATATTACTATAAAATAACATATTTATTAATTTTAAAATATTTTTAGTTTAATATCTTGCATGTTTTGATAACTTAATCTACATAAGACCACAATTATAAAAAAATCATAACCTGTCCTATCAAATTACCATATAATATAAATATCTATTAATTTTCAATATATAAAAATTTTTGACTGATTGATTATGATTAAAAAAACACAATAACATATTCGTTAATCATATTAAATATAATTTATATTAAGAAAATCTTCAATTATCTAAATTGATATATAATTTTCGGAATTATTTTTATATAAAAGAAAATATATATTTTTTTAAATAATATCGCAATAAAATAGAATAATTTTAAAACAGTTTTCAAATAATTGTTTTTTAAAAAAACTTTTAGAATATTTAGATGCAAGTACTAAAAATCCTTCTGTTTTAATATAATAGATTAATATCAGATGTGATCAACACATTTGTAATCAATACTCAAGGTTAGTTAGCAAGCTCTGTTTTTTTTTTATGCGATTTTTATTTAGTCGGTTAGGATTTTACACGTCAAATCATATTGTATTACGTTTTTGTAGCCTCTAGTTTTAGTTTATTTTAAAAATAGTCGTCAAATCATTTTGAGAAAGAAAACGTGAGATACTTCACCCACGTATCCATGAAACATTTGTTTCCCTCGATTATAGTATAAATCACATTTATTAGTCGGCTCGAGTCGTTTGCAAACTCACCCACATCCATATTCTTATGTACATTAGCCTATAAGAGTTAAGACCCTTTTAATATTCCCACATCCATAAAGTCGTTTGGCAACTATTTTCTGTAACATTAACTGCTAATTATTTTTAACGTTAATCATATCTGTTTAAATTTGATAATCGTCGTCATTTAACATCAACGATTAACGTTAGCTATTTTCCCTTCTATGTATTAGTAATTCATCTCAAAATTTATAATATTGAAAACATATATGAGGATTGGAGTATATATGGGCGTAATTTCTTCATATAACGAAATAAAGTAATTTCTCAACTATTTTAAGAATATTAGTTGATGATCTTTTTTTTTTAATCAAAGTCGTTTTTGATGAATTTGGAAGAAACAAAATTTGTGGTTGTAATATCAACGATTAATGTCAATTATATGCTTATCCTGTACCTTCTGATTACTATAATATTGATCATATCAATTTTGATAATACTGAAACCACAGTTAAGATGAGTGTACACACTGAGTGTACATATATGGGCTTGGTTTCCTCGTAAATATGTTTACATTGACATGCACTTAACCAAAACAGAAATAGTACTTTAACTTTCATTAAAACAAACATCATTATTTGAATGCAAATCATTCTTATCCTTTATATTACTAATAATTGATTATCGATTTTGATAATATTGCAACCACACGTAACGGGGGTATATATATGTGGGATTGGTTTCCTCATAAATATTAAATTGACCCTTAACAAAACCGGAAACCAATTATCTTTCATTCGTAAATTGATTATCACAGATGGTGGATTCATATTAAGAAAGATAAGTAATATCATACTCGTCTGGTTCACAAAAAAACGTCATATGATAAACATTTTGGCCCCACACACATTGAATTTATAACCTGTTTCTGATTGGCACGAAAAGTATGGCGCCCCTGCTCCTTATCCTTCGTTTATTTATCTTATTTACTTCTTATAACCAATTTTTTTCGAATATATTTAATAAATAGACGATATGCCATAGTCTAAATACGCACTAGATTTTTTTTTTTTTTTTTAATACGCACTAGATTTACTTAATTCAATTCTTGATTTCCTTTAAATCGCAACACATACAAACAAAGATTTGTTTAAATTATTGATTAATCGGTTTGGTAAACGTTTCAAATATGCTGGAATGCGCCGGGTGGATTTGTTACCAAGTTAGGTAAATAAATGAATTCTTTTCTTGTCAAGTACTAATAGTAATATTTTTATCAAACAAAAAAATATCGTAATATGTATGTCGGTTATTTTTTTAAAGAAAATGTTTAACCCACCATTTAATGTTTGCATGGTACATACGAGGGAAGCAAACAAAACTCCATAAAGCAAAAACATAATTAAGCATAGATGACCAATGACTCAATGTGTCTACGTAAGCTTACGTGGGAGCCTTGAAATCTGAAATCTACTATAGTAAATAAAGAGGACCCGTTAAATGAGAAATTAGGAGAAGATGAATGGAGTCTATGAGTTTCGAGCTCCCCAACTAGTAACTACTATCTGCCGTTTTGATTTGATGTAGATTGATTTACGATCTTACAAAGTCACATCGGACCTTGTTGTTGAAACATGTGATCGCCTAGGTATTCCACGTGGATTTTCTATCTCTAATAAATATCCATGTTAGTAGATGTATATGTGTATTCTTCCAGAAATGTTGTACACCAAATATAACGATACCAACATGGCGCGCAACATCCCTAACAAATCATATATTATTTTAACGATGTCTCTATTTTATGCAATGATTTACTATTTTAATGATGATAAACTGTATTTGTATTGAATAAAATATAGGGGATCATGCCGTAAATCTAGAGTTCAATAACATATGCGTGTGAATTTTCATTATACATACAAATAGAGACGATAGGAGAGATGATGATGAAGGGTTGGTTGCAAGTGGGGCGCGCATAATAGATGAATGGGCCTTTCCAAATCGTGTTTGGATTTGGACCCATCAGTAACAATCCAACGTGCATTCCTCCTCTTTTGTCCATTTGCTTACTAGCTTTTGCTTCTCGGCTTGCTCCTGCAATTAATACATCCCTTTATGTATTTATATTATTCAATTTCATGTGGATACCTGAACAAAAATATTATAACTTACTTTCTAACTTGGGACATTCAGTTTTTCATTTTGTCCAGTTTGTTAGAGTTTTCAGATTTCTCAACTTTGGAAACAGAGATCTAAATTACAAGTCTAAAATCACATTTTATTGGTTCTGTTTAGTTCCATTTGGTGTGATATTTTCTGTAATATGCTCGTTTTTAAATGTTTAAATAAGTCTAAATGAAGTTAATATTATATATATTTAAATATATTTTTGTGTAGATTTGGTAGAACTATTAGTTTTAGTAATTTTCGACATCTGATTCAGATCTTTTTTTATTAGTACATTTCAGTTCAGTTTGGTTGTAATTTACACTCACTATTTATAGTCTAAAACTCTTTATATACACTATCAAAAGCCTAAAACGCTTATTGTAAATTCGAATGATCAGGTTGGTTTTGTCAATAAAGAAATGGAGTATATTTTAAATTCTTTTTGTCATGGGCTTGACACATAATTTATGATAAATCAAGAAAATCTTTTGAATTGTATAAACCTAAACAAACTTTTTCTGTTGTTGTTGTTGTTCCAATTTGATCCATCAAAACAAACTAAATAAAAAAGCTCAGAACGATAAACCAAAATATTAAATAATGGGCTTAGCTAGGCCCATAAAGGTTAAAACGTTTACGGAACCTTCTTTTTCGTTCCAGTCTCTCTGTTTATCCAGAGAGTGTTTCTTCCTGTACAGCTTAATTCGGCAGGACACGTGGCATTTCGTTCAGCGTCTATCTGTCAAAGCACCGTGAGATCATGGCGACGCGTGTGACCAGACGGCGCTTAAACCCTTCTTCTTCTTCTTCTCTCCGTCGTCCTCCGTAGTCTCTTTTAGTCCATCGTTTGGCTGAATCACAAGATGAACAGAAGAATTAACATGGAAGGAGCGAAGAGAAAAATTTCCTTGTTCGCGCGAAAGATAGTCAAGAGGAAGAACAGAAGAATCGTCACGAGTGTCGTGACCTACCTCAAATCCGATGCATACTTTTTCTCTCCTCTGTTTTCCGATTTTCCACCGCTCCCGCCGCAGATACAGATGCCTCCGCCGTCTAATTCCGATTCATCGAAGGCGGACGAAGTCTCCATGGCAGGTAATGTAAGATGCGTCTGGAGTGTGTATCCAATGCGTATATGATTGAATTTCTTGAATTCAACTCTCATATGTTGTTGGGTTTCCCGAAATTGGCTTATCGATGGTGTGAATTTGGGCCAATTTTAGGGTTTGAGGCACTGGGGATCGAGAGGGTGAAGAAAAATAAGAGAAAAATGTCGGAGAAAGTGAAGGAATATCTAAAATCTGATTATCATATGTACGGACCCATGATCTCGCTTCCAAAGCTGGGTTCTTCGCTTAAAGGTGAGAGCTTTTTTTTAACTGTAGCGTTAGGTAATTTTAACTAGTTCGAATCAGGCTAGCTTCTGGTAACGATTCTGCATTGGCTTTAAGATAGTTTTCGTGGCAGGGGAAGTGCAAATCAAAAATTTGGTAACCATGGAAGTATCAACGAGCACTACAACCATGAGGGAAGATAACAACAGCTATAGGAATCTCCGGTCAGACATTGCAGAACAGACACTGCGTAAAGGAAGAATCAGCTCTCCAAAACGAGCAATGGTCATCTTAGAAGGACAACGAAGCCGTGAAACAGATCTTTCACCAGCCTTCTCGTCTCTACCAGGTTTATGTTGATTGCTTTCTCCAATCATGTTATGGAAATGGAACTTGTTAATGGGTTCTTAAACATAAGACTACTAAGTAACATTTAAGTCCAATCCTCAACTAGTGAACATGTCTAGTAGAAATTATGATATTGGTCTGAAACCGAGCCTCCTTCCCTTTTATAAGCTTTAGGTAGGGATAAGGGCTGTGTATATCTCTCCAGAGTTTGTTTAACTTCAAACTAGATGAGGTTGCTTGTAATTCCTTGACTTGTTTTCTTGTTACTAAAATGGTTTTTTTGTTTGTTAATGACAGAGGAGAAGATGGTGAAGCCAGATCAAAGGAGAGTTCTAATTGAGTGAAGATAGTTTAGTCACATAATAGACAGTGTAATCATTGTAAAATACAAATTAATTAGATACAATAATTAGAGGAGTTCCAAGAGAATAGGTTTTGTGTGATAGGAAAGCGTTTCTTGTTGATAAGCTTTTGTAGGAAGTGATGTATGAACGAGGATGACAAAGATGTGCGTCTGTCTGAACATATTGCCATGTTACTTGTCTGCTCTTTGATATGTAGTTGTAGAAAACTGTTACAATTCAGCAATAGCTCGTAATATCCTTTTTTAAATTACCATTGGAAGTTTGATTCATCAAGAAATCACTTAAGATTTGTAAGTGATATACTATGTAACTATGATCTATCATTCAGATTCTAAGTGAACTTAGACAGTTAGACTATAGATACAAAGATAAAGATTGGTTTATTTCTATTTTAATTTAAAAGGAGTTGAAACTAAAATAGTAGGATCCAAATTTGATTTGTGAAAATGGCGAAAAGGACTTGAGCTGGAGAGGAGAAGAGGGAAGGGGTTAGAAGTAGTAATCGTGTGCACGTGAGGTGCATTCAATTTCTGTGTCCCACATCGCCAGATCCTTCACATCTGTCAACTCCACACACGCATGCAAGAAAGCTTTATTTTTTTTGGTGAATTGCAAGAAAGCTTTATTGTATGTGTATATGTATGCCTTTGCGTGTATATACATTATTCATTATTGCAATCGAAATCAAAGTACCATCATATCTGTCAATGTTACAAAGTCCCTAGTCTAGTTTGGAAATAATGCAAAGCTTGTAGGCAGGGTATTCGGAATTTGAAAAGATAGGATGATTATTATTGCCTCTGTTATGTTTTAGAAGGTTTTTTTGTTTAGAATTATTTGATGTTTTCAATTTTCAATGCAAAATTTAATGAATTTTTATAGTTGTTGACCTTTTATATTTTGCAGATTGTCTTCTTATTGGCTGAATGATATTTAAATGAATTATAAATAAATTTTTTAGTATAGGAAAAATAAAAATTAAATGAATCCTTAAACTGTGTGCAAAAATCTTAAATATTAAATAATTTTGAACGGAGTAGTTAGTTATGTGATTTTATGGACAAAATTTAATACATAAATGGGATATGTCTATTATTATGAGATACGAATGGAAATATTACAATCGTATTGGACCATGCACATGAGTCCCCGAGAAAAACGGAGATTATTGTATTATTGGGGGACTAGAGAGATATAGTCATATAGACGTGGACTGATAGCACACGTGTATGTACATTCAAAAATCGTAATCTCATATGTTATTATGTTTTGTAATTATTATTATGGTTATGAGAAAGAGAGCGAGAAACAAACAATGCAGAGAAAAAGACGTAACGTGTCTTTTTATATGTATAAGAGACATGCATGCATGGGCTTCACTCACCATATATTTTAATTTTCTTTACAAATACGGCCGATTGTGTATATTCTCCTTATTCATATGTTATTCTGTTCATACAGTGGCGAATTACGAAATATTTTACCTGGTGGAATAGAGGCAAAGGGTGAGAGGATGTGAGTCGTGACTAATCCCAATGTAGATCCACCCCTATATATATCTTTCGACTATTGTTGATATAATAATTCACCAGGCCAATATAATTAGCGCATATGTTTGAAATTCAGCTTTTTAACGATGACAATAATATTTTTCTTTTTAAAAAAAAAATAATTTCTTTTTTTGACAAAAGGTTTTCGTTTAAAATGCATAAGTAAAGTATTACAATGACATGGTTTTGAGACCATGCATAAAGCAAAGTAAGATCTAGGGAAGCATTTCTAGAGACTCCTAATTAGGAGGAGAAAAAACTCTTTAGAGATTTCTAATTAGGAGCCTGTTCATTCGACCACCACAATCACGTCCTCGATCTATTAATTACCTTGTCTACCTACCATAGTCTATTGCATTTTTTTTTTTTTTTGTGTAGGTTTTATTGGCCTTCCTCCACAAGTTTAATTTTTAAAATCTGTCAAAATCTGGATAAACTTCCGAGTCTAGAAGAGCTATTGCTTCCAAAGACGTACATTTGCTTTCACATCTTCATTAGCTAATGAAGCTGAATTATGGGAAGATGACAAAGTTACCAAAGCAGGTGGAAGACCGGCGATGGTTGGAGAGCTGCTCGAACACATTATTGGTTGATGCATGCAGTCTCAATTTTGGAAGCCATTGTCAAGGCTATTGTTGGTGGTGTAGTCGTGGCGTTTACTAACGCGGATATATATTAGTTTTTATTTTTAAACAAATTTAGCTTCGGATATTTGGATTTCATCGACACCTCCGACTAATTCTAGAGTGGACACTATGCAAACCCCTTAGTAATTTTTCTTCTTTTTTTTTTTGCTAATCCAACACAGATAAAAATACTCATACCGAAATGACCAAATCGCTTTTTGTTTTGTTTTTTTTTTTTTTTTTTTTTGGCGTTGCATGCAATAAAAATAGATAGTATGGCTATAACGAGTTTATGCCCTTGACACTAGATTCAAAACCTTTGTGTTACCGCAATAGGTTTAAGTTTAACAATAGCATGAATTACTATAGAGAGGCCCAACATCCTTAAGATGATAAGATCGATACTGGAATTAAGTGTAGCTCTTCGTACTTCTTAATTATTGTGATTAAGCCATTTTTCAAATTGTTTATTATATGTTAAGAATGATTGATGTATAATTGGAGATTAGTCCAGCCACTTGTTAGAAACCTATTCACAACCTGAAAGTATATGGTCGGTTTCCGTATAATTTCATATATAGTCATAAATATCACTAGAGACTTCGTACATTAAGGATTAAAAGAAGTCAAGTTTTGATTGGTTATGGGAATAAATCCATTTAGTTGAATTATTCTCCATCGTTATCTATGACTAGAGTTCTACAGTCTCTTCTATACGTACGATACTATTTGAGGAGACATCTACCCATACGACGTAGTTTGTTGTTGAAATAGTAATCACCAATAATGGGAGAAATTTTTGTAAGTATTAGAATTATTTGTTGGTTGGCCTGTGGAGGCAACGCTTAGAACGTGGACCGACTCATAGTCTTCCGAATTGATATCCACTTATGGATGGGTTTCGGTCAATACGGTTGCGTTCGTTGTCGTATACGCATGACCAATTAATTATCCATTAATTATTCCGTGTATTATTTGATCAACCGAGCAACAACAATTGATACAATCAGCATTCACATGTTTTCAAGACAAAACATCATGTAGCTACCATCACCATTGTCTTTATAAAAACTAGATGCTATAGTTTAAAATTTTAAATTTGATTCTTTTAGCATATTTGATTTTGTTTTTGAGAAAATAATTTTAAGAATTGAGATATGATCAGCCAATGCCTCTAGCTAACCAATGTTTTATTTACATAAATATAATATTTTGCTTCCTCCGTTTCAATATAAATGCATGCAAATTATAAAACTAAATAATTATACTATTCTACTCCTACAAGTCATCTGACAAAAATAATTCTAAACGGAAACGTATATTGGAACGGGTGGTAATACATCTAATCCTGTGTATATATATAATGAAGAGTTTGTTTTCATCAATTAGTTTAGTTATGTTATCCGTTCTACTAATAAATCCATAAATAATGTCTCTCACACGTGTGCATACGTAGACTGGTCGTATATCAAGCGTGAGAGAGTTATTCATGTATTCATCTAACTTGTCTATAAAAGCATATTGTCTCTTGTTCTTTATAATACACATCTCTAGCTATCACACACACATTCTTTCTCTCTCTCTCTCTCTCTCTCTCTGTCCCTCTAGATTCTGTTACGATAACGCACACGTATACGAAGAAGATCGTTCGTGTACAAAAAATGAGGTGTAGAGCGCTTAACATTCGGAGAAGAAAGAGAGTAATGGTTAATGTGAGTTCGAGGAAGCTCATGAGCCGTCTTCGAAGGATGGTTGCTCCCGAAACGAGTTTTTCCGGCGAAGTTGACGGTGACACACTTTATCGTCTAACGGCTGATCACATTTTCATACTCCAAGCAAGAATCCAACTTCTTCGTCGTATTTCTTCTCTATGTGGTCTCTAGATCGAAGGTCCATAACCATATATACACGTGGCTATAAGTAAACAAAGCAACGGTATAACTATGGAATGAACGTCTATTTCTCTTTATATTTTTCTTAATTTGTCATCTTGGTAAAAGTCGTAAATTATGATGCCGATGCTATAATATGAGCGTATTTTATAATTTATGTGACTATGTGAATTATATATATAATCTGTGATGTATTTAATCACTAGTATATGTTTACATGCATGCAGCTTTGACCGTGTTTATAAGACCCATACATATGATTATATGAACAATATTCACTTTGTAGTACGTTTGCACAATATTTTATTTTAATTTAACATTTGATATCCAGATTTCGTCATACTGTCCGACTAATTTTGAAGGTGAGCAGATCGCTTAGTGAACCGTTTCTTGAAAACCTTCCACAAGTAAAGTAGTCGAACTAAAACCCAAATGGCCTACGTTTTCAACACGATTTCTTAAGTTAATATAAGAAATAATTAATTTTGAGGTTTAATGAGTATAATTGACTTGACGAAAGGGTAATCTGTGCATGACCTTGACGCAGTCCAATAAGTGAACGCTTCTTCGTTGTTAATTATCGCTTTCGAAAGGCAGCAACTAGTCAGTAGTGAGAGATTCAAAGATAAAACGATCCCGAAAATATGGCATTCACTAACTCAATCTATAAGACTATAACTAATAATAGCTAATTACTTATATATCAAATAAATAAGACTGTGACTGGATGGTTTTAAATGTTGCAAGATATGAGATTTTTGTATTTTATGAGAGATTTCTCCTATACCAAAAAAAAAAAAAATGTGAGAGATTCCAGCTATTAATTAATTGTTGTGCACATTTAAAAAAAAAATTGTTGTGCACGAGTGTCGTATCCTAATTCCTAAACCTGGTTCGAAATCTTCCACCTTATTATAAAATACTCTATATTAGTACGTTATTTAAATAGTAAAGACAATTTTTTTCAAATAAAATTAGAAAATAATATAATACACAGAGAAAAGACGAACTCACCAAAATGTTGCTTTTGTTGTATGTGTTCAAAGTCAAAAAGACACATTTAATGATTAACTTTCTTGCCACATGCCCTCAAGCTTCATGAGTCATCAAAATTTGCATCTCTATCTACTGTGATTGGTGATAATTTGAGGGGGGATAAAACTCATCAAAGTAGTTCATTAGTAAAAAAAAAAAGGAATGGATGCATGGCTAGAGTATAAAAAAAATTCTCACTTCGATAGTTGGACTTTTACTTCTCGTTATTGTGTCCATGGGAGAATCGGAGAAGGAGGGGAACTCTCCATCTGTTCCACCGGTAACAACCAACATCTATTAAAACATTGGAAAGAAAACTACTATTAACTTTTCTACGTTTCAAATATCTTTATTTTCATAATTTCATCTCTTTCTTAATAATGAAAAGACAAACAGAGAGAGACAGACAGACAGAGTGAGAAATGGTAGGTGAATACAATTTGTTGGATTTTTCATAACTAGTATATTAACTTTAATTGCTAATAAATATAAAGATATACACAGATTATTTTGGTATAGAAAATTTTAGAAATTTTTTCCCTTCCTCTATTTATTTGGACAGAGTTTTTTCTTCATTTAATGTTAAAACATTTCTATTTTGAAAGAGTTACATAGAAAGGAGGGAGCAGTGGACTGACTAATGAGAGGGAAGTAGGCTTTGAAAGAGCGTTACGGGCCCATGCACGTGTCTACGTCCACTTGTTTTACGCTGCGTCGGCGCGTGTAACATAATTCACGTTTATAAATTACCTGTTTAATTAGTAATCATCGACATGAATACAATTTTTAAATTATTTATCTTCGTAATTAATAATAGACCGTAGAACAACAAGTGGATAGTTGGATACGTAAAATGTAAAAACAGAAGTCAACTCAATCGAATATAAATAGAAGTCCATCGAAGCCATGTGGAGGGTAGGTCCATTGCATGGAAGTTTTGAGAGTTCACCACATTTTCCGGGCTCTTGCTATTATTTTCTATGCGATCATCCTTAAAAACATATGTGATTCATCTCGACGTAATTTCTTAAATAATTCATCTCGACATCCGTAGAAACATATGATTTATAAAACAAAGCCATCGAAGCTTGTTGTTCTAATTAATTGATAGTTATAGTTATATATGCTAGTTCCTCCACGTTTGCTAAGCTGGTGAAATATATCAAATTATACAACTTTAAAAGTCCATATGATGATGTAGCCATGTGTAAGTAACCACCGTTTTATGGGTTTATGAATAGAGTATACTGTATACAGAAGATATGGAAAATGGTTTTAAGTCTAAAAAAGGACCAAAATAATTGAAGCTTAAATGATGATGAGTATAAATGGTATTTAGGGTTGGAGAGGAAGTGGGGTAATTTGAGCCATGTGCGACCATGTGCTGTGTCTTTCTCTCTTAGCCCCACTCTTTATTTTCTCTTCTTTTCCTTTGGTCCAATAAATGCCCCACACACTCTCATTTCTTCTATTAATTCTCCTCTTTCATCAATCTAATCTCTCTCCCTCTCTCTCTTTCATTTCTTTCTAGCTAGGGTTTAAGTTTCAGACCCAATCGAGCTACTTGGATATTTAAAAAAGAAACAAGCGTAAGGTAAGTATTTATTGATTACATTAACGTCACTTTTCTTTATTTAAATCTTCTTCTTGAGCTACCGTTCGTAAAAAAAAAGTGTGTTAAAAGAAAGGATATCACGACGAAGCTCGGTGCAATTATATATCCTATGAATTTAGCACCGAGTGTGTATAATATGCTCTTGTATACAATCTATATTATATTGTTTGATTTCAGAGCATGTTAATTCCCTTTTTTTATATATAATTCATTTGTGTTTATCTGATTAGGATGAACACGCATAACATGGTTAAGCAAGAATTTATCAAGAAATGGATAACTACTCTCCACATGTTAGATTCCTCTGTTGAACATCCCACGAACATAACCGAGAGGAAAAACGCGATAAGACAATCATCGGACTTAGCTATGGCAGCTGCTAGAAGCGGCGCAACCGTATGGAGCCGCGCTCTCATCTCTAGGACGGGAAACAAGACAACTAATAAACCCGTGGCTCTTCGAATACTCAAGAAAGCTCGAAATCGATTGAAGAATCGTTGTACTACTGTTAGACGAAATGGTACGAAAATCGGAGTGAGAAGACGTACGGAGTTGCTTAAGAGTCTAGTACCGGGAGGCGAGTTAATAGATGACAAAGAGTATTTGATAAGAGAGACACTTGATTACATTGTTTATCTCCGAGCGCAAGTGGACGTTATGCGAACCGTCGCATCCGTCGATTTGGTCACCGGAGATTCACCGTACCGCCCTAGGAACAAATAAATGTGCATGCAACATTTCAAACCCTTGTGAATATGAAGTAGCTAATGACTAAGATGTAAGTCCACGTGTACATATATATAAGATAAAACTATCTTTGAATATAACAAATTTCGAAGTGAAGCACGTACTTGTTTAAATTTATGATTTAATCTCAAAAATATTTTGAAGGCCACTTAAAACGTGTATGTAGTAGCATTTTATTATCTTTCTATATCTGGTATGCACTGGTATGCTAATTAGGTCATAAATTAGATTTACCGAACCGTAAAATTCATTCTTTTTTTTGTACAAACTAATATCTCGTTCATACATGTTTTCATTACAATTAAATTTTGTAAAAGAAATTATAGACTGGGCATTAATTACCAAAAGAATCATTGTTTTGCCTTAAAAAAAGGAACATCATTTATATACTAATATAAATTCAGAGATTAATTTAGTTACCTATGCAAATCATTTTATTAGTTTACGAACTCTAATTGATTGGCGATGAAGGCCTCTTGGGGATCCAAGATACCACTCTAGTAATTAGAAAAACTAAAATTCTAGCATTTGTGTAAGGACCTATTGACCTACAAACCAAATGATGCTCTCAAATATCTCCTTCGAAGAGAACAGAGAAAAATCCCTTTGCCCAAACATTCTGCATGGCTACTATAAGAGCTTTACCTTTACACTTAGTCGTATTTAAAGCTGAGTCCTAGTTACACTTAGTCTGGCCATTCACGGGACGTGCACAAGAGTGACATAAATATGGGCCTAAATGTAAAGCCCAAGGGATTGAGATGTACTACATATATATAATTCATTGGTTTATCCATTTCGATCATACTCGATATTCGATCAAAAAGTAGTACTGAAATTTGGAGTAATGATGTTTTAGTTATCGAGTAGTTTCGGATCGGCCAGTTAGATTCATCGACTGACGACTTCTTTTGCTATGCTTAATTTGTGCTAATTGTTTAACCTGTCAATTAATAGGATTTTTAAATTTATTTTTAAAAACTTTAATCTCTTTCTGTCGGTATACACATACAAATCTCTTGGCAGTTGGCATTTAAAGTGAGACTCACATGGTCAAATGATCACATCTTTAATAAAAACACCTTTGATTTGATAAACACACGATTTGATTAAAAAGTAGAAGAATTATTTTAACCATATATCGCGACCATAAATTGTCTTTTTTCCTTGTTTGTTAAAAGCTATATTAAGAGCCTTAATGGCCTCTTTGCATGCTTTTGTATGCATGATTAATGGCCTCTTTATCTATTATACAATGTCGTTTGCCTTATTAATAAGTACTACGACAGACTCCGCGCATATGCGCGGATCTTATTTTAATTTATATTTTAAATAATATATTTTTAGAATTTTGTATTGAATTTTATGTTTACTATCAATATTTTTGCATTTAAAATATTTATATTTTCTTTGATTTTTTTTTATGATATATTATTTGTAACCTCTTCTACACCACTTATGTCAAATAGTCTAATTTTTTTCTTAAAATAATAAAAGACTAAAAATCTAGTTTTTTTAATTTTTGCATGAAAACGTAATAGTTCACTTAAAAATATACGTTGAATATTATAGAGAAATATTTAATTTTTCTTCGATCTTCATATTCTTATTATTCTTATAAATCTTACTAATATAATACTTATTAACTTTTTTAATTTACCATTTTGAAATTTTTTGGTTATATATATTTTATTGATTCCATTTTTTTTATTTTTAAAAAAATTGTATGACATTTTCATGTAGACACCTTTTTATTATTATTTTTTTAATAATTTTTATCTTTTTAATTGTTTATTAAATATTCTCTGTGTTTTATCATTTTGAAACTTTTTAACTTATTCTGTTTCATAATTTGTTTTCACTTACAATAAAATTTAATTATATTTTTAGTTTGAAATTAAAATTTAAAACACTTGAAAAAAAGATAGAATGCATTTAAAAAAATTTGTATTATATAATATTTATAAATTTAAATATATTTAAATTAAATTTAAATATCATTCTAATATAAATACATATAAATATTTATTTTTGTTCTTTAATGTATTTACTTTAAATTTAATTAGTTTTTATTATTAATATTGTAAATGGACAGGTGTATGGCACTCAGCTGAAGAGAGTTGAGCAAATTTTATATATAAGATATTGTGCACTTTTAGATTTATGGTCATTTCCCTTTTATTTTTCACCGAGGAAGTTCCATTATCTGTTGGCCTTTGGACTCGTAATATATCTTGGTCTTTACTTTTTTTTGTTTGTTAAAGTATTTCTTGGTCTATAATCCATCCAAATTACGAAGGAATCAACGTCGCTCCCGAACAAGAACCGAAGTAGGGATCTTAGAACCATTTCCAAGTCAACTTGTTTAAACACATACATATCAGTATATGAACTCTATCTTCTACAATCAGATCAATATTGTATACTAGTTATAGCCTAGTTTTGCGTTTTTCAAAATATGTTCATTTAATAAAAGACTTTGTTTTTTTTTTTTTATAAATTCTTACATCAAATATAGTATATCAGAATTTTGGGATATAAATCCAGCTATAGGTCACTTGTGAATTAGTGAAACAGCGGCAAAGATGCTTAGATATTTTATATAAATATATGTTGTTGGTGTTGTGCTTAGCTTGAACCTATGGTTTCAATTTAAAGATATATGAAAAAGAGATGCAAGAGGGTCCAATCCATTGTTGTCGATAATTTTGCTTCCATAATGGTTAACAAGTTAGCATCTACTTATGTATATGCATTTCCTCTCAGATAAATTCAATTAGTTATTATGGTTAGCTGATCAACTCAGACCAAATCAAATCACTTACTCTTTTCCAACAACAGCACTACAGTATTCTAAACAAAACTCAATTTTTTTTATATATACACTTACACTATATGCGAGTACTTACCAATCACGACCAAAATAATTACTAATGATAAAACGACATTATTACAGATACCTAATTCCCATTTTGACAGAAAGTTGAGACTAACCCCTCCATATCCTTTGACATAAAAAGGAAATCTGTTCCAACGATAATCACTTTGATCATGGCCCAAATCATTCCCACCCATGGAAATGATGCTCCCCATCAAACCTTTTTTAAGCAAAATAATAATAATAAGGTAGAACCCACTAAAATATTAAACTAGTTAATGATTTCTTTCTTTCAAACCAATAACATAAATATTTGATCATTCAACAAATTCCCAAAGTCACAATCTTTGAATCACAAAACAAAAAAGAAACAATGGAACTATCACTAGCAATAACATCAACCGATCATCATCAGTTGAACAATAATCCATCGCCTTCAGAGGCACATCCAGACACTATGGACTTTCTGTCTCGAGAATGGTGTAATTTTGCTGTCCAATCGCTTCATCCGGACCCTGTCCTCTACGACCGTTCCATTGTTCCCATCGAGACGTCGATCGCCAAGTTTCAAGGCGACTCAAGTCCTGTTTCTTGTGCTGTAAGTAACAGAGATGTTTTTGTTAGTAAGTCATTCAATTTTGTTTCCAGTTGTTTTGTCAGTGTTTAATTAATGAAGATTGTGAAAGTAGAAGATGGATAAGAGCATGAGAATGGACGATCCAGATTTTAAGCCCTCGATGCCCTCGTGGAAAACCAATGATGTCAAGGTAAACTGTAAACATATTATGTTGAGATATCTAGATAATTCCACAAAAACATTAAGAAAAAAAATACGTTTCTAAAGCCAAAAAGTGTATAAACATCAGAATTAGGCTACCTCTAATTTTGATTGATGTAACAAGAAAAGAAACACTACCTCTAAGATTTGATTATTTGATAGAGATGTTCATATTTTTATTTTATTTTTAAAATTGCGATACAGTTACTTTCTAGGTTTATTTGATGCACTTACTGATGAATATTTAGCATATGTATATGGTTTTAATTAGTAATACTAATACCACTGACTAGAAACTGGAGAAATATACATTATAGAATGACACAATGACTAAGCGAAGAGATATTGAGAGAGTACATTATATTGACCATATATTTTGTTGAATGATGTACGCAGTCATGGATATGGATGCAACAAGCAATGCACCCGGAATTGAGCTACGAAGGCTTTTTCCGCAAGAAACTTGTAAAACCCTATCTCTCTATTTCGTTTGGTTTGATTTTTAAAATCAACATTCTTGGTTCTCTAAATTATAAAAAAAAAAATGGGCTTGTAGAAACTTCCATGGAAGATTACGCCGTCGATAAAGAAATGGTGGAAAGAGATAAAGGCGAAACGAAAGGAAGAAGTGAGGCTACAGAGAGCTGAAGTCCACGCCGCCGTGTCCTTGGCTGGTCTTGCCGCCGCTCTCGCTGCCGTAGCTTCCGAGAACGCGGGAAAAGACGGTGGAAACGGCCGACCAACCACGAAGGAGACCGCCGTGGCTTCTGCTGCGGCTGTGGTGGCGGCGCAGTGTGCTCAGATGGCAGAGACAATGGGAGCAAACAGAGACCAGCTCAGCACAATGATTGGTTCCGCCATGACTGGAACAAGTGTCAGTGAGATACTCACTCTAACTGCCTCAGCTACGACCTGTAAGAAGAAGATTAATGGCTTTTTTTTTGTTTGTGTTTCTATAAGCATGCTCTGTTTCTGAGTTATTGGTGTTTGGTAAATAAGCCTTGAGAGGTGCTGCGACGCTGAAGGCAAGAAGAAGTTGCAAGACCAATAGATTGAACGGCTCTGCGCCTGTGTTACCTATAGAAGACTCCTCTGATTTGCCTCCTGAATTTGACAAGAATACATCTCTTCTTGCTAAAGGAACCGATCTCTTCGTCGAGACACCAGATGGTATATAAATCCTCTGTTTTTCTTCTTAAACTCCTCTGTTTTGTGGAGAAACTAAAGAGATATGGTTAACTTTTGGATTGGAGCAGGGGATTTCAAGGCTAGGACAGTGTCTATGGTCTTAAACAAGGAAGGGAAGGTCTGATTTTGGCTCTAATCCTTAATTACTCTTAACCAATCATTCATGTTTATTAGTCAACAATGATCTTGGGTTTGTTTTACACAGGTGATTCTTAAAATGAAGAAACATAACCTACTCAGGACTAAGAAAGAGTGTATGGAGTTAGCTTCTTAATTAATCACTTTTTTTTAACTAAACGTAATCTTCGAGCTAAGATTTTAAGACATTCAATGTTTTGTTTGTGCTCTGTGTAAGGTATCGTGACGAATGTTCATGTGGAACTTTATAGAGATTCGGAGAGCGAAGACAACAACATAGAAGACACTTGTTATCTCGTTGTCCTGAAGACGAACAGAGGAGCTATTAAACTAGACATGGCTGATGATTACAGTCGTTACAAGACATGGGTCACAACGATCCAACACATGCTCAGTCTCTCTTCTTCTACCTTCCGTACAAAATACGATCTCACTTTCTACAACAAAAACTGAATTTTTTTTTCATCGTCTTGTTATTGAATTTCTCCATGTAATTCACTTAACTTTCCATGTTTATTTTATGCTCCTTCTCTGTTTCTTACGCTTCTCTCGCTTGACTTTTATGATATGATGCATAATAACAAGTTGAGAACTTACGTTCTTTAGACTCCACAAATATAAGCTAGCTTTCTAAGTAAAGTAACCTGAGATTTGAGAAGCATGAGATGCTGTATTGACTTAAGGAACAAGGCTTCCTCGTCGTCCACCTCTTCACAACCTGGTACAATCCTACGAAGAATTTTGAGGTTTCTTCGCTTACAAGATTCCTGAAACTTCTGTTTCTCTTTCCGTCCCTTGCCACCATGGTGCCTAACCTTCTTGCACTTCACCATATTCCTCATTTCTTGTACTCCAGACTTGCATACGTGGCCGTATATATAGAGAAACCGTGAGGATGGCAAAAATATGGAACAAAACAAGTTGTCTGAGAAAATGTGACAGAGAAAAGGAGACAAAGGAAACCATATCAAGGCCATAACCACTGAACCCGTCTCTGCCAATCCAACCTTGCAATGTTTAATGTTCAATGTATCTGTTTGTGGTCCTCATGGCATTATTTTTTTGAGAATTCCAGAATGGTTGGTTCATCTGGTATGTGCATATGAGTTGATTGAAAGGAAAATGGGCCGAGTGATTACAAGAATACAGGCTTCACGTTGGCTCAACTAGGCCCATCACTTGAGATATTTTCAAAATTCAAAGTGGAGTCGCAGTAATTTATTGTCTTTGTTTTTTCTTTTGTTAGTCTAGAATTGAATGCCATATAACTTGCCTAAGTGAAGAGAGCCTTGGGCAACTAACCAATTTGAAAATTTCTAGAGCCAACAAATTTGAAATTGAAAGTAAGTGTATTACACGACAAACACGGCTACACTTGTACCACAATAGAAATCTACTGTAAATTTGCTTTATTAATTTGGAAATTCAACTCTATTAATTAGAAGCATTAATAAAGATATTTGCCCAAAACTGTACAGAAGAGGCTTCCTCAAAATATTTTTTTATTCTTTTTGTTACATTATTTGTACATCAATTATTTTTTCATCCATGTATAAATACTAGTTTTGAGGCTTAAAATGAAAAAATTTCATCATTGTCCCCCTATTGATAAGTCTAACTCTGTTAGGAGAATCATAAAGACACTGTAGGATTTCATCAAACATTAGAAAAACAAAAAAAAACCAGAGACTTAACCAACGATAAAAAAAGAGACAACTTTAAAACATAAAAATATGAATGAAGTTTAAGGAATTCACCTGTTAGGGCATCTCCAACTCTACCTCATTTCTTCCTCCAAATACTATTTTGGTGGAAATTCTTCTCCAACACTACTTCATTTTCACCTGTAAAATGGAAGAATGCCATTTTTTCCTCCAAATATGAAGTAACCCTATTTTCAACGCCATTTTGCAGGTGAACTTTTTTATTTACAAGATAATCTTTTACTTTTCATTAATTCTTAAAACTATATTTTTTATTTATAATTTAATCATTTATATTATATATATTTAATTTAAAATTAAAGATAAATAGATTTAAAATTGAGAATAAAAAATAAAAAAATATAAGAAGATTAACTGAAACTAAAAATAACATAAAATTAAAAATGCATAAGAAATACATAAAATTAAAATGTACTTTATTTTATTATTTTAAATGGTGTGTAGTATTATTTGCATATTATAATAGTTGAATTTAAAATAATATTATAATTTATAGAAGTTTTAAGTGAAAAAAATAAATGGGTTCATTTGTAATTTTTATAAATGAAGTATATTATTAGTAATTAACAATAATATAAAATGAAGAATATATTTAGAATATTATTTTTGAAGTTGAAAATAGAAGAATATATTGGAGAGAAATTCAACTCCATTTTGCAGTTCTTCCATTTTAGAGATAAAAATGGAGGAATACATTGGAGATGCTCTTAGTAGAAGCAAGAAGATCAAGATCCATGTGAAGTTTCATGAGCTTTAATCCAATGCCAGCCCTTATCCTAGATGAAAAGCTTTTTTGATTCTAGTTTTAATTGAACATATCCTTAATTTTAAAACTAATTTTTTCGTTTCAAGTTAATCTAAAATTTAGATTTTTTTTTCCTTTTTAAGATTTACAAACACTGAAAAAAAAAACAGAGATGTCATTTCTTGTTCATTGCTACATGAGCTTGCAAGAGAGTGTTTTCTGGCATCACATAATTAATACACCCCATTGAAAAGCATCTTCTTGTGCCACCTATTTTCTTGTCCTCTGTTTCAATTTAACGAATAATATTACAAAACAAAACTATACTACTTTTTCTTCCTTAATAATTTATTGAATTTTGGGTTCGATTTCATAAACAACTTTACTAGCATCAATGTTCTATAACTTGCCTAGCTAAACAAGAACAACTCTTTCATCATTCTCCGGCTTGCATTCATCGTGTTCAACCGAGATGTCAGATGCTTTCAAACCGACGTCATCGAAATGGATAATTGACCCGAGATGCGAACCGGAGTCTTGGAAACTCTCACCATCAGATTCAAGCAGAAGAAAAACAGGGGAGGACAAAGCGGTGACGCTGAGGACGAGGTTGTCTCTGCAGAGAGGACAGATTGAGTTTGTGAGGAGCCACGTGTCGATGCATCCCACGTGGAATGCGTGGCTGCATTTGGGCAGAAGCCGGAGCTCGTCTTCGGGTTTGAACTCGCAGAGACAGACGGGACAATCAAAGGGGACGTCGTGTCTGAGACCAATTATTTTCTTGTAATGAAACAAAGGCAATGCATCGATAAATGATTGGTCAACTCCTGTGTCATGGAGATTGAACATTGTCTGAACTTGACCTTGCATATCCATCGCACTCGCAGTCTCTGTAATGCCAAGAAAGTAGAAAACCATTTTTGTAAGCAATTCAGAGACAGAGGAAAAGACTTTCAAAAACAAATCTTTAAAATTTGAGAACAACCTTCGTAGGCGTCGTTAAGTCGGGTTCGGGATCTGAGTAAGAATCTGACGAGAAGGTGAAGCAAAGCAGAGACAAAGAAGATGACAGAAATGAGAGTGATAGCATAAATTGCGGTGGGACTGATCTTGGCTTTCAGATCAAAGCTATTGTCTGTTGGAAAGTTAGATAAAGATGTAACTGAGGAAATAGAGAGAAAGGAATCAGCTTTCTGGTTCATGTTTTCTCGAGAAGGGAGATGAGAAAAAGAATAAGTGATAAAAGAGATAAGTTAATTTGGACTGTAAGCAGTTAGAGAAAATCCCAAGAGAGCATAAGCCATTGGAGTTGGCATTGAGAGGTCTTTGATTGTTTCTGTTAATCAAAAGGACAAAACATGGTATTAATGGATATACAGTTGGGGTTTGTCTTGGCATTTAGAGACTGCCAAGTCAAATGAGAAAATTGACAGAGGAGGTTCGACTTTTTGAGAAATTTAACCGATAGATATATATATATAGACAAGTTAAATTTTTCAACAGCTGAACAGAGATATATTTAGAGAAGGTTGATTTACTTTAACAATTCAGATTGGTTTGTCAAAAATCCCATTTTCTTTTTTTTATCTTACATACTCGATGCCATTATTGTTCTATGTTTAATTTTAAGAATACCATTAGAAGCCAGCTTCTTACTTACCAAAAGTCAGGTATTGTTGTTCTTTTACAAACAGAATCGATATTTTCACAAAGAATACAAAAACAAAACCTGCATTGTGCTAAAGTGGTCAAAAGTTAAATAGATATTAATGCTATCTTCTTTCAAGCAACATTTACATCACAGACAAGCATAGCTAGTTGAGGTCAAGAAGGGGAAAGAAATATAATGGATTTAGAGAGGTTTGTTGTTACCCAAACAGGTGTAAGAGTCAGCAATTGTTAGCTCTCCTTGCTTGGCACTCTGCGGTTTACGAACTGTGGCTTGAGCTTAATAAAGTGACAATGAACTGCAAAAAAGTCCACAAAACCGTTCAATGTACTCATGAGAGCACATAGAACCTGAAACATAATGCAATCAAGACATTGGTAAATGATTCATTTGTACTTGCCGACATGAGAAAATTGGTCACATCATTTGCCTAGCAATAGCAAGAATAGCTTCTTCGTGTCTAAAGATACAACTTAGATAAGTCAGAAGAATATCTGTACACTTGTTCCTAAAATTTTTAAAGATTCTGGAATGTGGGCATTAAGCTCTTCTCCTAATGGATGGATACAACATAGCAGATAACAAAGCACTGATTAAACTGGCAACACAAATCAAACAAAAAAAAAGTTAAACAAGCTGGAACTGCACATTTGAACCTTTCTATGACTAGTAAGACCCTCTTTTGCTGCCTTGGTTAATGAATAATAAAATATACTGTGAGCAAGATTTATAATTTTCAATGCAAGGATATTGATCAAACCGGTTGGGAGATGTTTCCCAGACCAACATTTCACAATTTGCAATCGAAAGGAAAAATATAATAAGAGTCTCACCCAAACTTGCAACACATTCTACATCACACATTTGGGATGAACCACCGAGCATCAAAGAACTTCCTAGTTGAAGAAGGCACAAACGGTTCGACCTTGCGCGTAGCTAGATTGAAGATAGATATATATTTAGTTCCACAACCAGGACCACTAAAATAGATGGAGTCTGGCTTGATTCCTGGAACATCTTTGGCGGGCAGAGTGATTCCAAGGTCGAAGATCAAAGCCTGGTCGCCCAACGAAGCCATAACATCCCATAATTTGGTGTCATGGTTCATCCTGTAAACGTAGAAGCTGTTGTTGTTGTAGCATCTGACCAAGAGAAGCCCTCCACATGGAGTAACAGCAATCCTTGTGGTGGAGGAATCATACAAGTAAGGAGGAAGAAGGTAGGCACATGGACGAGGAGCTACTTCAACAAGAGAGTCCCCAGAGAAATCGTAGATCTCGATGGAAAGAAGTTGAGTAAAGACGTAGAGCCTGTGGTCTTTGTATACAAGGTCTTTCCACCAAGTCGTGGCATAAGGAAACAGCTTCCAAAAGTCGTCACCTTTCCTGGAGAAGAAGAGATAACGGTAGCCAAGAGACCACAAGACCACGTAATCTTTGCTTCTCTCGTCAACCCACAAGACTGCTTTGTATCCGATGATAGGTCTCTGATCTCGCACGTGAGAGCAAGGTCTCTTTTGGATGGTGTATTCTCGAGCCTCCAAAGACGAGAATCTTCTTCTTCTTCAGGGTCGTATTTCCGGGATTCCATGGGAGGGAGGACGATTCTCTCGCGGGTTAAGGGATTGAGAATGTAGAGCTTTGGTCGATGGCGAACATACATGAGGAGCCAGCTTCCGCAAGTGGCAATACACCGACTCTGCGTAAACTCCACGCCTAGACTTCGACTTCTAAAAAACAAACCTTTCTCTGTAGGATTCGACATGCCACAAGAATACCCATAAGATCTCTCGTAAGGGAAGAGAATCAGCCACGGGGCTCTGTTTTGTTTCCGCACGCTTTCTCTCGAAGCAGATCGCCATGCCGAGCAAACCACCTTCGCTCGATCGAAATCGGTTGCGCTCAGCCTCTCTAACACCATCTGGATCACATCCCGACAAAGATTCGACCAGTTCGCCGCCGGTTCTTCTAGTTTCCGACGCTTGAGGTTTTGCATTTCGATGTGACCCAAATTCGCTTGTGAGACTGCTCCTGCGTAGCGAATTACAATATATAGCAAGCGTCTTACGCCGACTAAATCTACGAAAACTCAAAAGAGACTCCTTTTTGAAAATTTTCCTTATTTCTAAAAGATAATTCTCTCCCGACAAAGCTCCAACCAGTTCGTCGCCGCCGGTTCTTCTAGTTGCCGGTGCTTAGGGCTTCGCATTGAGATTGACACGTGTCTTAGCCATGTGCACGTGCTAAATAGTCAAAATTCAGCCTGGTGTATACGGCACAAACCAAACCGACTGGACCGGGACCAACGGAGCCACGGTTATCAGTTTTCTGCTCCAAACCGATTAGCATTTTTTTCGAAATTTGTGTCGGTTTTTGGTTCGAAACTTCATATTCTTGTAATTGGATAGAATCATTGGATTGGGTTTAAACTTTAACGACACCGAGTAAAACTTGATTACGAATCAGTTGATCAAATCCTTGAAAAATAAAACTAAACATATCGAAACTGGAAGATTTGAGAGGGTGGAGTGAGAGAGGGAGGGATCATTTATTTACATACAAGAGATTTTGAGAAGAAACCAACTCATCAATAGTTGGATTTTTTTATTTGTTAAAAATTCAAGTCATTCATTAATTATAGGTTTGCTATGCAGATGCGAAATTATACCCTTAACTTGACACGACCCACATGCTACTCCACATTTCATTATTATACGTTGTTCACATTAAGTTTCATGTTATTTTGAAGAGTTGATTAATAAATTGTATTGTTGACATAAAGAGAAGCTCTTTTTTATTCATTTATGTAGGAGTATAACATTTAGAAAAAGCTTGCTTCTGGTGAATGAACGAGAGAATGTCTTTTTTTCACTGTGACTAGAATCATATACTTATGAGATTTTGATCAAAACGAAACGCGCGAATTCCGGTGATTGGTTTGTCGGTACGGAATAATCCTCTGGCCACAACGTTATTCTCTTTTGGTTTTAGTCTTCTTCTTTTTTTAAGTCCTGAAAATTTAAAGTCAATTAATTACGGTCACTATCTCAAACACATTAGGAATTGGAATTCCTCCACACACACACCTAAAAAATAAAAAGTTAGAAAGATCGATTCTTTTCCATTTTTGGTTTAAATAAAGAATCACCACCGATTTGTTGTGGTTTATTATTAAAAAAAAAAACCTTTTTTAATATTTTTTTTCTTCGTCTGGATTACCATTTTCAGAGAGGTTTTCTGGATGATCTTTCCTCTAAAAGTTTTGACTTTTTTTTTTGGTTTTGGTGGTAAATTCTTTAGAGTTTTCTTCTTTCTAAAAGTGGGATGATGATGATCTGTGCATGAGAGAATTAAGAACAACAAATCCCCCAATAGATGTTTTAATCATTCGAAGAGGAGAATTTCTCCAGTTGTGTATTCTACTTCTCTGATTCTTTCGAGCTGATTTTCGAATTGTAAATATATGATCACTTGCTGCAATTGGAAATCCAAAAGATTTTTCGTTTTATGAGGATCGGTTAGGGTTCATCTTGATTGTTTTGGGAATCCGATCAAGATTTCAGCTTTGTACCATAAAGCGATGAGGTTTCTGAGCCTCGTCGGAAATTCATTCGGTTGTTCCGCGTCCGGCGAACGCTTAGTATCAGCGGCCAGAGACGGCGATTTACAGGAAGCCAAGGCTCTCTTAGATTACAACCCAAGACTCGCTCGCTACTCCACTTTCGGCGTTCGCAACTCTCCTCTCCATTACTCCGCCGCTCAAGGCCACCACGAGGTAACCCCCGAATCTCAATCCCCAATTATTGAAAAGATCAATAATTGGAATCAACATTTTATTCCCAAAAGTTCTGACCTTTATGGTGATGATGATGATCCTGATCCTGATCCTGATTTGGGTTTGTTTATCTTCTCCAGATAGTTTCTCTGTTGGTGGAATCAGGAGTTGATATTAATCTCCGGAACTACCGTGGACAGGTAATAATAGCTCTTTATTACTTGCTGTCTTGCTTCTTTACATATTGCTTAAGTAAATCTGAAATACAAGAACTTATGGAAATTTTGGACACAGACGGCTTTGATGCAAGCTTGTCAACATGGTCATTGGGAGGTTGTTTTGATCCTGATTCTTTTTGGTGCTAATGTAAGGCTTTTTATCAATTCCTAAATGTGATATTTGTCAGATTTTTGATTTCAGTGATTGAGATAATGATTGTGCTTACTTGCTTATGTTGGGGTTTTAGATTCACAGATCAGACTACCTAAATGGCGGTACTGCTCTGCACCTCGCGGCTCTAAACGGTCACCCTCGGTGTATCAGGATACTTCTTTCCGAGTACATACCAAGTGTCCCTAATTGCTGGAGCCTGTTGAAGAATAAGAAATCCTCAATTGCTGGATTTGATCCAAGGTCAAAAGTGTTTTAAAGAGTTAAGCTTTAACGGCATCAGTGGCATGACTAGTTGAACGTGTTTTTTTTTGTGTTGTTTTGAATGTGTGTAGTGTTCTTCACGAAGTGATAAGCAGAGCAGCAGATGGAGGAATCACACCTCTTCATGTGGCGGCTCTTAACGGACACATTGAGACGGTGCAGTTACTCTTGGATTTGGGAGCTTCGGTTACTCAGGTCACTGTGGAAGATGGAACCACAATAGATCTTATAGGTTATTATCATATTCCCCTGATTGATTATAAGACCCTTTAAGGGAAAAGCTAAAGCCTATATTTTTTTTTTCGCTTTGGCTCTTTGGTTCTATACTGAAGGTGCTGGGAGTACAGCTCTCCATTATGCTTCATGTGGCGGAAACACGCAGTGTTGCCAGGTATATACATGCTTAACCAGGCTATCATGATGCTGAACAATCCGTTTGAACAAATGTTTTGTTTCCTCTGTTTATGTTTATATGAATTCATTTCGCATTTGTTTTTTCTCAGCTTTTGATCGATAAGGGTGCCTCTTTATCTGCCGTAAACTCCAATGGGTTAGATCTTCTCTCTGTTTCTCTGCCTGCAAAACCCAGTCCAACAGTTTGGTATATACCGCAGTGTCTTTATTCGTTTGGTGTCTTTGGTTTTAGATGGACGCCATTGATGGTTGCTCGTTCATGGCACCGGAACTGGCTGGAAGAAACCCTGAACCGAACCACAGAGCAGCCACAAAGCCATCAGCCAAAAGTCCCCTCTCCTTTCCTCTGCCTTCCTCTAATGAGCATTGTCAAGATTGCTCAGTAAGTAAAACCCTTTCACCTAATTGAAACACCCAATGTGATCAACAGAATCTCTGAGATTGAATGATCTTTCTCGTTTGTGGGTTTCAGAGAATGCGGCTGGCGAGGAAACGATTGCCTCACTCCATGTCGTGACCCTTGTGCTGTTTGTTTGGAAAAGAAGTGCACTGTATCCGCAGATGGTAATGTATCTTGCTTAAATCCAATCTTGCTTAGTTAGAACATTGAAATGATTGTGTATGTGTGTGTGTGTGTGTGACATAACAGGATGTGGTCATGAGTTCTGCACAAACTGTGCATTATATCTAAGCACCACGAACATAACATCGTCCAAGACATCGAAAGCCACACCAGGCTCAGTCCCATGTCCACTTTGTCGCTACGGCATTGTCTCTTTCACCAAGCTTCCCCATACAAGAGCAACAACAACAGCAACATCATCAAGAACAAGCATCTCCTTGTCCTTTTGCACTTGCTCCTCTGATGTCTTAGACACAGCTCTCCTCACCAACCCTCACTACAGTTGTAAACCGGTTGTCTCAAGAGCTGGTTCTCGAATTTCACAATCATCATCGTTTCGGTCTCTTAGCTGCCATCGGTTCCCTCCAAGTCTCTGCCTCGGTGGCTCGGATGTTGACGAACCGCAAAGCCGGTTAATGAATGGATCGTATTCAAGATCTGGTTTAGGGTTCAGGAGATCGACGTCGCAGGTTGAAGGAAAACGTTCTTGGTTTTCTGCACTTAACCATTGTGTTACTACCGGTGGAAGTGCTTGCTGACGCAAACGCAGTCGCCGTTTTTTTTTTCCTTTTTTTTTTCAATTTTTGTTCCCATTTTTTGGGAGAAAAAGATGTGCCAATTGGTTCTGTGAATGGTGTCATTGGTGTGGTGATTATTCATTTTGTAATAATTGAAAATGTTATAATAAATATAATTAATTTGGCTTTGCCGTTTACATTGAGAAAAATATGCAGTATAGTTATTTTTGGCTTTGTTGTTTACACTGAGAGCATTCATCAATTTCACAAGAGTCAGTTTCGACTTGCAAGTAATGAACACTTTGGAAAAAGAGAGAGAAACATTACATAGAACTAATTACTCATTCTAAACATATTAAAAGTCACATAAGCCCCAGAAGGCACCATCAAATGAATAACGGAGAGAAGACAAAAATTGGACTTTACAAATGGAAAAAAAAAAAAAAATAGGAGAAGAACTAACGAGAATGAATACCTCAAAGAGAAAAGCTTCGTATCCTTTCTATGTCGCCTAATTGTCATTTTAATATCATATTATCCATAAATACGGAAGATAATTGTCACGAGACAGAGAAACATACTCTAGGATTGAGTTGAAATCTAACTTTAAAGTGTTTTGGATCTAAATCACGATTAAGAATGATGATCAATTCAGAGAAATAGGAGATGAGACATTACGAGAAACCCTATGGTAGAGTTGAGTTATCTGAAATTTCCAAAAAAAAAAGTGTCGGTGTTCTAGAAAGCGATTAGTTTGACAAGCTTAAACATTTTACTTTAACAAGCGGATTCTTAACTTCTAATTTTCAAGTTTGTATATATCAAACGGCTTTAAAATAAGGAACGCCTTCTATCGTATCTCTTGTGGTGATTGTGTGAGTGTCATGACATACGTTTTCACCTTTTTCAAACATGCTTCAGATGTAATGTAAGCATGTAAAGTAATACTTCAAGATATATTCACAAGTCAAAGCTACAAAGTCAAAAGTATAAAGTATATAAAAAAAAAAAACGATCGTTAAATTACGTTTAATCCTATATATTATGTGAGAGGGTCTTATTGGATCTATGTCAATCCGAAAATTTGGAAATGGTCGCCTATATATGGTCCATTTTTAGTGTTCAATCATCTAACACCTTTTTGTCTTTGCATTAAACACCGTCTTGTATTATAATACGGAGACATAGTTGTTAAATTTCTTTTGTTATGAAATCAGCTCTACAAATTCAAGGGAAACGATCAAACCGGAAAGTTTTCTAAGACCGTTAAGTCCGCGATGTATAATCCATTATGTGCGAGTGTGTATTTCTTGCCAAGCCACGTGAACTTTAACGTCGAAAAACATGTATAAACAAAGATTTAGAAATTACAAAAATAAATAAAAGCGGAGACTTAGCAATATATAGATAGACTTATGCGAGCAACAAAATAAAGACAAATTATATATGAGATTATAACAAATTTACATAAAGCTCAGGAGGAATAGATAGAACAGAATTACAACAAATAAAATACAAAAAGAAATAAAAGATTAAAGAAAAGAAAACAACAATACAAAACTAATAAGCCTTGCAAGGTCAAGAAAAAACTACTAAAACATAGAAAAAACTTTCAATTGATGTAATATTGAAAGAAAATTAGTTTATTTCTTTTTTTTTTTTAAAGAAAAAAAAGCTCAGCAAGGATAATGCCAATTGAACACTAGTATCCAAGGGATCTTCTTCTTCGTAAGATGCTAATGCGTTCCAATGTACATCCATGGTGTAACGGAGAAATTAAAAAAACTTGATAGACAGAAATGATCACTATCATTACGATCATAAATATCATGATAATTATGATGATGATGATCATCTCATGATCAAGATAGAGAGGAATGATATGATGCTTTTGCTCTGAAGTGATGATGTGAGAGGGCAGGTGAAGTTGCGTTTATATAGGGAAATCAGTGGATGGAATTAACGGAAGCTAGACCTTTATTGAAAAAGACATTAATGGAAGCGAGAGTTTTTATATATTAAATAGGTTAATACTGTATTCAAGAATGTAATTTCGGTATGTAATTTCCAATTTTAAATTTATGTAATATGTAATTATGTATGAAGCATGGAGACAAAATAAAAAATCAAGAACACACAAAGTATCTACTTGTACACGTAACACTGATAAGTCTTATATTTTATTCCACCAATAGTCAGAGAGTCTAAATATATTAATAAAAAAATATCACAACAAAACACAAGTGCCCATACAAACGATAGCTGAAAGTACACGTTAAACGAATTTCGAGTTAAGCTCTTGAAATCGTAAAGACTGTGTGTTGTGGGTAAAGTAAAATATTTCTGCTATCATTTTTTAGTTAAAAAAAACACATATTATGCTCCGCAGTTAACACGACACATGCAAGAAAATGAATAACATATTTTTTTGATCAGAAGAAAATGTTTAACTTCATTTTTCTTGAAGGGATTACAATTTTGAGAGGTTTCAACGTGAAAATTACTTATTTACTTAAAAAAAAAGACACACATTGGCTCGCTTTTCTTATCAAGACTTGCCTCAGTTTAAAGATTTTTACTGTTGGTTTCTGTCACATTTTTTTACCGTCTGAATGAGGAAATTGAGCTCTCTCCTTTTTCCTTTTTCTTTTTACCTGTAATAATTCTTCTGTTCTCTTTTTCCGTCTCATTTAAGAAAATAGGGTTTCCCAATTCAGAAAATGAAATATAAAAGAATTGAAAATTGAAACAGCCAACGCCAAGATATAATCAATACATCTATTTATATAAAGCTAGACAGGAGATTCATTGGGTTTTTGTAATTTCCTTCTCTAGCTCTCTCGAGTAAATTCTCTTTCAAAAAAAAAAAAACTCTCTCGAGTAAATAACCAAAGAAAAAACAAAGCTAACCTTACTCATGTCGTATATTTATCTGTTCTATGCTAATAGTATTTTTTTATAACTAACCTCTTTTTAGAATAGATTGTATTATCTTCAAATAAATCACAGTCATATACAGCGGAACCAATTTCAAAGAAAAAAGGCGAAACAAGATGAATATGTACATAAATATATATAGTTTAGTTGAAGACATATTAATGTAAAGCTTTAATTTTTTGAAAGAAGGTTTCATACTAATGTTAAAGTTAGACAATTTAAAATATTAAAGAAAAAATAGACGACAAATATAACTTAATATCATGCAATAAATTTGGTAACGAATATATACTGTTTTTAAGGGACACTCCTTTATGTCAGATGGACACTAGACTAATTAAACAAATATGAAGGACGGGTGAGTAATTACTGTAATTCAGTTTTAATGTATTCAATGGCGTTTTATATGTAAGAGGAGAGAACAAACAAAAGGCTGCAAATGTATAAATAGGTGTAATCATCACAAATTTTGGGATGTGACAATACATTGTCAAGCTTCTGTCTCTTTCTCTGTTCTTGTTTCTGATGGGCTTTTAATATTGATATTTATTTCTTAATTATTTTCAGAAACAAGGAACAAAAAAGCAAGTTTTCAAAACTGAGGAAGTGTAGCCATGCATGCTTATTACCGATTCTTCAACGTTCAGATTGTCTAAGTCAAAGAATCTCTTATACCAATATAGAAAGTGGGACAGGACGACTTTGATCGTCCAATTTATTTGGTCAGAAAATACATTTTTGTCAATATTACTCAATACTCAAGCTACTAGTTTTTTTTTTCTTTTTTTTTGGGGGTCAAAGAACTGGTTTATATAGAAGATTCGTAGATGTATCCTAGTAACATTTCTCTATTCCATCGTCGTTGGGGAAGAGATCATGCATTGAAAGTCTTGGGACATTTCTAAATTACAGTTTTCTAGTTGCTTACATTTACAGAGTAGCAAAAGCCATTATTTTTTAGCAATGTAAATGTTTATCGTACAAAATGTATATCTTTCGATGCTGTTACATGTAGTGCATTCTTCACAAAGTAGATTACAAAAATTATTTCCTAGATTACTATTTTTTTACAACAAACGGTTATGCAAATGTTAGAAAGCCGAACAGGCCCAATAGACCAAATAGCCGTACACACATCAAAGAAAGAACAAGACTGAATCACATAAATTAAGCCCAACATGGTAACGAGAGAAAGTAACAAGGTGATGTGAAATTAAACGATGGGGAAGGGCAGAAGCGAATCTGTCGAGATTTAGAGAGATCCGATCAAACTCAGTGGAGTAGAGGAATCATCTTCGGTGACAGCAGAGAGATGCAGCCTGAAAGTGACAGGTCCAGATTTGTTCAGAAGATGCAGATTTCGATCAAGTTATTGCTGCAATGTCGAAAGTTTCCAACATTTATCATTTTGTCAACTTTTTTTGCGGCCCATATTAGTTGGGCTTCCAACATAATTTGGATTTATACACACTGTTTCCCACAGCTTCTTCATCTCTCTCGATTAATGATTACAAAAAATATAATCATATAATCATTTATATTTTTGTATACTTACATGATGTTTATAAACACACATTAAAGAATATCGAATAATAAATGGTATTTAAATTGTTCTTTCTATGTCATTGTTTATTCTTTTGGGAAAATATAATAAACAAAGACTTATATAAGCTATTAACTTTAAAAAAATCTACATTCACATAAATTCCATAGATTTAATATGGAAAAGTAGATAAATTCTACAAATATTTAAGATTGGTGGTAATAATAATTGGAAAAAGGAAATTCATAATTAATTCTTCATTTTGCAATATCGAACATGGTCTTGATATTAATCTATTTTCCTGAACCATTATAAGCTGGCCTGAGCAACCTATATAATTAACTGATTTGTAGTTGTCGATATCTACTAAAGTACTTGCTATTCTCGTGAGTTTATTTTTGAAAGATTTGAATTCTTGTGGGATCGTTTCCATTTTTAGTTTCGCTGGTACAGAACTTTCAAAGCCTTCTGCAAATATATCCCGTTCTATTACCAAATACCAATGCCTTTATGTCATTAATCAGAAATGACGTTTCAATTACGACCAGGACTTGAAAAGTTAGGGGCATTTCGGTCATTTTCTGTATGATCTCACCAAAAACTCCATTATAGTCACTCACACAAAACACTTTTTTTTTTTTTTTTTTTTTTTTTTTTCACAAAACACATTTTGGTGTATGCACAAAAGCTTGAAGTTTCATAAAGCTACAGCTTCTTCAACTCCAGGATTCGAGACGCAAGTAAGAGACTGTTGTGGTGAAGAAGATGGTTTTTTCTCCTTACCCAGATTTCGGCTTCACTTTCAACTCCCAGGATCTCTCTCTTTCTCAACGTCTGGTAATAATCTTTCTTTCTCTGGTTTTGCTTTTTCTTTTTGGTTTTTTTTAAAAAGATTTTAACTTTCTTCCCCCAAATTACGTTTGCTGTTAGACTGTAGAATAATATATAGATGATTTTGATGAGGTCCCTAGTTTGTGTGTCTTATGTTCTGCTATAATAATGCCATATGTACAACTTTAGACATTGATTGATTCCTCAGTTCTTCGAACTTAATGTTACTGTTCTCTTTAACTCTTAATCCGACTCCTCTCTTCTTGATCGTTCTGAATGCTGTTCTACTTTCAACTTCCTTGATTCATCTGTTCCTGATTTTCTTAGGTTTTAGTTTTCGAATCTGTAACTCTGTTCCTGACCTCTTAAGGTTTGGGTTTGTTCCTGATGTATAATGGTTTGGTTCCTGATTTCTTGAGGGTTTGTGGTTATGATTGCTCTCTTAGGGTCTGTTTATGTTTCTGATTCTCTTAGGGTCTGGTCCTGTTACTCATCTCTTATGGTTTAGGAGTTGTTCTTGATTTCTTAAGAGTTTGGTTCTGTTCCATCTCTTAGGATTTGGTTAAGTTCCTCTGTTCTCAGATATATCCTCTTTTTTTCACTTTTGAATGTAATATTCATTTTGTAGGTAATCCCCAGTGATTACAGAATGTACTATCCAAATCCTCTGCCTCAGACAGCTGTTCTACGGAAGCCAGAAGGAAACTTCTGGAATGTCAAATGGACAATAAGTCAAGAGGGGACAATTAGCTTCGAAGATGGTTGGTCTAAGTTTGTCACAGACAATGGTCCCATTCACGGAGACATTCTCTTATTCAGCTACGATGGCTGCCGAAACTTCTTTGTGCGCATTTACCGGAATGGACTCGTTGTGGAGACAAAATCTCCAATCAAAATACAGGAAATTTCAGATGATGATGATGAAAGGAATAGTAGTGATGATGATGATGATGATCATGACATGGAAAATGAAGAAGATAGCAATGATGAGAATAAGATTATTTCTCTATCTTTGGGAAGCAGCGATGAAGATGATGATGATGATGATGATGATGATACAACACTTGCTGAAGTTAACAAATCTAATGGAAGTTCAAAGAAAGGTACAAAACTATCCTTCTAGTTTTCGTTTTTCATCAAAATGTATTTTTTTTTTTTCAATAAAAATAGTTAATGAGTGATATTGTTTATCAGGAGGGACTTCGCAAAAGAAACGTGCTGAATCTATTGGTGATCCTGCAATGTATCTTGATGATCCCACTAACCCTTGCTTTATCCCAATTTCGTCGTATAGGCGTATGATGGTAATAATGTTGTTTTCATGCATCTCTAAGTTGTTTCTTTATATACATTTAACTATCTTTTAAAACAATAATGTTTTTCCTCTTTTATTACTTTTTGTTGTTATTGTGTGTATTGGTTGCTTGTAGGTTATTGCTCAGCAAGTAATAAAAGACCATGACTTGAAGTTTGGTGAAACAATCAATCTCATCGATGGATTTGGGCAAGTGGAGGGAAAAGTTGTAGAGTGGAAAGATCGTATTGTGGTTTACAGCTGGGACGAAGTCTGTAAGAGAAACCATGCAAAGCTCGAAGATGTAATCATATGTGAGATTCTACACGAAAGAGGTCTTGTTCAATCTATCAAGGCTCATTTCGTTAAGAAATGAGGTTTCTAGTTTTAAGTTTAGATGAAACTTTTGTCTCTAATGCTTTTATCGAAACATAATGTTTAATTTTGAATTTATGTTAATCTTTCGTTTTTAGGCTCTTGTGTTTAGCTTTATGTTAGCCTTTGGATCTTGATGAAACTTTCATGTTTAATTTCGGATTTTAAGTTGTGATCTTTGAAGTCTTGGTTCGTATGTGTGCCTAAATTTTCTCATATTACATTTTAAGATCGGATTTGGTCTGGAAACGTTTTGTTTGTTTTGCAAATCAAAGTAAGCTACTAAAATAAGATGAATTTAACTATCTTTGCAGTGCAATTGAATTTAAGATACGTTTTGTTTGTTTTGGAAATAAAAAAATAAGCTACTAAAATAAGATTTTTTTTTACATAATTTACAATCTCCCTGATCCTTTTTGAGTAACCTTCAGGCCCATTTTTCCTTGATTGTTTAGCTTTTTTCTCAAAGTTAAATCCTTTTGGGCTTGAAAATAAGAGTTGATATAGTTCCACTAAATTTACATCTTCCAATTTTTTTTTTGGTAAAAACATCTTCTTCATCTTCCAAATTTTTATACATATAAATTGAATTTCTACAAGAAAAATATATTCAGCTTTTGATATTTCTTGAGATTCCTAAACACATATAAAGACAGTTTACTTTTCTCTACAAGAAGTTGAGTTGTCCAAATCAAACGCGTCAAATAAATTTATAGCGAATCCTCCAATTTTCCCCCACAAGCTGCAATCTTTCTCACATTTATTGAGCATACATTATTTAATTTTATTCAAAGTCATACATTGATTAAATCTATTCTCCGATCTATCAGAGTTGACTGCAGTGCAGTCTATTCTATACGTTGATTCGGTTGGAGTGGGGTTTTTAGATTTAGGAGTACTGACAAAGTCAAAACGGTAATTAGGCAAATTAATCTCTACTTATATAAATCAAAGAAGATGATGTAAGGGAAAAGGTTATGTTTAGTGTTATCCAAGCAATATATTAAGATACTAAATATTCTGACCTCACAATACATCAGAGTCTTATCTCTGCGCAAACAAACAATTAACCATTTATAGTTCTATACGTTAGATCATATATTTTAATCAAAGTATTAAATCTGTGACTTGCGTCATGCCTTTTTGCTGTTGTAAACAGAGTTTAATACTCCCTCTGTTCAGAATTATTTGATGTTTTAGAAGGTTTTTTTGTTCAGAATTATTTGATGTTTTCATTTTTCAATGCAAAATTTAAAGAATTTTTATAGTTTTTGACCTATAATATTCTACAGATTGTCTTCTTATTATTGGCTGAATGATATTTAAATAAGTTATAAATAATATTTTTAGTATAGAAAAAATAAAAATTAAATGAATCTTTAAACTGTGTGCAAAAACTTTAAACATCAAATAATTCTGAACAGAGGGAGTAGTAGTTATTATTTGTAATAGAAAACAAACAAAAAAAGGAAAAATAAGAAAAGAGGATGAGGAAAATGTCAAAATGCAAACAATAATTGAATAAATATATAATTAAACGAAGAAACACATGCAATGTTCATCATTCAGTGAACCAACCTTATTTTAATTTAATATTTTTGGTATCTTCCTTAGCTTTTCAACTATTTAAGTGTGTTATCTTTCTTTTTCTAGAAACTTTTTGTTAGCCCTTTACAAATTTTTGTCTTTTTCTTTTTCATATTTTTCGTTTTGTACCTAAGCAAAACCAATTACAGATTATCGGCAATTAAAAACTGCTTTGACACCCTTCTTAAATCGAGAATCAATCCCTCGTTTAGAACTTTAGATTTATACGAATGAATGAAGACTAATAAAACCTAAATTTTCACGCATCAATCCAACTTCTTAAGATTAACTTTTTATTGATAAAAAATACTTTCAGCTTTATTAATCTTCATTATTTATCTATCAAATAAATAAACTATAATCGCTACATAAACCATCCCTCCCGTATACATAAACACAAAAAACTAGACGACTGTGAAGTAAATAAATAAAACAAAAAAACTATAAACACCTTTTTTTTTACTCTTTTTACCCCTAACTGTTTTCACTTTCCCCCGCCAAAACCAGTTGAGACATATTTACATCTCTGCCCTTCCACAGTCCACTGCAACAACAAAACTCTGTTTTCACTCATTCAAACTGCCAACGTAATACTCGTCGGCAGCAAATCACCGGCGCTCCGATCACCGGAATCTTCGTCCAGCTCGAGCCGAGCAACCGTACGGTCACCATAAGTACCAGAAGAGGAAACTCGAGCCTTGAGCTGGCTCAGAACCGGTACAATCGCCTTCTCAATCCACTCATCTAACTCGGTAAGGCCTAACCAAACTCCGCTCAAGATTCTTTGAAGCGCCTCGTCTTCCACTTCCATCGTTAACGATTCCCCCACGACTCTCGCGAACCTCTCCGACAACGTATCCGAGATCTTTCGTCTCACAGCTCCGAAATCAACGGCCCTGAACGCTACAGCATCGTCTACACGGCTTACCAGCTCGTGGAACGCGAAAGGAACGCATTGCAGAGACAGCTTCCCGCTAAATCCTTGCTCTTCTTGATCATTATCTGTCGTTAGATCGCTCGTGTTGTGCGAACCATCGTCCGTATCAGCAGCTTGGTTCAAATCGAAAGACAAACCGGATAATCCATGTTCTTTCTTCGGTTTAGTCAGCCTCTCCTCGTCGCTACACAGCCAGCTAGCTCTTCGTTTCCCGAATTTCTCACGTACACTCAGCCTCAAACGCCAGCTCTCGCTCGCAACGTCCCTGAGCTTCGCTTCATCGTCTTTGTAAGACGTTTTCATCTCTAGAGAATGCCAGCTCGCTGTCATGACAAAGATCACGTTACCTAAACTAATCTCACGGCCATGAGAGTCAGTGATTCTTCCTCTATCCATAGCTCGTTTTATGCTTCCACGCAGCAACATATCCGCTTCATCGATGTCTTCAAGCAAGATTACAGAGAACGGACTCCTCTTAACGGTTTCTGCAATCCTATCCAACACGGTTTTACCACGGATGTTATGATTCCCATCTCCAGAGCCATCTTGTCTGGACCCGAGCTGAATCATTGTCGGATTTGTCCCGTATACAAGAGAAGACAGAGCCGACACCATTTTTCTTTTTCCAACTCTGTCTGGCCCTGAGAACAGTAACCACACATCTCCCTTTGATAAAACACCGCGGCGTTTCCCGTTTCCGAGCTTGCATTGACTAACTGTAGCAGCCACACCAGAGGCTGCGTCGTGTTGCCACCAAACTTTCTCGGTCATTCCTTTTAAAAGCTTCTTAAACAAATCAATGTCTAAAGAGTTCTCAAGATTATCCTTTTGCAAAACACTGATCTTCTCGTTGTTCTCAGACGATATACAGCCGAGAAAGTCTCTCACTTGCACATCACCAGCTTTCTCCAAATCCTGGAATACGCAAGTAAACCGAATACGTCAAGGTTTTGTGGATTTCAGTAAACGTTTTATACAAATATTCAAAATTTAACAAACCTCTGTTCTTCCAAGGGCAAGATCTGTCTGAACCGGGCTCCCGGGAGGACTCTTCTTCTTCGCTTGTTCTGCCACCAAAGAGTTCATAGGTTTCAAGTGTACCCTCTCACGCAACTCTCTATTGGGCTGTAACTTAGGCTGCAACGGCTGGCGAAGAAGCGGATTGGGACCGTAGGAGCTTGTCGTTAACGATATAGGAATCGGAGTCGGAACGATCTTCTCGTTCTTGCTATGAAAGTTAGGATGAAGACGCACACACGCATCATTCCATTTTTTCTGCACTTCTTCAATCTTTGCTTGCTGTAACAAAAAAAAAAAAAAAAGATTCGAATTGCAAACGTTAGGAACTGAATATAATCTCATTCACCTGACAATTCCAAGACTTGAAAGATATACAACTCTAGAGCCATGACAAATTGTGGAAGAGAATATGCATAACTGAAACTTACAGGTAAACGATCGACCGGTTTAACTTTCAACAGCCACTGTGGAAGCTGTTTCGGCTGAGCAACTTCTGGTTTAACCTCCGGAGACATTGAATCAATTTCAGACAGCTCTCGCTCGTAACTTTGCGAACATTGCGGACAACATTTCAATGTCTTGTTCGTAGGCACGAAGCTCTTCAACGGCGTAAATGATTGAACCGACGATCCCAAATTGTTCGGAAGCCTAATGAGAAAAATTAATCAAATCTAGCTGAGATTTCTCATAAAGCTGAGATTTTTCTTTGACTAAAACAAGAAATTCAAACACCACTCACCTCGGGAAAACGCCGGTCGCCGGAGCTTTAGCTGCCACCGATACGGCTTGAAGATCCCAATCTGTCTCCATTGATGGATGATAAACCTGACATCTTAGATAAGTCTCGCACGTCGCGGTTCCGATGAACCAGAGTCTTCCTTCGAATTTCTCCAAAAGCCTCCGTAGCTCCGCCACCGCCGTCCTCCCTACCTCCACCGCGAGCGTTTGCGGCGGTTGCGTTGAGCTCGGTTGCTCCACGAGCCATTTCAAGTCTCCCAGATCGAGAATCACTCCGCCGCCACCGCCAGGATCCGAATTCTTCATCCGGGTCTCGAGCAACACGTCTAATTCCCTGATTCTCACAGACTTATCCGAATCGATTTCCTCGAAATGAATCACCTTTGAGTTCTTCACCGATAAATTCCCAGCTTCTCCGGCTTCAATTCTCTTGAGGATCTCACGAATCACACGACCCGGCTCCGAATCTCCGACTAAAACCGGGTTTTTCTTCTTCGTCCGACCCAAAATTTCCATGACCCGCTCCACGTCGTCGTTCTTATTTAGCCCCGATTGCGCCGATGCGTTCTGCTGCAACCGTGGATTTAGATACGAATTCCGGGTCATCGGACCTCCACCGGGTCGGAAATTCAACCCGACGGAGGAAACGCTCGGAATTGGCGTCGGATTAGACGGATTACTACTCAACGACTGTTCGATTGTGGCTTTGACGGCGGGACTAGAGAAGCTAGCCTCTCTCATGACCCGACTCACACTCGGGTCATCCAAAATCGAGATAATGAGCTGCTCCAGCTCCACTTTAACCGCCAACAACGGCTGCTGCTGCTGCTCCGGACATCCACGGCGTTGATGAGCTTGCGCTCGCTTCAGCGCCGCCATAAGGGCGTTAGAGATCGGTGGATCGTTCGCCGGAGTCGTTGTCGCGGTTGGGAGTCGCTCGAGGGCGACGCTGAAGCAGAGCTCGAGGGCTCGGCACTGAAGCGGGTGGGAAGAATTGGGGTGGGATCGGATGCAGGCTCGTCGGAGAAAACCCGCCGGAGAAGCAAGGAGAGTGGCTGCGACATGGAGCGGCGTGGTTTGGCCGTGATTACGACGCGCCGCCTCGGAGATTGATTGGTTTAAAACGGTGGCAGCCTCCGGCGTCAGAGTCTGTTGGATGGTACTTAAACCAGCTCTCATCGTTCTTCTTCCACCTCTGTGTTATCTCTCTCTCTCTTCTTTCTTCCTCTTTCTTCAATTATATGTGGGAATTAAAAAAAATATATGTAAAAGTCGAATCTTTAATATTTTCAGGCTAAGAATGAAATAAAAATTGAATCTTTTGAGTTGGGTTTCTCAATTATTCAGACAGTTTTAAGAACTGGGTTCCTCAATTTCCCGATCGGAGAAAAAAAATAGAAGGAATATATAGGATTTGCCTGAACTCATTCAGAAGAATATCCACCGGCCAAAAAAATGAAAAGGCTTTAGATAGGTTTTATAAGACGAGGAGGAAAAAAGGTTGCCTTTTCATTAATTTAATTTAAAGGAGGAAAAAATTAATCGAAAAGAATTATTGGGAGAACTAGACAAATTGTGATTCAAATGGATCACAAAAAATGGCTTTTTAGAAAGATAATAAAAATAATACTAATAAAATAAAAAGAAGGAACTTTGGGATCCCAACAAATTGAAGATAGAAAGTAAATATAGAAAGGTGAGGAAGTTGCAGAGTGAAGAAAATTCAAAGAGAAAAGGATTAGAAGAAGTGAATAAACTACTTTCTCGCTTTTGCCCTTTACAATTTATAAAAAGATGTATACGCGTGTCTCTGCTTGTTTATACAACAATATATACACATCAAATACTGTATGCTCAAAACTGGTAAAACTTGCGACGCATAATAATAAAAAAACTTGTGGATAGTCCGTTCCTAATTTAGCGCCTAAATTTTTAAGGCAAAGGCTGCATATGAGTGATATGCGTAAACTTTTTTTTTTCATTTCCATTCAATTAGTTTAGATTTTTTTTTTTATGTGAGTGTTAAGAATTAGTTTTAGATTCTCGACTTGCTTTTACATCCATTTAAAAAATAATAATAATTGCACCATATTTCAAATAACAAAAAAGTTATTAAGTAAACTTTTGGTGATTCTTTTAACAAACAAAAAACTTTTTGTGATTCTAAAAATCAAAATGTATCGAAGCATGGCTTTAACCAACATTTATTTTATTGATAAATTATCAACTTCTCAAAATTCAATTTTCTCCGTGATATATATTAGAAACAAAATTTAACAAAATAAATAACAGGAAACATGTATTTTTACATGGGACTAAAACAGGTAACCGTGTTCATGAGATGTCCATGGCAATTCAATTCACGTGATATATCACATATAGTTACACCTTTAAGACAATGATTAGGTGGAAGTCGATAAAAATAATATCATAAACAAAGATGTTTTCGGTGGACGTTTAAAATGGGAAGAGTATCTGGTTTTTGATAGGTTTTCAAAATTAATAGTTTTTGGTTAAGATTCGTGCGATTATTAAAAACGACAAAGATCGTATGATTCATAGAACTAAAATTTCAAAACGTGGACAGTTAAACTAAAGTGTAAGATCCAAGTATAGAAGTATTGAATCTCCAGTGGAAAGTCAGAAATTAGAATATGTAAGGAGCTTAAACAAAGTCAATACGCGTTTTAAAAGTAGACGTGATATTATATGCGTTTACTCGATTCAAAGAAAAATTTAATTAGCTTTACTTTCAGTGGTTATCTCTCACACTTTTGATTAAGCGTTGACTACCTTTACTTTATTCAAAAGTATCTAAAAGAGAACTAAATTTAAAAGGTAATTAACCGACTGAGCATAGTGATTTACTGTAACCAAACCGAACATACAAAAAGGAGAGTGACTCCTCCTCATTTTTAATTTGCGGAGATAACACCTTTTTAGCAACTATTATATTTTTTGTTTGCTTAACTGCGTTCATCTCTGACAAAAATAGAAACATATATGGAAACTTTAACGATATCTGAAACAGTGCTATATAATAAATTAACATTAAAATGTGAAAATTGAATGTTTGTATTGCGATCGAGTATATGGTAGAATTAATTTCACTAATTAAACTGCTGATAGTGACAACGAGTTAATGAAACAACAGTGTTTTTTGACAAAATTAATGACACAACTTCATCCTTCGAATTTACTCTTGCAAAGTGGTTAGGTGCCTATACTATCATATCTCCGCATATGGCTTGTCACATTCAAATTTGTATATAATATAACTTTATTGGCAGAGATAGATATATGCAATGCATTTGTATAATTTTAAAAAGGTTCCGTGATTTATGTCCTATGTATTTATATGATTACTTGGGATAGCTAGTAACTATGGAACTTGCAATCGATGATTTCCCCAGTTCTCAGTTAACATAAAAAGCTGTCGTGAGTCGTGACTTTCATTATTTATAAATCTCATTCATTGTTTTAATACGAAAAAGTATACTGACTGTTTTTTTGTTGTGGTGTAATTAGCTTTCTAACTCTCTTTTTTTTTTTTGGTTTTATGACAAGCTTTAAACCGGGAAAATAGAGAAACATAAGCGGGTCAATGATCTCACTTCTGTGGTTTTTCCACCAAATCTTAAGTTTTTTTTACCAAATCTAAAGTCTGGTGTTTTAATCTCTTTAACTGGAGAATGAAAATCAAACAAACTCGATAGTACTAAGCGCATAATAAATGCTCACTATGTGGAAGTTACTTATTAAATGATTCACAGTTGTCTATATTTAAATTGTATACGTGCACCAAAGAAAATATTATTACAAGTGGAAAAAAAAATCTTTTAATATATGTAACGTATGCGTATGCACTTCCTCACATTCACATATGTGATCATAGAAAACGTTTTACTGCTTAATTATGACTAACTCTATATATCGTTAGCCTAATATCGTACACGTATTGAGATTCACTAACATAAAACGGTCGTATTCAAACTGGGTTAAGATAACCATATACGTCGATATGAATATTTGTATAGTAAATTTTCAACCAAAAAAAAAAGTATAGTAGATTTTAATTTTATCACAGTAAACTTCATAAATTCTAATAAACGCTTTTTTCTTTTGTATTTGATAGATCTTACAGTATTAACTATTCGGCTATTAGTAGTGATGGATATCTACTTTTTGGTAGGAGTTGTTAATAAAAGAATGGAAAAAGAAGTCTACTAATCTTTGAACAAAAGAAAAAAAAATTCTACTAATCCTACTTTTTAGTAAGCTGTTAAACTAATCAAGAAACACTTTAATTAATTAATAGAATACCTTAAAGGCCACAAAAATCATGATGTCCCCTTTTGGTAACGCATGCTCTCGCTTCCCTTTCCCTTTACGCATTTTCTTCTTCTCCTCGTTATATCATATATATATATAGGGAAATTACCTAAAATATACCAAAAATTTACTAATATTATTAGAGAGACCCAGTTTTACATTTGATACAAAATAGACTCTGGATATTACTTGTATCCCATTTAAAATTCATAATATTACAATTATACCATTTTAAAAAAATAAGTGAAAAGTTTTGAGATTTTACATCATGTTTATTTATCTCATTTATCTAATTTACTAAAAAGTAACTTTTCATCTTCTCTTCTTTCTTTTATCTCCACGGCCGAAACCCTCTTTGCGTCATCAGAACCCGAGATTCCGGTTTAACGGACGGATCTCTTGGACTTTGCAAGCGGCGGTTGCCTCAAATCTTCGACTTCGACTTCGACTTGGCAAGCGTCGGTGGTCTCAAATCCGCGAGTTCAGAAGACAATGCTCATCGCATCGCGGCACGGCTACTCTCCCTTAATCCGATATCTGTAATAACGGTTCCGGTAAGGGTTTGGGCTGTAACAAGTCTACTCAGACATAGATAACTTTATTAAGTCTACAGACCAAAAAGTGTAAGACCACATTTCCATATATCTGCCTCCAATAACATTAAGTCTGCTCACTAAGTCTACCTCTTCTGAGGTTTACAGAATAAGTCTAAATCCAAAATAAGTCTACGAAGTCATATTTCCTAGAACAAGTCTACACTAAAAGTCTACACTATAATAGATTACTTGATTAAGTTTACCGTCCAACAAGTCTAAACCATCATATTAAAAAATCTGCCTGTAAAAACAGTAAGTCAACTCTATAAGTCTACCTCTACATAGGTTTCCATAATAAGTCTAAATCGGCAATAAGTTTACGAAGTCAGATTTCCTCGTTTCTACTTAAGTCTATACTGTTAAAGAACAAGTCTAAACTAAAAGTCTACACAGACATAGATAACTTTATTAAGTCTACAGACCAAAAAGTCTAGGACTACGTTTCCATATATCTGCCTCCAATAACATTAAGTCTGCTCACTAAGTCTACCTCTTCTGAGGTTTACAGAATAAGTCTAAATCCAAAATAAGTCTACGAGGTCATATTTCCTCGTTTCCATTTAAGTCTGCTTCGTCGAAGAACAAGTCTACACTAAAAGTCTACACTATAATAGATTACTTGATTAAGTCTACCGTCCAACAAGTCTACACCATCATATTAAAAAATCTATCTGTAAAAATAGTAAGTCTACTCTATAAGTCTACCTATACATAGGTTTCCATAATAAGTCTAAATCAGCAATAAGTCTACGAAGTCAGATTTTCTTGTTTCCAATTAAGTCTATACTATCAAAGAACAAGTCTAAACTAACAGTCTACACACACATAGATAACTTTATTAAGTTTACAGACCAAAAAGTCTAGGACTACGTTTCCATATATCTGCCTCTAATAACATTAAGTCTGCTCACTAAGTCTACCACTTCTGAAGTTTACATAATAAGTCTAAATCCAACATAAGTCTACGAAGTCATATTTCATCGATTCCATTTAAGTCTACACGTTAAACGAATAAGTCGACACTAAAAGTCTACAGTCAAATAAATTACATAACTAAGTCTACGAATTCAAAAGTCTACCTTTACAGTCTTACGACAGAAAATAAATCTACACGGTCTGCCAAATAAGTCTACCAATTTAGTCTACAATATCATGAAGTACAACGCACAAGTCTACCAAAATCGTTAAGTCTATTCAAATCCAATATGTCTACGTTATCAAAGTTCGTAGACATATTTTTGTCGGTGGTTTAAAAGCGGTGGCAATATTGTAAATATTTACCTCGTTCTAATAAAAATATAATGGCAATTTCGTTATTATGTTTTTTGATAAGAACATATTTAAGGGTATTATAGCCATTTAAAACATAATCGGACAATATAATAATTTTTAAAACATTCGATATATTTTAATAATATAATATATTTTTTGGTACTTTATAGTCATTGTCCCATATATATATCAGTATTTTTTGGGTTGAAATATTGCAATGTAAAATAATTACTTTTTTTTTGGTAAAACAATTACATGGCTATAACTTTGAAA